CCTCGGGGTCCTTGAGGCTCGTCTTGTTTACCCAGTCGGAAACGGCCGGATGGCGCGCGGCGCGGCGCGGCGTGTGTACAACGAAGGGAAGGAGGGCATACGCTCCTCCCCGCCCGCGCACGAGCGAGTGCGTGCATTCACGACCACGCACGACCACGCACGACCACGCACGCTGCGCTGCTTCAACGCGAAAAGGGTTGGAGCAGCATATTATGAAACACACACACACACACACACACACAGACGCGTGGGCGCCGCGGAGAGATCCGCACGTTTTTCCATGGTTTTTAACCTTTTCCATAACGAAAAATTGCGGAATATGATTGGAGAGAGAGAGAGAGAGAGAGAGTTCTTCTTCCTTCTTTCTAGCGGGAGAATTTCCGCAAAGACGATATCGAGAGTCATAATCTTTAGAAAAAGTAGCTACATCGCTTCACATGATATCACCTGCGAATTTGCTCCTCCCCCCCCTCCCCGCCCAGTCACTACGGCTCGTTTAAATGTACATATAAAATTGCAAATATTTACCATGTATATTTTAAACGGAAGCAACGCGTGTCGTCAATATTTTCGATTCGATCAAGTTCGATTATAAATGCATGTGCGTGCGCAACATTAAATTTTTGCAAACGAATATTTAATGCGACAAATCCATTTGTACCTTGACTTGATAACAATAAAGCTAACGCAATACCTTTTTAAACGAACAAATAAGCCTGGCGGAGTAATTTAATCGTTCCAGCTAATTTGTCGCGAAGTATAAAACGGCGATTTATATTTCTACGCGAGTTTTGATTCGCTCAATTCGTTATGCAACATAAATATATAACAAACTTCCTCGAATAGAAAAAACAAATCGCGTTAAATCGCGCTTATCAACGATAAGGAAACCGCTAATCAACGCGGAATATAGGTCAAACGAAAGAAGGACTTTCGGAGTACGCGTAAGTGAGCACGTTTATGGATGTACGAATATCAGTATTATCGCGAATGTATATTTAGCTCGCAGACGTTGTAGCCGGTAAACAAGCAGTCACGTTCCGGCATGCGATTAGAGGGACACGCGTCTGGCGCTACGTTGTATCCGCGCAAATGAATCTCGAGTCCGTGCAGAATGCACAACACGCGTGTCGAAGTTCCTGTTTCCGCGACGCGAAGCTAAATTTAGGAATATAACTGTCGTGATGTGCATGATGTACGACATGCGCGCAATTTGCACGTGTGCACGTTTCATCCCCCCCCCCCTCCCTCGCCTCCCTCCGCGCCAATGATCCCTATTGATACGTGACATAATAGCGTTTTTCGGCTCTTTTGCGTGTTTACGAGAGAGAGAGAGAGGGAGGGGGAGAGAGAGAGAGAGAGAGAGAGAGAGAGAGAGAGAGAGAGAGAGAGAGAGAGAGAGAGAGAGAGAGAGAGTGTGTGTCCGGACAAACACATTGCAATGCACATTGCCGCGGCCGTTTGTGTTTACGCTGCTGCTGCGAGTCATACGTCGGATTATTTCGCAGTTCAGAGTGAATTGCGACGCGCGATGACTGAGTCGTACCGTACGCGACGGATACGACGACGCGAGCGACGGGATTTTGTATGCGGATCTTATCTGATGTTGGTGATCCGTTACCTCTGCGTTTTCTTCGATAATACAGGAACAATGAGACGAGACGCCAATGGTAGTCGCCTCGAGTGTTGCGTCCGCCGACATGCGGAATGAAAAAAAAAAAAAAAAAAAAAAGAGTGAAAAAAAAAAGGAAGAAATTGTCTGGAACGAAATGGGGAATTCTACGCGCAATCTCCGGCGAGTTGCATAAAAATGATCAATGTCCGAGTGATGTAAAAACGCATCGTTTTATTGAAAAGTGTACCGTAAACTTGCCACCGGCTACGGTCGCATACGCGCGCGACGGAATGTGAAACTTCGTAAATTCGGCGGCTAGTCCAGCATTGCGGATAGTCGGTCAACTAGCGAGACGCACCCCCGAGCGAAATGTCAATCCTGTGTCACGGGGGCAACACACATCAGCTCTCGACGAAGATCTAAAGAGAACGACCCTACCCGTTTTTTTTAATTCGCCTCGAGTGTATAACGTGTTACGAATCGATCGAGAAGAACATGCGTACGTGTGCGTGGTCATGCGTGGTCGCGACGAAACCGGTATGAAATTTTACCAGACGCGCGAGTTGCGACTTATAATCTAGATCAGACAGTAGTAGAGACAGATATCGTAGTTGACTTAATCGGCCGTAAGATTCGTCGCAAGACTGTAACACGTCGTCGATTGTAAAATGTTGTACGCTAAACACCCCGAATCGATCACTGAGATCGATCGCTCGTTGTTTTTCTTCGCGATTTCGCGAGTAGTAAATGCTCGTGTACTCGAGAATCTCGAGATAATCATATTGTCATTGATAAGCGCCGCGTTCGACACACGGCTGCGATCGTGCAATCATGTAACACCAAGCATCTCAGTCTTTCGGTTGGCCGTTGGAGGTTGGAGGAGTCTTGAAAGGAAAAGCTCACCGTCGCGTTTAATATAATGCGCGCGTATTATGTATATGTTCTCCTTGAATTGCAACACATCGTCGTTGTTGATGAATCACTTGACACGAATGTTTTATACTTGCACAAAAGATATGTCGTTCGCGGAGTTTTATAAAAACACACGGCTATTACGAAACCTCAAAGAGGTAGACTGCAGCGAAATCCGAGTCTCTCAGCGCGAACACGCGCTGTTGTAAGTTATATACTACGAATCACCGTTGATGCTCCGTATAAATCCGTATATGTAGCTCGTATACGAGGTAACAGGTATTAAGTAACCGGTCGGTCGTTTTCATCGCAAAAATATCCACCGGCAAAGACACGAGCGTATAAAAAGAAAAAATGTAAATAAACGTTAACTTTTTACGAGCAACTCGTCGTGCACGCGTTTGCGTCGCGCGGCTGCTCCGATCGCTCTGACCAACAGCTCTGACTCAGCTTGTTTCTTCTTTCGTTGGGAAAAAAATCCGCGATTCCGTGCAAAGTGCAATGATAAAATTTTTGCGTTAGCGAGGAAAATGAAATTATACCAGGGTCTCTGGTATACACGGTAAAACGTACAAGTGCGTATGCGTAGCGAGATAGAGTGGGGAGTACAAAGCGCTTCAAAGGATTCCGTCGGGCAGAAATTCCAATGGCGAACGGAATTAGGACTTAAACCCCCACGAGTTGCACTTCGAAGGGTTGAAATTTTAATGAACTTTTGCTTCGTCTCTCGGCACTCTACGTTACCGGGCTACTCGCGTCCATTGGAACGCCTTTTATACGACTAATTCATAATCCGATCGTAAGACACATCCGAATTTCAGAGCGCGCTTTTCCAAGTCGCAGTCCGCACAGTTTAACTTTGCGACGTGACAATCCCGCATTATTCAAGATCGCAAAAAGCGGGCGCAGCGTTGGATGAAGGAAAATGTCAGTCAACTGAAACGCTTTCACGTCGAGAATTTTCCTCCTCCGAAAAGTCCATATCGGTCCAATTTTATTGTCACTGATAACGACCTGGATACGTCCGTCATCGGTTGTAAAAGATCGCTTTTGTTTTACGTTGCTAAATTTTCATCATACGTACATACGACATAAACTCATGCAAAAGAAAAAAAAAAAAAACGGGCTCTAGTAATCACTGACCATGCAATGGAATAGAAATGTACTCACGGATGGAATCGCCGTTCTTCTTCGCGCTGTTGTTCTTGTTTTTCTTGTTCTTCGGATAGATGTTGCCGATCTTGCTTTGTCCACAACCCATCCTGTTCTCTTACGTCCTCATGCACGAGCAACACTTATCACACTTTGCATCACCGAATATTCGCACGTACGCCAATACACGAATCGCGATCGAACTCGATAGAAGACGACGACGACGATTCGTTATCTCAACGTATTGTCCAGCATTCGCGTTCTCACGTCGGTTTTTGATCCTCAGAAGAAACGAATGTGCTCCAATTTGCACAGATTTAGTCGCGACGCATATACACGTCCTCGTGTCCCTCACCTACATTAGGCAACGTGGAGAGTTTCTTCTTCTACCATGTACATGTGCACACATTTGCACATATTTCTCTTCTTCCGCACGTATCTGATCTGCTCGAGAGCAAGCACAATATTTATTAGTCTTCGGTCTACTCGTCGCACCGTAACCGTCCAGCGCACTTCGACGACTGTTGAATCGGATAAAATCTCGTGATGATATGTATGCGTAAGGATATGTGATGTTTTCTGTATTGTTTATATTTTTCTCTTTGTCGATTCAGCGAGTGAATTAGACATAGGATGATAGAATCAATCTTTATATTAGTCGATCTGACGACTCCCAAAGAGAAACCGGTCGAACACACGTGTATTTATACGTCTATGTATGCGCGCGCGACAGAGGGGGAGAGAGAGAGGGAGAGAGAGAGAGAGAGAGAGAGAGAGAGAGAGAGAGAGAGAGAGAGAGAGAACTCCGCACCAGGGACCGCGTGACCTCTTGAACTTTGACAATGATTTCTCGGATGAGCCAGGCTGTACTGTGAAAAATAGATGGATAGAGATAAAGAATAGAGAGAAAAAGAGAGGGAGAGGGGAGAGAAGAGAGAGGGCAAGAGTCGGTCACGTGAATTCCCCGATGACTCAAGGGTGCAAACAGTGAAACAGTCTTAAAGAAATCACAAAGATCGGGTCGGTCCTCTTTAGAAAGGGAAAGATAGAGTAAAGTATAGAAAGTGCAGAAAGAGAGAGAAAGAGAGAGAGAGAGAGAGAGAGAGGGAAAGAGGGGGGGTGGGAGAAAGGAGGGAAGGGAGAAAAGAGGGAAAGAGAAAAAACCAGATGAGACAAACGACTTTTTGCGAGATAGGACGAACACGTCGCGGCAGTCTTCAGGAATGCTAACCAAGGATCCGGGGCTGGATCCTTGCGAGGAGAAGGGAACGACTTGCGAGAAACGAGCCGCCCAACGGAACGGAAACTGGGCCGATGAGTCTTCCTCTGTTTGGTGGTTGGCGGTGGCCACACGACTGCTTCGTCGTTACCGGCTACCTGATCCGAGGCGCCCAATCCATTTTGCGTTCACTCGCTCGATTTACCGCCCCATCGTCGTCAACGCGGGATGTATCACCTATCCCATGTCCAGCGCGATCGACCGAGCATTCTCCCGTTCCGACCTCCTGCACATTCGTTCCGTCGCGCGGCTGGTGGTTACTGCTCACCCAGGATAATCCCTGCGACCTCCAAGGACACGCGCCAGCCTACACGAGCCTTCACCAAGGGCCTCTACCAAGCCCGAGACCGACAATCGGCGAGGGTCGTTCCATTTCTCGTGATTTCCCGTCCCTCGAGTCCCTCGAGAACGTTGCGACTGGAACCGCGGCTACGGAAACGACTCTGCGCGCAGCTCCGAGCCGCGATCACGTCTCTCGATCTCTACGTTGATGACAAACCTCGTAGATAACACAACGATGACGAAGAAAGACGCGAGGCAACAGACTCGGGAAGAGGCTTCTTCGCCAATCGGTGTGTGACTTCCAGGTCGCCGTCTTCCGTCTGGATGAACCCCTCTCTCTTTCTCTCTCTCTCTCTCTCTCTCTCTCTCTCTCTCTCTCTGTCTCCTCCGGCACGCTCTCGACAGGCACGCAGAGGCAGGCAAGCAGAGTCCGCGACTATCGGATTCGGCGCTGCAATGGAAAGACGCCGGGTTACCCCATCGATCCCCGTCGAGTCGAGTCGAGTCGAGTCGAGTCGAATCGAATCGCACGTACAACGACGATAACGACAATGTGCGTGCATGTGCACGCGCGCAACACGACACACGCCGCCAGCTGCCGGAGCAACAGCTGCGAGGGAAATTGGAAAGCGCGAGCGCGTGATACCGCTTGCTACCGGCCGAGGGAAGAGGGGAGGGAAGAAGGAAGCGGGGTCTCTTCCTGCGAGAACTGCGCGAGGATCAACGTTTAATTAAGAGATGGAAAAACCGCGTTTCTTTTCTTTTCTTCTCAGGCTCGTCTGCGTCTGTGCATTTCGAAGTTGCTCGCGTTACTTGGCAAAACGACAATTCGACCGCGCACGGTCAATCGTGCCCTCGAGCCCTGAGGACGAGTTCGGAAGAATGACTTGTTTCTCGAACTGAACTCAATTCATCGCTCGATAGATTTTAAATAGATACGCGACAGTGCAGATGTGTCGATCTATTGGCAACTTTGACAAAACTGTTTTTCCATCCCAGCACTGGCTCTTGTACGCTTGTCGAGATTTTTTGCTTGTTTCGACGAACGCGTGTCCCTGAGGAGTTATCATTCTGACATTCTCGATCGCTAATTATGCTAATGCGTACAAGGAATGCCAACAACCAAACAGTGATATATATTTATATATCTTTTTCTCTTTCTGTCGACTCGGTGGTTCTTACGATCCGCAAAACTTCGCAATATTTCGAGCTCTCGCAAACGCACATTTCCGAATGTGTTTCTCATCAATTTGTCGAATGTGCCGTGATAGAATATCGGAAAAATAAATTTTCTCAACGAACGAGCTATAGTGCGCAACTCGTCAGTCCTTCCTGAAAAGCACATATTAGCACGTGAGATAAAACATCGGACAACGTGAACTTTTTACGGTCGATTCAGTGATCAGATAATCTTTATCGTTAATCTGTAAACATTATCGCGGCCCTTATCGCCGGTTATCAGTCGTTATCTTACGAGAATTCCATAGAAATATATATATATATATATATACGAACGACAGTACCGACAGTACCTATGTGCCACGCATTCCAAAGATATACATCAACGTCTTACATATTTTGCGACAAGTGGTCACAATAGAGTCGAGACTATATTTTTCGAGTCACACATTCCTTATTCATGCAAACTCGCATAACAACAATCGCTTCAACAATTTCGCGTCCGATTCGTCCGAGTGATCGACTAACGACAAAGTTTAGATATAAACGCATTATTATTAAAAGGTCGCAGCAGCTGTCGGCACCGGAATTTCTCCGGATGACGGAAACCTAACGTTCGAAACGGCGCGAAATGAGAACGAAACGTACGTTCCTGGAATGAACGATAATTTCGCCGCTTGTTGTACCTATATATTACGCGTATATACTTGAAAAAAATAAAGAAAACGAAAGAATGCAGCAATAATCGGATAGCGTGCGTGATATTTCGAGGAAAGAACGAGAGTAATTGCTTGCGCGTTCCACGACGTCCGATGTCGCTGTTTATCTTTATTTCCCGCCTCGCGATAAAGGGCACACGCGGTCGCAAACGGTTTGATTACGACGGAATCTATTACGAGTATCGGCGGACGTATCGGCGCGTAATGAAATGCACATCGCAAGCGTTGAACAAAACGTCATGCCGCAAAATCGCGTTTGCGACCAAACGCAGTCGCTCTCTCCTTCCCCGACGCTCTCTCGATTCTAAACTCTACCAGACAATGTGTTCTGTAATGCACATTACGTTTCTATATTTCATCGGTTTATCGCTCGTGAGCGTCCTCTGAATAATGGCATCTGCTTGTATCGTCGTCGATTTGACAAAATCATCATTTCGATCATCACCCGTTGTACTTGATCGTTGTAATTATCAAATTTATATACGGCACAATTTGACTTGTTATCGGAAAGAAACAAAGAAATTTTGTATAGAGGAATTTTTGCATAAATTACCGTTTTCCACGTAACATGCGTGCGTGCTTCTCCGTCGATTTTCCCAGCAGCAACCTCGAAAGCTAGCGGGACAATTCCGAAATTATCGACCGACCTTCCCCCGACGTTTTAACGTTAAATTGAGAATGCCAGTGTTGCAAGTAGGCTATCGACCAGCAGATTTTGGTCATCTAGCCAGGGTCGGATTTACCGCGAATTCGATGAGACGTCAGCTTGTGCCCCCTTTTTGTGACAACCTTTCTTTCTAGAAACGACCTAATTTTTTGTCAACCTTTTGTTCCGCCCGTAGATTGACATGATAATGCCAAATGTTAACAATCATTACTTTCTTTTACACGTCCTCTTATTGCTAATATTTACCGATATTTCTCAACTCTGCGTCACACTTCGTCCAAGCCGTCGATCATGCGACAATTTCTCTCACAAGAGAGAAGAAAAATTAAAAGAACAAAAAAAAAATATTCTCACGAATTTGCCAAAATTACGATCGTGTGGGATCTTTTCGGGCCGAGGAACAAGACACTTATTTAGACCAAGTTTTGATACTCGGAATAGACAAAAAGCAAAAAAAAAGAGAGATTATCTGAGAGATAACACGATCGCGTGGATTTTGTTTTCTCCAAAACGGAGGCGATCACCAAACAAGGCGAAGGAAGCATTTTTTTCCGTTCGACGACGTTACAGGCCGAAAATAAGCGCGAAGCAACGCCGCAACGAGCGCGTTTCTTCGCTGATCGTGCGAGACGAGAGAGAGAGAGAGAGAGAGAGAGAGAGAGAGAGAGAGAGAGAGAGAGAGAGAGAGAGAGTAAGAGAGAAAGAGAGAGAGAGAGAGAGAGTAAGAGAGAGAGAGAGAGAGAGAGAGAGAGAGAAAGAGAGAGAGAGAGAGAGAGAGAGAGAGAGAGAGAGAGAGAGAGAGAGAGAGAGAGAAAGAGAGACGCCACCGTTGTGCCACTGTTCACGAGCGAGCGAACGAGCAGGCCCATTCTCTATCACTGTCGACTCCTCTTTCACCTTTGCCCCGATTTCCGGCCCCGTCGCCGACCACCAGCGGCGAGCGGCTTTCCTAAACGCCCTATCGGTCGCTTAATAAGGTAACGAGCGACCTTTGTGACGAGAATTCGATGCGCGTTCCCGCGGGCGTCTATCGCACAGCACGACTGGATATTTCGGTCAACCGCGAAAGGAAAGGCAGACAGCTCTCGCCGGCTCGATCGCACGATTATTGTTAATTGTTAAACGCACGGTTCGTTCTCCTTTCGAGAAAGAAGCAGAAGAAAGAAGAGAAAGAAGGGGGACGACGACGAGGGACACGACGAGTCTCGTCGGTCGCGCTGAATTTCCTTACTTGATGCTCGCCTAACTCCTTCACTCCTCCTCAACACGGACGATGACCGGGACGATGGACGGACGCCCCCCGTTCGTTCCTTATCGTCGTTCCCACTTTGCGGTCACACTGCTGATAGCAACACACACTCTTATCTCCGTCTCGTCTCTCACGTGCGTACGATTCGATTCGCGTGCGAATACACACATACACGAGCGCGCAGGGTGCGAAAGAAGGGGCGGCGAAACACAAACGATCGCACCTTCTCGAGACTTCGACATCGACTACTTACGGACCGGCCAACGCGCCAGCTGGAGCTACGCATGCGCACTGTAAGCGCTGCCCGCGTCGCTCCATCCAGTATAAACATTCGACACGGGGTAGGGCCAGGGCCGTCGAATTAATTAAGACTAATGTTTTATTTATTGTATTAGAATTAGTCGCGGACATGCAGCGAGAGATGAAGGAAGTAAAGGGGGAGGGAGAGAGGAAGAAGGGGGAGAAAGTTTCCTGAATCTCGAAAAAAGAAAAAAAACTCTTCGTGAGATTCTACAGTCTCTATATTATTTTCGAAACTATACAACTTTCCTGCATTCGTGTTCATTATTCAGATGGGGAATGAGAAACGTCCTGAAACTATTCTATAGGTGCGTCTTCAGCGCACCCCAGAACGTTTTCCAGAACACCTTGAGGTAAAGTCCATTCAACGCTACGAATGCTTCAAAGCAACGAATGGACCAATCAGATTAGTTTATTTGACGGTTGAAGCTTCTGTAGTTGTGCAAACTCAACCTTTGAAACATGGGGATAATTTCAGAACATTATGTGCGCGCGCGCGCTCTGTCCAGGTGTATATACAATTTCAATATTTTAAATAGAAAAAAGAGTTTGATGTAGACATTTAAAAATGTCCCCTTCTCTTTTACAGCAGATCCTTCTTTATAAGAAGACAGAAAAAGTTTTTCTTACCTCAGTCTAACAATTTTGTATGTGCTCCCTTTGGACGTTTTTCTTAGTTTACTTCCACTACTTGCTCCATCATCTCGTCATCTACGGACCTGATTTCCGGGCATATCGCACACAGCTGGACACCACGTACTACGCGCTTGTATATCGCGCTTGTTGTTGAGTGATGAACTCGAAGATTCGTACTATAACATAGCGGTTTTATTTCGTTTCGCAATTTTCGCGAGCTCCAGCGGCACATTGATTCATTAGCCTCTTTTCTTCATTGATTCTACACGAAGTAAGGAGCAGCACGCAGACTACATTTTTATCTCTGACATCTTGTCATGAATAATGTAGCACGATTTCATTATTTGAAGTTTTGATACTTCTCTTATACTTCTGATACTTCTGATACTTCTGGAACTGCGGCCTTTCAAACAATATAATTTGAGATTCGTTGTAACACATTGTTCCGCTCCATTGTAACAGCACGATCACTATTGGAACGGTGAGATCACGTGATTATTACCGTTTTCGTCTAGCGGCAAGTTCGAAACTAACGTTGAATCTTCATCACAGTTGTGAGTATTCATTGATATATATATATATATATATATATTACGCGCGTTACAATATATCGAGTAAATTTGTATCTGTCGACGCAGAAAATGAGTAATATTCGCACAAAGGCTGTAAAAGTTTCAAAGTACAAATACTCTATTCAATAATATCGTGCAATAATATTATACAACATAATAATTCGCGTGGAATAAATATATAAATGTTTACATATATATTTTTATATTTTTATTTGACGTATATGCACAGTTAATAATTGCACTTGCGACGAAAACGCGCGAATGCATCGCCGGAGCATTATCAAGTCGCCATCTATACATTCAGCATCTTTCAGTTTGCCTCTTGTTACCGACCGACGCGTGCGATGGCGCGCGACTGGCGGTATCTATCGCGGAAGATAATTTCCAAGACGCGTTATACAAAAGACACGTCTCATAAGCATCAAGAGGAAATGGATATTGCAGGTCGAGTAATTTGCGTGAGAGAGCGCACCGAGAGTGGAATGTTTGAAAATTATGATAATATCAAACCAGGTAACCATATCAGCTGTAAGAGGCTCGTAACTACTTTAGCGCGCTTACACGCCCCGTCCGCTTCGCAATTATCATATCAACCTTATATTTGTCCGAAATGATATATATTTAATAAAAAAATAATAATAAAAAGATATATATTCAAGACTTTGCCGGATGTGGATAAAAATAATGCAACCGTTGGCGTTGAGGCAAAACCAAAGGAAATCACGCATCCCACGTAGGTTAGCATAAACGCGCGTTAGTACAATCGCGCGAGTATAGATATCGTCGTCTTTGACATAACCCTCTTTTCGATGTTCTACGAAACTGTAAACCGAGAACTGTTAGCCGAGACAACGATGTCTTCCTTGTTCCAACTTTTGCGATTACAAGTAGAAGGTAGAAAATTGATGATTGCTGCATTATACACAGTCACACCTACGTGCATGTACAGCAAAATTAATTACGTATTCAACAATCTGTCCCGAATTATCGATGACAAAAGCGCTCGAGCCGCGCACGTTTACGACACGCAACGTTCTCGCGGACGCGTAAACATTATCCTTTTATATATCACTCAGGCTATTTATACGTACGCGCTCTTGTATTGGATTATTGATTCACTTCCGTCCGCCGAGATACCGAAGAATCGCGTAACATATTTCGTGTCGTAGGATTCTCAGTCTGCACACAGTCTGCGTGCTCTCACCTGCGGTTCTCTCCTCCACTTGGGACAAAGTTAAGAATCGACGTTTACAGGCAGAATTTTTCAAACGAGCACATCTTTCAAAGCGCAACAACAGTGCGGTTAAGAGACCGGACTTGACCAGCTAATTCAGCAACAAATGACAACCGGCTTCTCACAAAGCTGCGAAAGGAGCTGGAAATGGCGTACAATGTTAAAAGCACACCGACGATCGGATGAGCGCGTTCAGAATTGAGCATTCGTACGTTTCATGTTTCTCTGTCGCGTCGTCGGCCGCGACAGAGAAAAATGGGCCGTAGGAAACAGGCGACGATTCGCTGGAACGCATTTCACGCTCGAGATCTCGTCCGCAATTTCAATCGCGAACAGCGACGACACCACCGAAAAATTGTCATATACCTGTTACGGAATTGAAACCGGACGAATTCGCCATTAACATTGGCACATTAACCAAGATTAACATCTGCGCGAAATCATCATCTGATCTCGATCCGTGCGTCTCGCATTTGCAACAAAAAGAAAAGAAAGATAAAGAAAGTGCACGCGCGCGTTCAGTGGTAAGCGAGTAAAACAACTCGGTGACATGGTAGCACATTTCTTCCTTTAATGCGTCTCTTAATTTACAAATCGATGCTGAATAGATGTGTGTGCGTGTGTCTCTCCTCGCGAGAAGAGTGTGCAAAGTCATCGAGTTACCATTCTACAAACGAAGTCAAGCGAAGCGCACAAAGTGCGAGAGATAATCGCTGAGGAGAGAAGTAAAATTCACGAGTACCACACACACACACACACACACACACACACACACACACACACACACATATACATCCATGCATACCCACATACACACACACATACACACATTGCGCGAAGATGAAGTAAACTTTTTATCCTTTTGTGTATTCATTTTTTTCCATTCGATTTGATACGAATGATTGATCGGTTTTCGGTCGCAATTAAATATTTTCGGTAAGATCCTGGTAAGATTCTGATCAGAACGAACTTTTGCGATTGAAAAGTATCTCTGCGTATTTCCACAAAAAAAAAAAAAGAAAAAGATAATAATGGAAAAGAAAAACGCGCACTGGCGGCAAAGTCATTTAGCGCCGACTTGGATCGAAAAAATTTTCCCGCACAATCTATATTGCAGAATCGTAGATTAGATTTCTCGAACGGAGATTTCTATAGCGGAGACTATCCTGCGTCGAAAGGAATGAACAAAAGGGAACGCACTCTGTGAGTAAATTGCCGCGAATGACGCTCTAAACATCTCCTTGTACCGTCCTGAGCACTGAAAGAAGAATTTGTCCCAACGCATATCAATGCAGCGACAAATTTAAAAGGGGAAACATTTGATCTCTTAAAATACAACGTAAATTCGATCCTATTGCATGCTTGACACCACAAGACATTCTATATTGAACTACTGTGCAGCACAAGTCGACAAAATTATTCGTCCAATTCCATCACGCAAAGTGGTGTTTGAGAAGCAAGGAAAATAGATGGGAGCCGAACAAATTTGAAGTCGATTCTCGCTTTTGAAGATCAGAAATTGTATTCTACAGAACAACTTCCTTTCAATTCCATTCAATTTACACGCGCGCACACACATACACGTACGCACATATATGCTCGAGCACATAGTGATCCGGGGTCAATTAACTCAAACTGTCGGTACAACTTAGAGCCGGTTTCACTGACGTCCGGTTAGCGCTAAATCCGGTCAACTAAATCTGCGCCGTCTCTGTTTAAGCCGCAGATGCTGATTATAATCTAGAAAGGAACAACGAATGACCAAGTGAATCGACGTTGACATGGATTCCCGTGACAACACTCAGCGAAAGGAAGCAGTCAAAGTCCTGTATCACATCGTGCCACACGGTGTGGCAATACGTGCGTGCGTCGTACACAAAGTCGCTCTGTTCCGAGGCACGCCAAATTCCAAGCCAAACTTGAAGGAGAGTAGACCTCCGCCGTTTCTTTTTTCTTCTCTTTTTCCTATACCCGAAGAAGACAAACTTTGCGACTTAAAGGAGAGAAGGGTGAGCGTCGTTGTGTGTGCAAAATAGTCGCGATACGTTGGAGTCGCTCTACCACACTGGCCATGCTCTTTCGGCGTTGGATTAGACATGACGAGAGAGAAAAACGTACCCCGTTACGTATATCTGTCGCCTGTATATAACTGCGCGCACGAATCCTTACATATGCAAGATACATGTCGGAACGATACGTGGATGATCGTGTACCCGGACGATCACCCGGTATGGTGCTATAAAATGTCACTCGCACGTAAAATCTTCAAAGGCAGAGGAAGACGACCGAGGTCGATTTCGCTTCGCGTGGCTAAATAAAACGTGGCTGGCGGCGCGAATCGCGTTCGCGTTATTTTACAACGAAATTGCGATCTGATAGACGAACTATAAGGTTACTGTGCTAGTCGAACAGCGGGTCATTGATCTCTTCTCGATTGACATTGATTTAAGATTTGCAAACGGAAGATTTGTGTTTCTTATTGACCTGAGATCGGTGCAAAACTCTTAAACGGAAGACAAGTCTTGTATTTCCTCTTCCTCTTCCTCCTGCTCTAATTTATCATAAAATATTCAATATCATTAACCGTTACAATCCACTACTTTTTTCTCTGTTACGGGGAGGCATTATCAACGACGTAAGCTTCGCTCTAATTCAACGTACTCGCGCGATGTACAATTTCAGTTTGACTTGCTTCGCTTATTATATACCTGGCGTTCTTCAATCGCATTCTTCTCTCTCTCTCTCTCTCTCTCTCTCTCTCTCTCTCTCTCTCTTATCCTTCGCTATTATCTCCTTCCATTTCTTTCTTATTTCTTTTCATTTTCTTCTTCGCTTATTCTCACAATGAATTTCTCTCGTACTTTCGACGAGCTTTCGAACCCGGCGCTTATCTACAATCGTTGTAAAACACCGCGATGAATTACGTATAAATAAATAAATAATAAATTGGGAGTCGAACGTGTCATGGGACATAAAGAGAGAAAAAACATTATATTCGTTCTAATCGCTACTCGATTTCGAAGGTTCGTTCTTAGGCCTTGCATACTGGTACGCGAGAAGGAAGATGCACAATGAAAATCTACGATGTCAGACCAAAGATGTGCTGTTAAATTCCAAGTAATATCGTATATACTGCATAATATTATACACGTGTCTGTTGTAATAATAAAAATTAATACTTGTAATGTATATAAAATATCAGATTATAAAGTATATAGTCATAAAAAGTACAAATACACATTTAATACACGGTGTCCCTCCATCTCTCGTATATAATAAGTATTAAATATATATATAAATAGTTATTAATATTATCCCAAAAAAAAAAAAAAAGAAAAAAAAATCTTCGAATAATCGTATATCGAAATAAAATTGAAAACATTAAGTATATTATATATCTCATTTATATAATCACAAATGTATTTAGATTCCCGAAATGGATGTAAGAAAGAGAATATATAGAGCTCCACAGAGTAAGGAGCGTTCGTTGCTAATGATGCACTTTCCTTCCGCGCGTGTGAACAACTCGTGACGTACATTAATCAAAACGCATTTGATCGTGACAAAGATTTTAAGTGACAGGCGACGTCACAATCGAATTTTCCAGCGCTAACGAAAGAAGTTGCATTGTATCTCTGTTTTGAAGTAAAATTCGTGCCACTTCCTGCATTTACAGTATCCTTGGAGGAAGCTGCGGTATACATGTAGGAAAAAGCGCACATCCCGTCTGTCAAGTTGTATATACGTTTAAGTTGTATCAATTATAAACGCAAATTGATATAAAAGATCACGCACTCCTATTCAAAATTGCCTCTCTCTCTCTCTCTCTCACACACACACACACACACACACACACACACACACACACACACACACACACTCTCTCTCTCTCTCTCTCTCTCTCTCTCTCTCTGTGTCTGTCTCTCGTTGTCGTGTGTCGAATATTTAACTTTAAAACTTAAATTTACTGACACGCGCGCGCACGCGCGAGATACTCGAGTTAGTTACAAAGTTAGAGAAGCGAAGTCTACACGGTAAAAGTTTCGTAAAAGAATTTCTCGAAGCGTATACGTGATTAATCGCCTTGTTACATTTTTTTTTTTTCTTTAATACGTGTATCCTATTACGCTCGTTACCAGCAACGATTACATCTATCCTAGGCCACAATATCATCCATGCTGATGTTCGGAAATATTTTACAGAAAAGAACGTCGACCGGAAATACACTAGTCGTTGTACTAGTATTTTCAGATCAACTATGCTCGATAATATAGATATGTACTATAGCATCTTACGAAATGAAAGAACAAGTACGAGATCAAAAATCTCTCGAAAAATTTGCCTTCCCCAGTACGTATATGAAACAACGTACAATACTCTATCTTCTCCTCCCCTCTCCCCCCCCTCACTCCCTTCTGCTCTTTCTCTTTTGCTAGCCTTATTAAATATTAGGGATATTTAATCTGACACACACACACACACACATATGCTCTCCCGTTAGCTACAATTCTCCATGTCTGATTTATCTTCTTAAATACATGACCTTCAGAGAAATAAATTATATCAAAAACAAACGCAAGTATTTGTGTGTGTAAGAGCATAAAGGAATATATTAATATTCCTCAAATCGTACATTTTTCTTTCTCTTTCTCTTCCGGAAAAAATGATGTTGTATGTATACGGTTATCGCGAAGTTATCATCTATGCACGCGCTGCTTTGTTTCGTTACTTAAAACACTTAACAGTAGGAAGAATATATAATTAAAAATATCCTCGGAATTGATTCGTCAAACGAGAAATAAGCATTTTACAGCGTGTCGGGAGAAACCTTTGTCCATCTTAAAATCAATATCCCTAATTCAGCTGGCTTACTTAAGGATCATCATCCCATTAATGAGTATACGCGTGTATTACTTTAATATTAAATGTGTGTAACTCTCTTTCTCTCTCTTAAATGGAAATCTATACGTTATTACGATATATATTCTTGCACAGACGCGACACCCTCGCGTCACGTTCTCGTTTGCTACGAAGCAACCCGCACCGATACCGATACGCACATGACAATCGTATCTGACTGTGAGAAGAGTTTTCAATTATATGAGCATACTCAAGACAGAAACCAAGGAAGTAGGTACAAAAATCACTTCGGCCTTTGGAAAAATACCTCACAGATAAGCGACGGCCCGCACGACTTAAATGCCGTTTATTTCTTATCACACTTACTTTAGTTTTACATCCTTCATAAGGATCCCACAAAATCAACAGACCATTACATTGACGTGCGTGCACGTATAATATATATGTATATATGTACACTTGCGTATATATATATATATATATATGTGTATGTATATATATATATATATGTGTGTATATATATATATATATATATATACATATATATATATATATACACACACGCGAGTATGTGTGTATATTTATATATGAATGATTGCAACTGATCGGATGAAAACTTACATTTCTTTGTAAACGTTTGATAAATGTCTAAAGATAAAAGCTACGTACGTTTTCGCGTGCGTTCTCTCGCGTCCCTCCCGCGCTCTCTTTCTCGGCGATACAAACCTCTGTTTCTTTTTTTCCCATTTTCGCTTCGTTTCCTTCCACATCGAAGAATGTTTTCACATTCCACATCGAGCAAACATCTGCGACACGATCAGAGTGTAATTGGAAAGAATTATATAGATTGTTCATAGTTAAGCTTATCGTTATTTTCAATATTTTAAATACTTTATGCAACGTGTGCATCAGACTTATAATGTGTCAGCCAATACATTTATATGTTCCCGCCGGAAGGATAAAAGGGAAATGCGCCAAAGATGCCCGGTTGAAAGTTCCCCGGGGTCTTTGGTGAGACGCATGTGTAGAGAAAATCGTCAGACTGCAGTTGCGTCCTATTCAGATTCGGTTCGGATTCTGATCTCTTTATCTTCGGTAGAGCGAGCAGAATGGACTCTAATATAGTGACGATCTGACGGAACATCGGTCGTTCGTCCCGCGAAAACTTGATGCAGTGCTCCGTGAGTCTTTTGAGCGCTTCCGGCGTGTCGGAACGCACCTTGTTCAAATCGGGGCGCAGATAGCCGCGACCTACCATAAACAATATCTGATCTTTGTTGTTTATATTCGAATACGGTAGTTGACCTGTCAGCAACTCGAACAATACCACACCGAAGGCGTAGACATCGGACTGAAAGCTGTACGGGTTTTCCTCTTGCATTCTTATGACTTCGGGCGCCATCCAGAGTATAGAGCCACTCGGCTGATGAAACTGCTGCGAGCCGGACCATCTGGTCTTCGCTGTCGCCAGGCCGAAGTCACCGATCTTGACCGTAGAATCGTCATGCAGGAATATATTGTTGCTCTTCAGGTCTCGGTGAATGATGTTCTTGGCGTGCAGGTAGTCCATACCTTGCGCGGTCTGCCTGGGGATCTCTAGCACCGTTATCAGCTCGAATTTCGACTCGAACACGTGCAAGTGTTTGTACAGAGACGAGCCCTCGCACCATTGCGTAACGATCGCGAGCTGTGGTTTACTAACGCAACCCATAAACAACAAGATATTCACATGTCGAGTCTTACGTAAAACAGCTACCTCATTTTTAAATGCTTGCAACTGCGCGGTCGTGGGAATTTTGACGTTGAGCGTCTTCACCGCGACGGGTCCGTGCCAATGAGCCTTGTACACAGTCCCGAATGATCCGGACCCGATACGTGGCCCTACCAAAATCTCATCCGCTGGGATCTCCCAATCCTCGATAGATTCCCTCGGTGCTAGGAGGTTCTTCGTCGACTCGTCGGCTGACTTCGCCCTCGGCCGCTTCAACCTCAAAGTACTGGTAGGACTGGCCTGAGTGGACTGGCTGTGCTTGGTCGGGCTGCTGTCAGACGACACGGGGCTCTGAGTGGTGCCGGCAGGTCTGCCTAAACTCTGAGATCTGCTGTACTCCTCCAGAGTCACCGGCTCACCACCTGGTTTCACCATATTGAAACAGACGTTGGGTGCAGAGCTGGAACGATCGTGCTGGCCCAGGGAACGTGGGTGCCTCTGGTTCCTCGACGGAGCCAGAGAAGGAGACATGCTCCTGCTCAAGCCATAGCCGGAAGGGAGTTGCAAGATCCCGGCTGTAATCTCAGGATTATGGGCGAGCAGAGCTTGATAGTAAGCGTCCTGCAAGCGTACCTGGTGGCACAGGGGAGGCACGCCGCTCGCGCATCTCTGGTGAAATCTGTAATTACACGTTCTGCAATAAAAGCCTTGGAAGAGCAGCTTCCTGCAGTATTCGCAAAAGGCTAACGAGAAGAACGTCTTACGCACAAAGTTGTGCGAGATGGAAGTAGTTATGGGAAACTTATCCAAAATCTCGACCGAAATCTCGTCGCAGTCCAACAACGAGATGTCTGCGTCCCAAGACGTCAAGTGTTTGGAATTACCCATACCCAGAATATAAACCGCACACATCTCGGTAGTTAAATTACGCAGCTTCATGGCTTTGGCCAGTGCGTCTCTCAAGGAAAGTCCTTCTCGTACTTGTACACTGGTACGCTGCTGATTAGGTAGATATGCTCTCAGTGTACTGATCGACTTGACAGGCGTCCTGGCTACGCTGTTGTCACTCTCTGACGTGGAGGCACTGGTCGGTATCTTTTCGCCGTGCAGCAGTTCATTGAGCTTCAGCTCCTTGCACTCTAGATCGTGCAACTTACTCGTCAGCTCGTGATACTCGTTGAGATATATCGACGGCGGATGTTGGAAGTCGGCAAACCGATTGTTCAGAGCGTCGATATTCTGCCGCGTGACTTGTATGACGCTCTGTATGTTGCGCAGCTCAGACCTGAGCGGGTCCGTGTCCAGGTAACCGTCGTCCGGGTCGCTCAACTCGCCGGACTCTGGGCCGCTGCCGCGCGAGGATGTCATAGTGGGCAGTTGCGACGGCTGGTCGCCTTTCTTTCTGTGCCGACGACAGCGAGTCGACACCGAGGACGAAGACAACGTCGATAACGATGACGACGACGACGACGACGACAACGATGACGACGACGTCGACGACGACGACGACGACGGCGACGATGACGATGACGACGACGACGGCAACGGCGACGATGACGAGAACGAAGACGTGAACGTGTCCGTCTGAGTGCTCCCGATTTTACGACACGAAAACTCCGTGTACACGTTCGCACGGATCGCCGTGTGGTATTTGCGTTCGCCGATCACGGCCATCTTCTTGCTACGTCGGGCAGCATCCTGGGCCCCCGCAGCTGCGCTTCGAAACACCTCGGTAGCCCGTGTACCGCGCTACCCGTGTCTCTCGACAACGGTGAACGGTAGATACGCTCGCACGAGAGAGAGCGTGCGCTACTTTGCTCTCTTCGCTGCTACTATCGTTCTCTCTCTCTCTCTCTCTCTCTCTCTCTCCCTCTCTCCCTCCCTCCCTCTATCTGTTTCCCTCTCTCTCTTTCTTTTTCCCTCTCTCCTTCCCTCTTTCTCTCTCTCTTTCTCTCTCTCTCTCTCTCTCTCTCTCTCTCTCTCTCTCGTCTCCTCAACCGCTTGTCGCTGTCCTTCTATCTCGCTCCGTCTAATTTCTGAGCACGCCGCAGTTACCTTGCCGCGCGATCGAGCACGCAGCGTCGTCGCCACCTTTTGCCCGTTGTTCTGGCCGTTGTCAGTCGCACGTACCACCAAGTCGGATCGTCGTCGCAATGACGCGCGAATGCACACAGAATGTCGCGGGGTATCGCTGGGTCGCCGCCACCGTCACCGCCACCGCCACCACCGCCGCCGCCGCCGCCGTCAGCGCGTACTTGTCACAACGTCCGCCAACAATCTCCTTCGCGCCTCACGATCACTTCACCTCCTCTCTTCTTTCTTCTTTCTCTCTCTTTCTCTCTCTCTCTCCCTCTCTCACCGTGTCCTTTCTCGCACGCGACGCGCCGATCGTCCGCCCTTGACGTTGCGTACCTGATCTCTCTTGATTTACGTGCGACACAATACAACCTCAAATCGTTCCGCACGCAAAACTAGCGCGAGCGAGGTGACGAGCACGAGCGGGGGTTACGAGCCGCGGTGCTGCGCCGGTGCTGCCAGCGTCTCAACGTTGCGTCGCCTCCTCTCTCTCGCCGACCCTTTCGCTCGCGCGCGCCGTTATGCTCCGCCACCGCCGTCGTTCGAAACCGTTCGACTTGACGACGCGAGACGCGACGAAAGTGTCGCGAAAACAATCCTCTCTCTCTCTTTCTCTCTCTCTCTCTTTCTCTCTCTCTCTCTCTCTCTCTCTCTCTCTCTCTCTCTCTCTCTCTCTCGGCGCGTATTTCCGCGACACACGTACACTGCAAATGCATACAAGCTCGAGCGAGTGCCGGCCAAGTTGCGATCGATCGATCGGCCAATGTTAAGTTTCGCTCGTACGAAAGCTAGATGTAGCGAAAGAAAGACGCAGCGTTAAAGATGCATGTGTTCCCGCAGCCCGTGACGAATCACCTTCCGAATCCGTTGTCGCGCGAGATTTCGACGTGAAACACAAGGCGCGCGCGCGCGCGCATCCACGATGATGATTTCTCTTACGTTACGGCGGAAGACGACGAAAGATCGACGTGCATCTCGCGCGACGACACGTTTAAATTTAGGTCCTGTTACGCCGCCGTCGCTGCCGCCGTCGCGCTCCTCGACTCCAAGTGGTCCAAGTATCGGCGCAGCACGCGATAGAGAGACGCGACATCGTCCGCCGCTCGTGTCGTCTATCCGCTCGCTCGCTCTGTGACTACCGCACCGCGCCGCATCGCATCGCATCGCATCGCATCTCGCGCGGACCGATAATTCAAGTTCAATTCTTCCGTAAACACGGCCACTTGCGTTGCGCGTTCTCTGACGTCACTGCGGGCACGCTTTGACGTCAGCGGCATATGGCACACCGTCGCCAAGGCGACGAAAAGTCGATTCCCATTGGCCAGACGCGCTTACGTATGTCGTCTCGCGCTGCGAGACCGGCTGGAAAATGCTCTCGAGAACCTGAGAAAATCGCGTTTCCGAGCCGTTGGAATTTCTTTCAGCGCGCTCGATAACGAGTGTGTCATTTTCTTCTTTGTCCCGCGTGATGAGAGCGTCGTCAGCTCCCCGAACGCGCTCGATCGTCGTCGATACTTTCTCCGTAGACGAGCTACGTTGTACCGATGAAGTAACAATTATAAAGAAAGTTTCACGAGAGTTGTCAACGGACAAATTCTTCATCTACAAAAATGTAATCTAAATGTTAAGAAATCGAATCGAAGTATTAATTTTAACGTGTTGGGATATATTTACACAGCGGGAAATTATCAGAAATTATTATCCTTGTGTCAATATCTTCGATCATTGAATTTAGTTGACTGTTGTCGGAGCAAGTTCGCAGTATCGAACAAAATTTCAAACTTTGATAGTCTCACTCAGTGTTTCAATCTTTAAAATTAACAACAAGGTCATTTCTTCACACTCTTGGTTATAACGAAAGCGAATGCGAAAGCGAAAGGTCTTTCTTCCTTTCTAATGATGAAAGTAACTATAAATTCCCACAGACAACACAATGTCCAAAATCGGAACATAAAATCGGGACGTTTTTAAAACGTCTTGTGTGATTTTAGACATTGTGTTGTCTGGGTTATTATTTATTTTAATTAGATAAAATACAATAAATAAAATATATTCTTGCAACATAACACAGAATGATCAGGTATAATGTCATAAAGAAAAGATAAGTTAGTTTCACAGCTAACTTTCTAACAAAATTAATAAAACAAAATAAACATTTCCTATCGATTCAAAATAAAATGAAGTTCTTAGTTCTTACTTCTAATTAAGAATTAACTCACACTTTGGTACTTCTTTCTTCGTACAGATTTGTCTAATTATATTCAAAATGAATACAATGAATGAAACATAAAACTGCACTCCCCCGCCATCCAGTGTGTCCCCAGTAAAGCTGCGAATCCCGCGGGCTGGACAAAATCTTTCGATGAAACTTTCGCATTGCGATAGCGAAAGCGAAAGCGAGAGTCTAAAATGACACTAAAACGAATATTCGTTACAACCCTAGTATGATGTATGTGTATATGTACATATATATATATAAGTCAGCAGCAATCCAAAGCATTCGCAGTTGTGATTATCGTTTCGTCGCAATTATTTACAAAATCATTAATCGAAATATGTCAAAACTCTTAGCTGGAAAATTGGCACTTGTCACTGGTTTGTTAAGTCTTACGTGTTGTGTCAATTCATGTCAATTCATTAATTTTAAATTAATAATTCATCATACTCCTCTCCAGTTAACAGTTTTAACTGAATCGTTAAAACCTACTGTGAAATCATGGAGCGTGACGATTAAATATAATTAACTTTGATATTGTTGAATCAGAGCGTGTTCGACATAAATGTTGTGTTGTAATAGATATTATAATATCTATTTTTCAATCACACGCGCGCGTATTGCAGACGCTGGAAGCGGTATCGGAAGGGCGGTGTGTCGTGTTTTAGCCCGAGAAGGCGCCAAAGTTGTCGCAACCGATCGGGATGATAAGAAGATTCAGGTAACTGTAAACGCTTTGGAAGGTCTTTTAAGGTTCATTACTATTAATCAACGTCTTAACGTGTATTAAAACCAGTATTACATAAAATCCGAAATCTCATTCGTAATTTCCTCATTTGTTATTCGTCGAGAATATAATACCGGCTTCAATCTTTACGCAAGATGTTTCGCAACGCTTGTCGTCCGTAAACAGTTCAATGAGGAATAAGTCAATATGTAATAGCTGATCAGTTCAAAATATATAGCAAAATATTTTAATAATTATTGCGCTAACAATGTTTCTAATATAAGATAATAACGTAATTTTCAATATAAGATAATTATTGCATTTCTGTAAACATATTTTTACTAATTGATGTCTGATTACAAGTTTAATCGATAGCATATGTAATCACTACATGCAATCGTATATCTATAATTGTTGAAAAATGGATAATTCTCGTATTCAAGTTATGCATAACATTTTAATACTTTATATAATGTAGTATAATCTTTCAGTAGCATATAACCGACAGTAGTATATGCAGTAGTAGATAGTAGTACATATATGTAGTAGTAGATGTAGTATAACCGATATAACGGACAAATACATTTCAGTAACATATGTTTGCGTTATATAATTAGAATTTCGTGTGAGCAGGAAATTACAACTAATATGTATGTTGCAAGCAACTTACATGTTACCTGTTACCTGTTTGTTACATTTCGATATATCCCCACGACAATTCAACCATCATGTATATTTCTGTTTGATAAATACATTTACACAATTTTATCATAGGTACGGACCATGTTGCTATGAATATGCAAGTCATTAAGCGGGAAAGTATTCAAACAACTTTTAAAAATGTCATAAAACAATTCTCAAAGCTTCCTAACAACATCGTGAATTCTACAGGCGTTGTGTTAGTAGATAACCTTATAAATTGTAGCAACGAGGATTTTGATAACGTAATCAATGTTAATTTAAGAGGTACTGTCTTGGTTATGCAAACTGCTATCAAAATGATGCAACAAGAGGCAAATGCACCAAAAAATTCTTCAATTGTGAATATCAGTTCAATTCTTGCCACACGAACATTTCCTAAGATGGGCATTTTTAGTGTATCATAAGTTGGAGTAATAGCTTTAACCAAGGCTGCTTGCTCAGAGTATGAAACGTATATATTCAAAATATGTACTTATATATGTATTAACAAATAATTTATTTAAAATTGTCCTTTTGTTTGTAAAACATCTATATCATTGTTTATACAGATTTGGAATCCGAGTTAATGCAGTATTGCCTGGCCCTATAGACACTCCCATGTTCGCTGTTTTATCAGGTAAGAAGAAAGAGATACTAATAAAACAAGCAGCACTAGCAAGAATAGGAAAGCTGCAAGAAGTGGCAGAGGTAACTGCATTTTAAGCATCTGACAGGAGTTCCTATATGAGTGGAGCAAGTGTTGAAATTACTGGAGGGCTGTATATGTGAATATTTTGATTTGATTTTTACTTATTTAAATGTATACATATTGCTGTAAACAAGTTTCCAATTGTTGTGCATTGTACATCTCTCAAATACAGAAAATATATTTTATATGTAATCACAATAAGTTACTTCTTCTTTCCTTTCAATTTCTTCGCATGTTTATGCGCTTTATAGTGGGTCTTTTTCTTTTCTTCAATAATCTCTTTGTATTTACGTTTATTATACTTTGTGAATTCAGCATCAGCCATAAGCTCATCAACAATTGTTTGTTTACGCTCCTTCTTTGTAAGACGTGATGAATAATAATCCATTGGTGAGTCCACAATTTTGCCAATTTGAAAATGTTTTGGCAATGCTTTTCTATCATTCTTCTTGTAGAAATGTTTTGGATCTAATGCTGATCTCATTTGTAACACCTCAAGATCGTGTTTTATCTCTGGTGTTACATAAGGTGTGTGCATATTAAACCATCCCGCACCTGTTCCAGCCTTTCGCCTTTCGTGTCGTTTACGAGCTTGTAATTGGCGTTTGCTCAATTCATAAGGAGGTACAAACCGTAATTTTTCAAAATTAGGTGTAATAATACTTTTCTTCATTATCTCATCTACTGGATTTATTTCTTTCTTTATACAAATTGTATCTTCTGTCGGTTCTGTTATTTTTGAAGATCTCCAGTCCATGTAGGCTTCAAACTCCACAAGATCAATGTCTTCATTATAAACAAATTTCTGTTTCTTTGGTTCCTCCGTTATAATGCCGAGATAGTCTGCATCATATATCCTCATAGAGTCAATATCTAATGATGAAAGACAAACTTTAATCGTGCAATTTGTAATACAGCTACCAATTATTCAATTATTATCAATTATTATCAATTATTCAACAGATAACGTTACATGTATATATAAATTCTTTTTCATATCATAAATAAAACGATAAAACTAGAGATGTTTAGCTTTATTAAGCCAAACAAGCTAACCTCTATTTCACAAAGATTAAAAAAAGCAATGCACATATATATAATTACCAGACTCTTTTTTCTTTTCAATTTCCAAATTATTATCATGGTTTCTTTCTACCTCAATGTAATTGGATTTATTGCCTGCAGTATCTAATATAAAAATATCCATTGTAAATATCTATCCGATCGCGTATTTTGTACCCCGTTTATCACCGTCGACACACGTGACAATAGGCCTGTTCGTTTTTGGTCTGCTCTTTGTAGCTGCACTGCTGAACTAGTGCAATAAGCTAAAGTGAGGAAACCTATATTTGTCTCACTTTAACTTATTGCACCAGTTCAACAGTGCAGCTACAAAGAACAGACCATTGGTCTGTTCCTTTTAGCTGCACTGCGGAACTAGTGTAATAAGTTAGAATGAGAGAAAACTATATTTTTTCTCACTTTAACTTATTGCACCAGTTCAGTAGTGCAGCTAAAAAGAACAGACCACATTTGTCTGCATTGCTGAACTGGTGCAACAAGTTGAAATGAGAAAACCTACGTTTGTCTCACTTTAACTTAATCAGCAGTGCAAACAAAACGAACAGGCCTCATGTGAAAAGTCTGTTTTTTAACTACACTGAACTAATGTATGTACATACATACACTCACAGAACTTAAAAAGAAGAAGATATATAGTTGAGAGTCGATGGGAGAAAAAGAAAAAGAGAACTAGTGCAGATTAGTGCAGCCAGTTCAACAGTAGAAAACAAACTTAAGGCTGGATTCACACTGCGTCCTACATCTGACACATAATATATGATATCCAATAGGAGAACAGCCTCTCAAACTTAAAGGTCATTCTACAATACGTGTCGTAAGTGTTACGTCCTGGACAAGCATAGAACATGCAATGTCTAGATTTGCTTGGTTTACTTCGGATCAGCGCTATTCTTGTCCAAATCTTTATTATTTGAATCTGTTGCCTTTAAGGCTCATCTACATTAGTTGTAAGAGTAAGGCTGTAAGGCTGTAACGTTCGGAAAAGCTGTACGATCATTGGACATCATGTGTCGCGTCGCGCATCGCGTTGGTCTGCAAGAGCCTTAAGAGTTTTGATTCCGAGAGGCTGGTAAATTATGATTTGAGTCTCGGCTAAAATCAGCTTTTTAATTCTAAAATGCAGAACGAAGATAACATGATATTTCTTAAAGCATTGGTAGAGTATTGACCACAACGTACAATATTATTTCATTAAACTTAAACTAAAAAAAACATTATTACAACATGTTAAAACTTGTAACTGGAAAACTGGCATTTGTTACTGGTTCGTAATTTAAATTTAGGTCGTTTCGAAAATGATTCTTAGAAATATATATATATATATATATATATATGAGGTACAAAAGATATTAAATATAACTTATGTTCTCTATTGAACAAAATCACGCGTACATAAATAAACGGTTGGTGTTGATTTACTATTACACGTAAAACGTGTGATGTAAAGATAAATTTTATATAATTATTTACTTGTGTACTTTATTGTTATCTCGATTGCAGGTGCTGGAAGCGGTATCGGAAGAGAAGCATGTCGAGTTTTAGCTCGAGAAGGAGCCAAAGTTGTTGCGACTGATCAGAATATCAAGACTGCTCAAGAAACTGTGAACACTTTGGAAGGTTCTCTATTAATTAATTATCGATAAGATATGTATCATTCAACCATTACTTTATTATGTATAGAACTTGTTATGTTACAGGCGATGGACATATTGCATTATATGTACAGGTCACTAATGAAGAAAGTATTCAGGCTGCGTTTAAAAATGTTACGAAGCAATTTTTAAAACCACCTACTATCATTGTTAATGCAGCGGGCATTGTGCGAGATAATTTCCTAGTAAAACTCACTGTAGATGATTTTGATGATGTGCTCAATGTTAATTTGAAGGGTACCTTCATGGTCATGCAAACTGCTGTCAAAGCAATGATAGAAGCAAATACAACAAAAGATTCATCAATTATCAATGTGAGTTCTATTATTGGTAAGCTTGGAAACATTGGACAGACTAATTATAGTGCATCAAAAGCTGGAGTAATAAGTATGACCAAGTGCGCTTGTATGGAACTCGGAAAGTATGTATCTGATATTAGTTAATTCATTTAAAACATTTAATATTCATGAGAGATTCATTTATCTAATCTATATTTTACAGATTAGGAATTAGAGTGAATGCAATATTGCCTGGTTTTATAGAGACTCCTATGATCGCAGGTATACCAGATAATGTAAAAGAGATGTTTATAAAGAAAATACCTTTACAAAGAATGGGAAAACCACAAGAGGTGGCAGAAGTCATAGCATTTCTGGCTTCTGACAGAAGTTCCTACGTAAATGGTACATCTATTGAAATCACTGGAGGGATGAATTAAATCTGTAAAATTTTACTGTATCAGATATTTACAAATATTTGAATCTATAGATTTATAAAAAACGTATAATATATTACATATCAATATTTTTTAATGTTTTTATAATCATATATGTACATATACACACATATATATATATGTATGTATGTATGTGTGTATGTATATTTTGTCTATATAGCCATGTATATAAATACATATGTTTATGTAAAAAGAAAATTGAACGAAAAAAAATAAATTTTATTTAATTAAACTTTGATATCATATACTACCACAAACATAGACAAAGCATTTGTTTTAATTATATTTTGCATTATTTGTTACCCTGTGAATATATATAATTACGTGTGATTATATAAAGACAAAATTAAAATATATGTAATCTTGTTTTCTTGGGAAATGTACATCGATTTCGCGTATTATAACAATATGTTTATTACACATAAAAGGTACAAAAATAAAAAAAATAATTTGCAGCTTTCACATTCTTTTTGAATTGTTATAGCAATATATGTAACAATAACTAAAAATTATTCTAAATGTAGTTTAAGTTAAGAGATGTAGTTAAGAGGAAGGGAGAGAGAGGGAGAGGGAGAGAGAGAAAGTTTCAATTTGACAGGATAGGAAGCAATCGTGTGAATAGTATTATAATTACGACTCACTAGAAATGATTTATTAAGCTTAACTTTCATCACGTGTATATACAGTAACCTCGCATTAGTACGATAGCAATTTGTTAAGGCCTTTACATGTAAAAAATTCGTAATCGTAACCACAAGGCTGTAGCCATAAAATCTATTACCCATTTCTAATATCCCAATGCACAAAACTTCAACCTAATAAACGGAGTCTGAAATATTATATGTATATATATATATACATATATATTCGCATATATAATCTGAACAGCGGAATAAAATAAAGCGCAACAGTTCCCGATATCTGTCCACGTTTACAAAAAACATCTCTAATAAACGATATTACCGCCAAATAAAATAAAGGGTGTCCCAAAATTCACGCAAAATTTGAATTTTGCGCCATTTGTGCGGTAAAGTGTTGCCAGTGAAAAAAAAAAGATAGCGTGACAGCTGACAGTTCAGGGTTTTTAAACTGACCACGCACAGCGAAGAGAGTTCGTTGAATGGATTATGGAACAACAACAAGTGGATGCTGATTTTTCGAACAAAATCATCTTCAGCGATGAGACTCATTTTCATCTTGATGGCATGGTTAATCGCAACAAAATTGTCGCATTTGGGGTTCAGAAAATCCACGAGTGATTGTTGAGAAACAAATGCATCGCACAACGTGTCACCGTTTGGTGCGGATTTTGGGCTGGAGGCATCATCATCGGACCATTCTTCGGAAGAAAATGCGGCTGGTCAGGCAATAACAGGTTAATGGTGCTCGCTATCGCGACGTGATAATCAAGTTTTTTGTGCCTAAATTATAGCAAGATATGGATGTGGACGACATGTGGCTTCAACAAGACGGTGCCACATGCCATACAGCCCGAGAAACAATTCAATTACTGCATGAGTCATTTCCTGGTCGTGTAATTTCCCGTTTTTGGCCGCCCAGATCATGCGATTTAACGCCGTTGGACTTTTTTCTTTGGGGTTTCTTTTGAAGTCTAAGGTTTATGCCAACTGCAAACCCACGACCACTCACGCCTTGACGGAGGAAATTGAGCGCTGTATCAACGAAATTCAGCCACATTTATGCAAAACGGTCATGGAAAATTTCAACAAAAGAGTGCATATGTGCCAGCAAAGCCGTGGAGGCCATTTACCCGATATGCTATTCCATACATAACCCTATATACATACATAACACTGTATACTTTATGAATCAATAAAAAATTTACAATCTTTAATTAATAAACCTGTGTTTTCTATCAAAATTACTTCTTGCGTGAATTTTGGGACACTCTTTATAAGTCATTTTGCTGCTTTCCTAGTGATTAATTATAAGACGTTAATTGTAAAATTTCAACGTGATGGAAATTTTGCGATTACGTATACTTTTAGATGCATTATTCAATTTGATTACACGTTGGAAATTTTCCACTTTACGCTTACGGATTTTCTGCATGTAAAGGTCTTTACTCTCCGGCGAATGGACGCGCTCGTGAAACCGACATGCACTTAAAGTGGGAGATAGCAGCTAGAATATATATACATTCGCTCGTATACACACAGTATCTTTACAACCATCGTCCTCATCGTCAATCATTTCCGATCATACGCGGAAAATAGCAAATTTCAAAGATATCTCGTGAAAATTACTGGCTACAAACTTTAATCACTCTCACTTTTATTTCTTATCTTATTTTAATTTGCATTCAAGTTTGATTGAGTAAATGTCTTTAGTCTCACTTGAAATATTCTCAAACGTTTGCGAAACATTTTTTTTTAAGAGCCTTTCTGAAAATAAGTATAAATTATTGAATGATAAAGCTCTTCATACCTTCCTGACAAGAAACATTGTTTTGTGAAAATGACATGGTATAAATTTATTCTGTGCTTGTCGCTGTTGCACCGATTTTCGATTTGTTTGCACGTAAATTCAATTGCGCTGTCCTCGCAAGATCTTCCGGCTCTAGAAGATTTCGTTACTGCAAATGTTCAGAAGAATTTTACCGAACAGTTCATCCGTGTTGAAACCAGACCTGAATTTCCATCGAGAAGCACCAGTGCGTTAAACAGCACCGAAGAAGCTAACAACGAACACTGGAGTCTTGATCGAGTTTTAAAAATCTGGGATCCAATCGCCATCTCGCGTATTTGGCAGAACGAGACTTACCAGGATGCCGGCATTTCACTATCCTGCGGTGAAGATTTTACTCGTTATATGACAGGTGTATCGAGAAATACGATCTGGGCTTTGAAAAGTGAGTGATGTGATGACAATTTATAATAATTTAGAATGCTTTGTCAATTATAATTATGAATCAAGAACTAACTATCGAGGCGCAACAAATGGCACAGTGAATCATAAAAAATGTTTCGAATATTTTACACTATCTATATATAGATCTACACATAAATAAATGTTGCAACGCGCGTTTGTTTCGGACGGTTCTCTCGTTGTCACTCACACACACACACACACACACACACACACACACACACACACACACACACACACAGAGAGAGAAGCGTATAATTACCAATTAACGTGTTTACAGATATAACTTAGAGAGAGAGAGAGAGAGAGAGAGAGAGAGAGAGAGAGAGAGAGAGAGAGAGAGAGAGAGAGAGAGAGAGAGAGAGAGAGAGAGAGAGAATTTCAGTTTTGAGAAAATTATATTCCTTTTCATTTTGCATTATTATATTTATGTTTTCATCGCACATATATGATATATAACATATATATGATAATATTATATTCCAATAAATACCATACAAGTAACAGTAGTATAATATCAATGTCAATTTCCCACTCAACAATACAATGTTGTTATATATAATACGTGTTATATAGCAATAATATTAGAGGAAAATTATAACATATTGATGTTATGTTACTATTACTTGATATTCAATGGGCTATAATCACTGTTACGTGTATGTGTACGTGTTACAATTCACTACTTTCGTCACATTTACTTTTTAATTTTGTATACTTTCATCACATTTGTTTATAATTTGTTCTTTTCACTGGCTAATTCCAGGCCAATAACATAATGTAGTAAATAAAGAGACTATAACGCAATTGCTGCTTGTGCCGTGCCATTTTTTTATAAAAGGAAGTAACAGAGTAAGAAAGAGGAAATTTTTCTAATGAACTCGTATAAAATACCGGAAATGTTGAACATCGCTAATTTTGTGGCGTAACTAATGTACCCATAATATCGGTTGAACGTAACAAATTGACGTTACATAAATGATACAAAGAGAGGAAAAACTTTCTTTCGAAAGTTCTTTTAAAGGGTGTCTGGCGTATCTCAATCATGTAATTGAACTTAACTATATCCCGTCGTTACCTGTATCGTTACACATATTACGGCTCAGAGTATTTAACAAACTCTACAAACGAATATTCTCACGTGTAAATCAGTTTCACATTTTAGTCAAATTCAGTACAATTTAATCGGTCCTGTCATTCTCATTCGCGTCTTTTTTTAAATACTTCAAATCTTTTACTTCTTTACTTTCATATTTGACGTAGTTTTCTAATTATAGATACATACAATTGGTTGTTAATATGATTATCGCCGTGCGATAAATTCGTGTCCGTATAAAATTCTAGACACGAGTTTCCGTTTTCCAGTGATGGACGCGGATGGCAAGCGCACGTGGGGCACATTTTCCGGTAACATATATTGGCTCGGAGACGCGGCTCAATGTTACAAAATGGAAAATGAATTTGCGGAATGGCAAAGGGATGGGAGACTCCAGCGAAACGAAGAATTACCGCCCTTTCGCGTCAATATGAACTCCGTCAGTTTCGCCCTTCGCATTCCTCACGAATCAGCATTAAACGGGATAATCGGCGTAAAATTTTTACAATTTCGTCAAAACTCGAAGTATAATCTGAATAGATTTAATATAAAACGTTTATTTGTCAGGCTCGCAACATCACGCTTGGATTATGCCTGCCAATAACATGCAACACAAGGGACGTCGAGAGACTTTTATATTTTATACAAATTCAATTTAATTCTGACTTTCCTTTAAGGATTATTATCGACCACGTACGAAATCTTTCGATGGGATATACATTTTGGGAGGACACGACATTTTATATCTTACTGTACGTCAATATCACATACTTCATATTATCTTGTGAAAGCTTAGGAAAGTCTCATGAACTGATCTTCCCCGCGTTACGCATACTGCGCAACCAATCAATCATGCCAATAATTATCTTGGCAGGAGTAAGTCGGAAGTGCGAAACGTCTCCGAATGGTTACGCGATACGCGTTATGCGACAAATATTAGTCCATGGAAAACAATTTTCGTCCTTTCATCTCTATTAAAAAAATTGGCAATTCGCATATCTCACGCAGTTGATTGTTGCTTAACAACTTTGAAAATACATTATGCATAAAAAATAAAGAAATTATTTCCGGACCACGAAAGATAAGCAAAATTCAACGGATTGTAAGTTCTGTAATAACTGGCAATATTTTTGGACATATGTTGATAATATGTTTTTAGACACATTTTTGAACATGGAGCTTTATGATTAATTTTCACAAGGTCACATGTAAATGCAAGGCCGCCCAAATATTTAAGAAAGCCTGCCGACTTTTCGTTACAACGCTTAAACAATCAACTGCATGAAAAAAAGTTGCAACGCTTAAACAAACAATTACATACAAATCAGACTTACATAATTTAAAAGTCAAACCTCTTTCCTTAATTTGTGCATATGCAAATTTCAAAGCGATTCTTTCGCACTTATTTCGCAGAGTTCAACTTCAAACTAAAAGTATAAAAATTCTGGAAGATGGGGATGGAAGACGAGGTTGAATATTAAACAATCGCTATTTCTCATTTAAATCGATGTACCTTAGCAACGGAGGATAATATATAACTTTTGGTTTGTAGCTGCACTGCTTAACTGGTGCAATAAGCTAGAGTGAGAAAACCTCTATATTTGTCTCACTTTAACTTATCGCATCAGTTCAACAGTGCAGCTACAAAGAACAGAACCACTTGATACGCTTGAAAAGTAAAGATTTCAAGTTTTAATACGGTTCTTGAATCACGGTTCGCTTTCTTTCGCCTTTCTTGTCGAGGTTACGGCTGGTTAAATCGTGCCTATCGCTGCATTCGGCAAAAAAAACTGCTTACTAAGCACTCGGTGATTGTCACTCCCGATTGGTTTGTTTGCTACTAAAGAACCGTCAAAAATCTAAAAGAATACTCGGCTCTTAGATAATAATCATCAAGCGTTTAGCAAGCAGCTTTTTCTGCTGAACACGGCCCGTGTTTTCGTATAAGGGAAAGTGTGTCTGATGATTCTTACCACTTCCATGTTTGTCAATATAGTGGCGGCTCATAGCGGAGACATTGGAACTAAAAGTCGGGGTCACCTTTCAGTAGCTAAGACACAAACCTCTCTTAACCGACACACTCTCCTCTCCCTCACTTAGCCGAGACTCAAACCCCTTTAGCGAACAGGTCCTGCTAAAACTCCGTTAGACGGCGCCACACAGGCCGTTAGCCGACAAGTGCACGTTTAAAAATTAATATCTTCAAAATTAAGATGATTTATATTTATGTAACATTGCAAAAATTAATCAAGCTCTATTTTCAGAAATACGTCTGAAAACTAGTTATTTGATATGCTGTAAAATATTTTCTCCGTCCTTCCGTTATTATCCGTTTTAAAAAAGTCACTACCCATTAAATTCTGCTCATCTTGTGAGTGAATGAGAAGTAATTCTTTAACTCTTGTTGTGTGTATCAGTGTATCAATGTATACAAAATATGTGCGATTAATGTGTATGTTGCAGAATTTCCTTCATCGTGGTACTTGTGCTCACACTCATCGGTACTTGTTACGATGTTACACTACGTTATAAAATCTTACGTAGGGGTGAGGAGGAGGAGGAGAACAGCGACGGTAACGCAGTCACGTTGTCAACACTGAAATCAAACAAGAAGCTCGATCGCAAAGTTACCATTTCGAAATTATGGGCTGTTAAGACTCACAACGGTTCCTTGGGTAATATCCTTCGTATATATATATATATATATATATATATATTATTTTCTGCAACATTTTTTCGCAATATCGATCGCAAGTATAAATAACACAAGTAAAATATAAATGTACGCCCTTTGCATCTCTTTGTTGTTTTGCGCAATCGTTGCTGTTATCAACGCGTTCTTATATATTAATCGGAAAGCGAATCAAACATACGAAACGCGTAATTCTAATTGTAACTGTAACAATTCTTTGCAGATATTCGCAATTCGAATAGTATGCCGAAACCTTGCTCGGAAGCTTTGCTGTCCTTCAGTCTACTCGTCAATATATTCAAACTTTGCAGTCTGGACGTTGGTGTGGATACTTTAGCGCCGATACATGGCTTGAGATTTTATTCCATGCTCTGGGTGATACTGACGCACACGTGCTTAATATTCAACGAAATCTCAGGTTTGATGCATGAGCAACATAGAGAACAATGATGCATTATTCTATCATAATGCATCTTCGTTCTTGTCGTAGAAAACAAGACATTCCGGGACAGAGCGGAGAAACACATTCTCTATCATACCGTCGGTAACAGCATATATTCCGTAGATACGTTCTTCTTCATCAGGTATGCGCATGACTTATTATCTCCAAGTGATTAATTAGTGGATGTACTAGAGATGATAGAGTAAATAAACTTTGAAATATCGTAGAAATGAAAATATATAAACTTATGATGAAAATATAAAGGGGAACGCGGCGCCAGATATAACCTAACCTGATATTTTCTTTATTCTTTATTATTTTAACACACACACACATATATATATATATATATATATTAGAAAAATAGAAAAAAGATATATGACGCGATACATGTAGGCGCGGTCGGGGAAAAATAAGAAAAAAAATTAATTTCTGTTTTAGCGGATGCTTGGTGACATTTCTCTATTATCGCGCTATGGCGAACAAGAGGTTACGGGAGAGACGGGTGACGCAGGGATGTCGGGGTCAGATTCTGCAATATTTGGCCATGATGTTGTACAGATATTTTCGCTTGACTCCGATTTACTTGCTGGTGATCGGCCTGGTCCAGGTGTCGATGAAATGGTATCACGATCATTCCATGATTGAATTATCCACGGCACTGGACTACGAGACCTGTGGGAAGTTCTGGTGGCGGAACGCTCTGTATATAAATACCTTTTACAGTGTGGCCGAACGAGTAAGGACAACTCCGCACGATTTAAAGCGTCGATTTTTGCCCGCTGTCTCAAAAATACACTTTCGTTTTGGTTGCTCTATTAAGATGATACACCGACGGGCCTGTCGGTGTATTTGTTACGAATGCAAATATTTTCGAGAGCATCGCGACTTGAAATATCTCAAATACTCTTTTGAACATCAGACGTACGCGCGCGCGCACGCATTTCATATGTTTAAGTGTTCATGATTCACATTACAGAAGTATCGATTAATCGATACTTCTCTAATCAGTACATTTTCGAATATCGAATTGCTCGTTTTGCACAGTGCATCTCCTGGAGTTGGTACCTTGCGAACGACACACAATTTTACACCGTAGGCACGATCATCCTGCTAATCGGAGCGAAGTAAGTTAGCCGATTGGACACAAGGGTGGACGATAAAAATGCGAGTGTCGATTATCCAATCGATTTTTCTTCGCAGCTTTCTACCGGCGGCCGCAGTTATCATCGCTTTCTTTTTGATCGGCTCGTGGGTCACGACGGCGATAATTACTTTGCATGCTGGACACGTGCCAAGGTGAGCACACAGCGCACGCGCGCGCACGCACACACACACACACACACACACACACAGGTCGTAATGTGTCCATGTGCACGTCACATCGTCTACCTTTAAAACGTATTTTACGCCAATTATGCGCATCGGGCGTGTAGGCGAGAAGCTGCATAAAATAGATAATTGCATCCCTAGCATCCAGGATCCGTTCGCTCACTATGAGAGCCTGTACGACAAGCCGTGGACGAGAATAGGACCGTATCTCATAGGAATAGTCACTGGTTGGTACCTCTTCAGGATCAACTGCAAAGCGGATATGAAGAAAGTAAGCTTCCCGTAACTGCTACTCTTGACGCACAGATTTATATTTATTTAAGCGACGACACACATACCCTTATGCAAGCGCGCACGTGCTTAAATTATTACTCTGCAATTCACGATACGCAATCGATAGATGTCGATCGATGATTTGACACGCTTGATCGATTCGTCATCTTTGTGGCTGCAGGTTGTTGTTGCATTCGGTTGGCCTCTCTCCTTGGTTATCATGATATGTATAGTGTATGGATTGCACGAAGCTAACTTTGGACCGACATTATCCGTGCTCTACACAACGCTCTCACATTCCGCCTGGGCGATGTGTCTGGCGTGGATCCTGATCGCCTGCGTTACCGATCACGGTGGTGAGTGTTACATGTTTGGATGTAGAAAAGCTTTCTCTGCGTATCCATTAATTCGGATACGCAGACAAGTAATGGACAATACGCGTCGGAGACCGCGCGAATGTAAAGGTGTAAAGTAAAAGTCGATGTCGGGATTGTTTCAGGTGCGGTGAATCGTGTACTCTCCTGGAAATACATGTATCCGCTCTCGAGATTGACGTATTGCGTCTATCTAGTGCATCCCATGCTCATAAGAGTTTTCATTCTACAGAGCGGACGTTCGTGGTATCTCTCGATCAGTTCCTTGGTATTTCTTTGCGTTTCATCATGAATATACAAGTCCCCGAATATACTATTCGGGGACTTGTTTAACACTTCTGTGTACCAACGGTTAATTTTCCGTTACCTACCTGTGTGTGCACAAGAGTTGTCCGTGGATACCGCTAGATCCCGGCTCACAGCACTCACTTGGCGGTGGACACATTCCTCAGAGTTATGCCAGTTAATATTCCGGACAATATTTTTTCGCTTATGCAAAATTGGACATTGTTAAATGTCAACGAGTTTTGTCAACGACTGTATTTTTTCGCACACCTTGACGTATATTCTGCGCGAAAGAAAGATCACAAATTAAAAAATGTTAATCGTTCAGATGGGAATATTGTATTAAGAAGAAAAGTTCAAACTCTCTCGTTAAAACGAGATGTAAATTAAAACCGGAATGATAACTTACGCTTGGAGACTCTTACGTTGGCTAATCTCGATGTAACTTACAGGCGGTGCTATTTTTGGGGAATGTGGTGACATCATACGCCGTGTCGCTGTTCCTCAGTCTGTTATTCGAGGCACCCATGGTATCTCTGTTAAGAATACTGCACCCCTTGAGAGAGTGGAAGCAGCTGTAATTCACTTTTGCATCATCAATATGAAGCACCAAGAAGAAGATAGGGAAATGAAGAAAGATCAAAAGAGTACCGTGCATACATGTGCATGCAAAAATATATATTATATTCAGCTTTTGTACATTGATAAAATAGATAAAATAGATATCTATGTTTCCAACGACAATTCAACGCAAAAATCACTCAATAGTGATATTTCCATTTGCGTGCAGCCTCTCGCGCCGCTTATTATGCGGAGGTGATACCCCGCGCTCCAGTCATTCAGCACCTGGAGGGGTCTTTTTTAACAATTGTTTTTTTCGTGACGCAGCATCCTCCGCAAGAATACACGAGGGACGCATGAGCGCGTGCAAAGTTATCGGCGTAAGATTCCCGTGAGAGAAGAAATAATATTTCTCTCAGCATGACCGAACATCCAATGATAGTCTGTCAAAAGATTGGCGTACGGAGAAGGCGTACGTCCTCTAATTGTATGAAATTTCACGACGAAACTTGTGAGCTCCGTCGTTAATCCGGCACGAACTCATGCGAAACGACGCTGAAAGTTTTGCAATTCATTATCCTAAACGGCACCGACTCGCACCGCATCCTGCTGCAGGTAACTAATTCGGCGCGCGGACGGATGCGCAAGTGATTTCGCGGTCGATTCGTCGGGTGTGTTAAAATAATTGGCGAGAAGCAGTATGTAAGTGTATATGAAGTTGCGTTTCTGTATAATCAACGAACATGTACATGATGGATCATCGAATCGGCGCGTACTTCACGATACGACCGAGTTTCTTCTCGACTGAGAATAATACAGCATAATAGAATATTGCGCCACGTTGCCCAAGCTGGCGCGACAGCAATGTTTCTTTGTTGAAGCAACGGAATTTTCATCCCTCAACTGAACTCGCAATCAGGCTAATCCATTGACCGAGGTATCACGCCTTTTGTACTTGTCAAGTTTTCTGTTTCGTGATTTCAGTGATAGAATGCTCAATACTGGTTCTCAAACACGTTATTCGAAGCAAAGAAAGAAAGCCGGCCATTTCTCCTACACATTATGCGAGACTGGAATTGCAGTTGTGTAATATGCACTTGCGCTTAACTGCGATAACGATGACGTTCCATTTCATGAATTTCTACACACACACACACACACACACACACACACAATCACGCGTGCGTACGATTGTGCATTTTATACTCGAGCACAATTCATTTCCTTCGACTCGAAAACGAGGGTTTGAAAAATTCTCTTTTTTTTTAACTCGACACGAAAGCATATCGCTTCTTCTCTCACGTCTGTCTGGTGACAATCTGAGCAAAATCCTTCAGAATCTTCACGACAAATATTCTCCTCTTCGTCGTATAATTTCAACGACAGTGCGGTATTCTCGACAAACTCGATTAGGTCGGCGATTGTGCCGGCAGAAATTTGCATACTCAGCAGCAGCAGGCTTTTATCATGCTTACCTTTCCTTCGTATACAATCCCATCAAATGGAATCGGATTGTGTGCGGAGGTGACCAGTCGCGCTCGGGAAAAAAGTAGAAAAAATGAAAAAACATCTCTGACTGAGCATTAGTACGTGCACGAGTACACGTTACGACAAATTCACATTACCTCACGCCGCTCGTCGCCGATCTGAGGGATTTCAGTTTTCACTCCATACTCCGCCCCACCACCCTTCATTGTGGTACTGCGAGACATTTCAAAACCGAGCATCGGCCGAGCTACAGCCTACCGGTACGATACAGTTGATCCGTGGTCATCCAGCGGGAAAGAAGGGTTCAACCGAAGACGTTCTTACGAAGACCATCCTCCGATATTCTCTCTACCCTATCTTCTCTCTCTCTCTCTCTCTCTCTCTCTCTCTCTCTCTCTCTCCCTCCCTCTGTTTTCCTTACTCTTCTGAGCGAGCAGATGCAAGGACGGCAACAACAACGCGTCTCGAAGAAACTATGAGCTTGAGGCAGCCGCGTTACGAGGAAGATTCATTGACGATCCTTTCGGTGATTCGTAATCGGTGACCAAATTTCACGCGATCATTTCGACGAGTCGGGAGAAACGGGATCGTCCAGTCGTTCAAGTGATCAAACTCACGAGTTCGACGCTTCGAGTCAAGGGGATCATGGGATGCTTCTTCTGACAATGCCACGAGATTCTTGACAGAGAATCGATACACCGCTCGCTGGAGAATTGTCCAAACGGTGCCGTCCGACATCGCGAGTAATCGGTGAGCAGCCGATTAGCAGCCGGCGCAAAGATCGAGACCGCGACACGAGAGGAAGAATCGCGATCGGTCCTGACTCCTGCGGACTTTCGTGCGGACTTTCGATGATGTGCATGCACGAGCAGTGAGGCAGTCTTCCTCGCTACTCGCAGGTGCTTCGTACGGACGTAAGTCGTAAGTCCTTTCTGTGAGAACACTTGTGAGATGAGTATGCGGCGGGGCGGCACGATGCGATTCAGAGCACCGTTCGTCGCTCTGTTTGTGCTCTCTGCCGCGATCCTCGCCGAGGAAGTGTCGACTGACGTACCGAACGGTGCCGTGGAGGAGTCAAATCTCCGTGTCAGAAGTCTACCGGCGATCAACAATGTCACCGAGAAAAACTGGACTAGCCTGTCGGACATGCTGGATATTTTCAGTGCGCGTAATTTAGTAAGGAACTGGGCCGAGGGTAAGCATGTAGTCGGTGCACAATGTGGCAAGGACATCACGACGTACGTCGAGGCTCTGAAGAAGCGGCAACTGTGGGCTCTTAAAGGTGAGTCCCGAGACATCGCGACGCTTCCCTGTTATATATTATCTCGTCTTCAAATTTATCACAAATTGGCGTGCCAATTCTTCGCCGAGCAAGCTCAATTAAACTTTGCTCGCTTGTCTGCCTCGTTTCAGCGTCTCCCTCGCAAAACTCGCTCGCTAAGTACGACCATAGCCGGTCTTTTCTACTGCGACCGCGAGCGTCCGGGATCTTTGTGCGTCAAGTTCTATATCCGTTGTAATATGCAATAAATATTCATATGCTGCTCGATCGCACTCTACAAATTGCACAACTTCTCGATTATATTTTCATTTCAGGCGATATAAATGAGAGCAAAGGAAAGCAAGGTCGCCGAGTTGCCTGATTAAAAACAGAATAGCCTTCTGATCACTGTGTACGTGACTGTATGCAAGACTTTTCGATGTGTGGTTACGCGACTTTTTTATATCTTCCTCCGACTTCGTCAGAGTAATCTAACGGGAAGGATTACGTTACGAGACAAAACGACCATAGAGGAGGACCTGTCATTTAACCGATAAGTAATCGATAAGATCGGCGCGCACCGATTATGCAACCGTAATGTTTCTCTCCTTTTGCGCCGCAAGTGTATCACTAGAGAGTTTGATATAATCAATTACGTAATTAATTACGTTCGCCGTTGCGTATAGATATTTCGATTTTTCGAGCCGATTAGATCACGATTTTCAACGCTTTCTTCTTTATATCGAACTATTTCATACGCGCCGTATGTAACTTCCTATGCAGACCGGGACTTTCTCCCCGATGCAACTTTCTACGATATTACGCCCCGCGAGTAATCGTGCAAAATGCACTCGGCGAGATACGAGTTACACCCGGACGATCCCTTCGATCCGATCGATTGCGTCACGAGTGTGAGATTCGCGTGTAAAAAGATTGAGAAATTCGTCGTCGCTTCTGCGACGGATTCTTCGACGAGGCTAGGACTCTGGGCTTAACCCCGTCGCCCTTAACGATGATTTCATTCCGACCTGGACGATTGCCTTATTAAAGAGCCCGACTTTCGTTGTACGATGGTCGTCCCGCAACTTCCCCCGAGCGAAGGTCTTCTCCGAATCCGACGTGGTGTTTGCCATTAAAATTAACATCGGGAATTCGAGGACAACTTGTCGGCGTTATTCCGCAACGGAGATCGCAGACGCTCGTCACGAAGAAGAAGTGGAAAAAAAAAAGGAACAGGATGTCCATAGATCGGAGCAAGCGATCGGACTCGCTACGAACACGAATGTTCGCTTTCCGGTTCCCCGCGGTTTGCCTACTTTCGTCGGCGGGAAGTTTCACTTTTAGCGACACAAAGAGCGCGTCGTTATCGGCCGCGACAACGCCGCGAGGAACAGCCACGCTGTCCTTCTTTCAACGCTCCGAGAGGCTTCGCTTTCCTCGGTCAATATCACTTTTCGCACGGCCGCTAAGCGAACGCATTGTGCACGCATGATGCACGCGTGTTTCTCGGGGTGCGAAACGCACCCATTGGGTAAACAGGAAGACACCGGCGCGGCGGCTCGACTTTTGTCTTCACGCTGAATTCTCTTCTCACTTCAGCTCGATCCACCGAAAGATAAGACAGGTGGTGCACGAGTGATTTTTATGTCTGTCCTCTTGATCCAGCGTAAAAATTAGGTTCAATCACGTAGTGATTGTGTAGCGATTTCGCGCTCCGTAAAAGATGCATACATACGTGTCTCGGCAAGAAATATCGAGAGTGTTGTTGGCGTTTCTGTCATGCACCTGCTGAACTACCGAATCAAAGTGATCGCACGGGTACGTGCAAGTTTTGTATCTCTGTAAGACAAACACCTGCTAACACAAGCCGGTGTTATCGGCCAAACAAGAGATAGTTCGCGCGGCCGAGGAGCACGTATTGCATAATCGCGTGGGCGTGCTTTCACATCGATCGTATCGTTAATCACGTTACACGTCACGTAATGTACGATAAGATAAAAGTTTGTGTACGCGTGAAAACGCTGAAAGTAAAATCGCATACACACACACACACACACACACACACACATCTTCGAGCGATACATTCGACGCGTCCGAGTGTAGCTGAAATATTCCAACGTAACAGCGCGCTCCTTTCTTTCTCCGCGAGAGTTTCGCCTACAGGAACCCGTCTGGAAGTTCGACGCACCTGCCCGATTCGGGCCGAAGTTTCGCGTGGCTCAAGTGGGTCAGGGTTTACCAGAAACATGTTTTTCTCATTATCGCCTACTGGTAATTTAGAAGAAGCGATCGTAAAATCGCGTCACTGGGCGCCTCGCAAAAATAAACGTGCGCGTTTCTCGCTCTCCGCGTGGCACTTTTCTCGTTCGGGGGCTTCATTACCCTCCGGATGGGAGAGCTCGACGCTCCCTTTTCTCTTCTCTCGTCGACAATCGTCGCGCTCGTAAAACAATGCGCGAGCTCTCGAGGTCCTTTCCAGGCGGGAAAACACCTCAACGTCCACGTTCACCTTAACGACGTCCACGTAAATCTTAACGGCCGGCGGCGCGCGGCCACTTTCACCCTCCGTGCGACGTGCATCGCCGTTGCGGTGTTCGCAAATTTCGCGGGCTCCGAGCGCAAGTAGAGGTGAAAGGTGCCTGCTCTTACTCTGTACCGAAGGAAAGTCCGAGACGTTATCGTTATGTGACATTCAAAAGCGACTATTCATCTCGCACGTCGCGACGCGCCGATTTGCTCTTGGGAGTACGTGCGCGATTCTCTCACGTACTCCATCCGGTTTCGTCGGTTTCCCAGTTTCGTCCAGGAAATACCGTTTCCTAGTTTCTACCGTCACCAGTCAAAGTGCGCTGAAACAGCATCTTCGGCGAAACTTTCATCTCGACGGGAGCAAAAGTCAGGCGGAAGAGCACAGCGTGAGTCGCTCGCGGTTTGACCTGGTCCTCCCGCTCGAAGCGGACATTATTTAAAACACGAAAGTTTCTCATAAATAAGTAAGAAGCAAACAGTTGTGTTTTCATCTCGACGACGTGAGAGATGAAAAATTTACGCTCTGAAAGAAACTGATGCCCATTGAAGAACATCTATTATTGTGAATTTTGATTGCGACGTCCATTATTCGCATACCTAAGTTGCAATTCATAAGCCGCCAATCAAGTGGCTTCATTAAGGAACAATAAAACTCAGGATGGAGCGCGAAAAAAGCTACATGATCTCATTGTTCGGGCCTCCCGATCATCTCTCATTCTTTCGCGCCCTTGGAAAACATAGGTTCAATCATAGGACACGATCTGTCAAAGTTATGTAAAGGATTCCTCCGAGCGACTTTGTCGAACACGTGAGAAAATTATGCACGGCGTGATACGCATAATATACGCGCATGTAATGCACACTTCACGCGTGTATACGCACTTGTTAACTTGTCACTTATCCTCAATTTCTATTTCATATTTTGTCCCGACGACATTGTTATTACATTTACACGCGACAATTTGTTTTCCTTGCCGCGAGCGAAGAACGACGAGGACTTCAGATTAAAATTAGAAAGCCAGCGAGACCAAATTGACGGGAGCATTACTGAAATTATAATATTCGCACCGCGCGGAAGACGATTACGTGGCAGAGGATCGGGGATAAAATCGCGAGCTTTCGCTTTTGCGGAATCACGCTTTTGTTATACGTACCATCGACGATTCATCGGCCGGTAATATTAGTGCGTATCGTCGCTGCTCGAGTTACGCACGAGTACTCGTACGCGATTTGCTGCATGCAATGATTTGCATTCTTTAACGATGCATGTGTTACGATTACATCAGATTAGACGATTAGCGCATCGATATCATGAAATTATGTGAAACAAACGTTATCCTTGCTCCGTTATAGCTGAGATTGCACTTTTTCTCTCTCGCCTTTCAATCGTCACCGTTGAAGTTACGCTCAATTGATTCTGCGTTTGCGCAATTGGAGCTAAAGGCAGTCGGGGAAATTTAATTTTTCCACAGTGTTGCATTTTCAAGCGGTTCTCACACGCGAGAATCCCATCGCTATTTTCGTTCCGGCATACGCGAGTATCTTCAACGCCGGTAAAATAATTCGTTTACGCGTTACAATCTTATGTCACAGCGCGAGTTACTTGACGAGCCACAACTGGAGTGAAGTGACAGCGAAAAGCGAAATTAGCTGCTAAAGTGCCAATGTTGGACGTGATATGAAGCGTTATTAAACACGACTGTCGTGTACAGCCGTCGTGTCAACCGACTTTCGGATATGCATCGTTCATAAAACGAAAGTGATTACATTAAAAGTGAGTGTGTGGCGAGCGTGACATTAGAGAGTGATTAGTAGTAACTTCGAGATCTCTGTTACTATGACCTCAGTTGTGCCATTCGCTCACTGACTGTATGGAAATAATTTGCAATTATAATTCAGACATATTGTCATTTAGAAAGACGACGTTAGAATATTAATCAAAAATTATTTTGTTACGTTGTCGAAATTACTCGACGGTGTCACGATAGATATTTCTCTGACACAATACCGATTAATACTAAACAATACTGATTAATACCGTATTAACGTACGGAGACTATCAGAGACTCTACTCTTTTGCAACTCGCCGACTCTTTCAGTATGAAAAAAAAAAAAGAACGCACAAGGTTTCCGCCTGGTACCTTAATTTTCCAGCAGAGTGACAATTCCGCGTGTGGTTTCAGCTGCTAATTAGCCAAAGAGAAAGACGGAATAGAAAGTATGCCTCATACCACGAATTAAGTCGACAACGAGCCAAAAACTAGAAAAACTGCTTGCTCGCACTTGAGCCGCGCCTCGGCTCATAACGTAGTATTTTACAAGTTTACCGTAGGCCGAATATATGTCCGTCGTTGCACTTGCTTAAATTAACATTAGCGTCGGAGCGTCAATAAATTCTCCGCTATTCGACAGAGTATGCGACCTTGAATACGCGCGAATCGTACTCAAAACCACGATACGCACGTCCGATATAAAATATTCGTCACATCGGTCTACAAGGAGGAAAAGAGCCTGTGAATCATATTGACAATGAACGAACAGATGAATGAAAATGCATTTTGATCGAAGAAAACAAAATTTCTGGTTTCCACAGTCGAATTTGGCTCCAAATGTTCTTCTTTTTCTTCGTGTACATACACGGAGTTGGAGAGGCGTGTCCATCGCGAACGAAACTTGCTTAAATGAAATCTATGCATGTTGCCCAATTGTCAAGTAAAAAGAAAGTTACAATCATTGCGATGGCCGTTTCACTAGCCACCAATTATGGATTCGCTTCTTCGGTACGTGCCAATCTATTGTTGCAATAGCGCAACCATAAATGACAGCTGAGGCGCTGCATTAGAAACGGGATGCGTTTCACTTTCGTGTATCGAGGTTATCGCATTTTCGTGCGTGTCAGAAAAAAGAAAGTCAGCTCACCTTTTAGCGAGGATTGTCATTGAGATAATCCGTGTCAATCACGGGTGGGCTGTAAAACTCTTTCTCGCCTTTATGGATTATACGCGATTTATCTTGGTCGAGTTTCAAGATCAATCAATCAAACAAACTGAGGGTCAAGGGTGAGTGCCCGTCCAGAAGTTCTTCAATCCCTGTTTCAGTTATATTTTTATCAAGGTCATTTGTATCTATGTCGCGACTATATGTGTGTGTTAGCGAAGGACGTACAAGCGCGTAAATTTGTCCGATTTTTCTAGGTGAAAGCAATTTTAATTGAAATTCCGAATGAAAAAAACCCGTAGCAATTGAAACGTCTATAATAATATCCAACTGATCATACAACGTGTTTCTTAGGGCAGGACGCATCTGTGTGTGAGAAAGTTGAGAGAGGTTTAAAATAGTGAAACGTCAGATTGATACAGATGAATACAGATTTTGATGGAGATGTTCTCCGTATCGAGATATAGTTCTCCGTGGAGATTATAAATTGAATAAACGTTGTTAGAACATATCGGCTGAAATAGTACTATATCGGCAGATTCAATATTCAAGGGCATTCACTTCGTGAATCGACCGTGCAACCTCTCGCTTAATTTGAAAAAGCAAGCCAATGCCAGACGGATATTGCAACATCAACTTCGGTCGAGTACGAGACCGCCTTTCTCTTTCTGCATCACTTTCTCCGACACGCTACGTAGATCAACATGTAACGGTAGTTTATTATTTTGCGGCGGTTAAAAATATGCGGTAAAGCGTGCAATTGCTTGCATCTCATCAAACTGAACGAAACGAGTACTCGGCGCATGGATACTCTCTTGGTTGAGAATACATTTTGCGTACATAGTTCCCTCGTCCGTTCGACGTTGTCAATCGTTAATGTCGCGAAACGAAGCGAGCTCTATCTCTAACGAAGCGAACGAAACAGCTTCTATGCACTCGAATCGATTTCTTCTAAGGAAACGAGACTGCATAAGAGGCGCGACAGGTTGCAACAGCATTACCTTCTTCGCAGGATCGCTTTCTTTTTCAGCCTTCAATACCGTCGATGGGCGTCAACGTAAATGCGGCATTTCCTGCCTGGACTTTTTCTTCCAAATATCCAAACGAATGAAATCCGTCGTAACTTTGGCGATAAACTCCGCCGCGTCGAATAATTAAGGAGAGAAATTCTTGGCAGAATATAATCGGGGAAGTAAATGTCGCATGGGCGCTCGAGAACTCGTGTCTCCGTATACGCGGAGTCTATAAAATGATAATTATTTAACATTAAAAAAAAAACTGATTGCAAAAACCATAAACGTGTTATCCGGATAGATGTTTTGACATGCTTTAACTAGTTACCGAGATCACGCAGTTAGCGTTTCCGCGTGCTGTAGTGAAAAAATGGCCTCGTATCCAAATAACAATATCTTACAGCGCAATGTTGCAACCACAGCCCATGAACTTTAATTGGCACAAGAACCTCGACAGTGAACGTATTAAAGCGAGCGATAGATGTGATCCTTTCGTTACAAACCGGTTACACGTATTTATAACTTGCAACACTCGTTTAGAAATCTAAGGGAACCCCAGCTCGTCTGTAACACATGTTCTTTTTTTCTTTCGCGAGCGCGTTCAAAACTAATATAATATCCGTAAATGCATAAATATCGCATAAATAACATCGATATACGACGTGTAGATTGTAAGAAAAAAAAAAAAAGAAAACAGATTACCAAGATTGCAATTTTTTTAACATACGCCAAATAAATGAACAGAATGCAAAATCAAGTTTTAATGGGATTGTGCGTGTTGCATCGCACATTTACATCTTGTGTGGAAACGAAATTACGTGTCGAGTCTCTCTGAACTTGACTTTGGAACATCGCGATGTAACTGACTCACGACTCAAAATTCATTGTCATTCTTATCCAACGGCTGTCCCAAGCGTATGTCGCGCATAGATCAGCAAACATCGCCAAAGAGACTTTCGAAAGTGCTTCGTGACGAAAGAGACGCCGAATCTTTCGCGATCGCTTCTACTTTTACCGACTTGCCCGACGCTACCTTTATGAATGAAAAATAACGACCAGTGCTTGAATATAGTCTTCTAATCGCGCGCTACATATCCACAATCATCCAGAATTAACGATTAAAGGTTTGAAATGCGAATGCATCCTACATTTCTTTCCTTACGTGTGTTACGCACGATGCTGCTAAATACTTCACCGCACCTCGACACCTCGACATTTATGATCTCATATCGCTAACAGTTATAATGATTATACAATCGCTGCGTCTTTAACACCAACATAATCTGTTTCTGCAATACGGTCGTATTTAGCTTCCGCTTATCTTCACAAAGCGAAGAACTCTACAAAGCGAAGAAACTCAATAAAAGAACTGTAGGTTTTGTCCTTGATAGAATGTCTCCTTAATCGTGACAATCAATCAATGACAAATTAGCAAAAAATGAGTAATTTAATGATGTTATTTACGCCATGCCATGCCATTTGATGTACGACGGAATACCAAGGTAAGCGAATCGAAGCGACGCGAGTGAGAAAGTCGACTTCCACACGGCATCTCAAACAAGAACAAATAAAGACGCTGCAAAGATCCTGATGATACTCGATCGCAAACAGTATGTTAATGTGTACTGTATTTTTTAAATCACGGGGCGGGATCTACGAGCCTACAGTCGCAAAGTGTGGCTAAAAGCATCAAGCACTGTGGAATTAAACTCTTTTTTAGTCCGAAAGACGTCGGTCGCAATCCGCAAGCATGCAGCCGCAAATGACGTAACGAGTTGGCGATCGAGCCACAGCCTGTGTAACGTAGCCTCGTAAATCCTCCGTCATGCTGGCGATTAGATAATGTCTTTTACTTCCCGAATAGAAAGTCTCAGTTCGCGTCCCGCCGCGCCGCGGCACCCCGATGTTTCGCTGGCGAAGCCATCTCGTCATCTAAAACGGTATCGCGTTGTTACGTTGACCGCGATAACGAGATTACACGTATTATTATGTATTATTTGCGAGAAAAACGCGGCTCGCGTGCCAGATGCTCTGTCGCGTGCGCGGTAATTATGCAGGTTATTTAATCGGACGGAAATTATCGTATCTCGATATTTAAGCGTAGATTACGTTAATTGCGCGTTAGATAAGAGCCTGCGCCGCCGGTTGACTTCTGGCCGATCGACTCGGCCAGAAAAGGGATCCGGGATTGTGTATAACAGATAATTATATCCTAACGATCTGATTTTCCACTTGACCACTATACCACCATGAGGAAAAAGTTGCTATAAATTTGGAAGCTGCAAAAATCGACGGGACTTGAGAACCATCACGCAAAATACGGAGAAAGATCAGGAGAGTCGCGTGATGAAATTTCAGAAAGTTTCAGTCGTCTCGTGGAAACGAGGTGAGAAGAATCTTTCAACTGAGTCATACGCACACTTATATCACGCGAATTATAAAAATATTTGCAAATGTATTCTCTTTTATGCATAAATTCTTTTCAACAGAGAGATGAAAACGTCGTAGTTGAGAGATGAGAATTTCACGAAATTTCAATTAGAGAGATGAAGAGAGAGAGAGAGAGAGAGAGAGAGAGAGAGAGAGAGAGAGAGAGAGGGGGGGGGGAGCGTATGTCGCGCGACAAGGTGGAACCAGTTCCAAATATCGAAAATCTCTAAGACGAATCGCTCGCGACTCGGGGGCAGCCGATCCTTGTTTTCACTCTCTCATGAGTTAGAGTCGTTGACCTACTTTGAATAGAAATACTTTCGCCGCATTCACGACGGCTGCTGACCGTTGCTTCCGGCTTGATCGTCGCGGCGGCTCTTCGATGAAAGTGTCTCTCGGCGTGCGTTTTCATCTCTTAAAAGGCGTTCTGCAGGCCGCGACACGCTCTTACTTTTCACAAGCTAATGTGATGCAATAAAGGTACGGCTCGTAAGAGCGGCATTGCACTGGCTCGTTATCGATCGATTACAGTACGAGCAAGCGTTGCTCTGAATTAATGGAAAATCAACATGACATCACTTAATAATAATGATCTAGAAATGTCTTGCTGTTTTGTCAGTGGACGACGCGTCGGGCAGATTCACCAATGGATTCTTCTGGGGCAATTCGTACTTCACGGGCTCGGCCACTGAGTGCAGCTACATCGGACAGGATTACTCTCGAAAAAATTCGAATAAGATCCCGCTCGAGTCGTCCATGGAGGAGGTGCGCGAGTTCAACACGGAACCGCGCAAAAAGATCAACAGAGTTGGCGGCGTTAGCGGCGCCAATTTGTTGGAAACATCGTCCTTCGACGACAGACCGCCCTATCGTCTAGGCTTCTACATGATGCGACTTTCTTTAAACGCATCCCGATACACGTCAGTGAGTACAGCATCGATGTCGATAAGTAATTAGTCATTGACATACCGTCTTTTGCGCCATTTCTCAACGCCACTTTCCTCAGACGAGAGTGATCCACCTGGGGGTTTGTTTGCCGTTCTCGTGCAACGCCTCCGACGTCGCCGTGATCGGTAAGCTCGCCGCGAGTGATTTTGTGGAAAAGCGTTCGACGATTGAAAAGGTCCGAGATCAGCATAACTTATACGACATGTACACGGACCCGGTCTTCTGGATCCTGTTGTGAGTTTGCGGAAGAGACGTGAAACCGGTTCGCCGTCGATCGTGAGCGAGCCAAAAGGCTAAAGACCGATGTGTTTCAGCGGTGTCAGTGCGGTTGTCCTGATATTGATGATCATCGGCACGGCGTACGATTATTATCTAACGAGGAAGCTGATCCACAGGAACAACGTCATCTACGATCTGGAGAAGCACGGAAAGCTCGATCAACTTACCAACGGCAACCAGAAAGTGTTAAACGGTAAAAGGACTCACCATGTCCATGCTCGAGAGATCCTCGATTACTTCTTCACTCGTAATTATCTTGAGACAGGGTGAGACACCGAGATGTCAAGCCAGTAAAGAGAACTCCATTTTTAAAGTACAAAGTTTCTCTTCCCCCCCCCCTCTCTCTCTCTCTCTCTCTCAATGCGTGGCTCCAGACATTTCTAAAACTTCTACCTCAAAGCTGTTTCGTTTAAGTTGATGGGTAAATCATATAATCATAGAATACATCGCGAACGCTGTTCCAACTGCAAAAAATAATACGAAATTTCGTTGTTACGGGAGTCACATCCAACGGCTAACGAAAAACTTAAAATACAAAGTCGATTCTCTTACAGAGCAAATATCGACTGTCGGTATATCGAACGTTAGTATCGAATATCGATCAATGACTCATTTGAAATAAAGCTGCGAATCTTGTCAGAAAACTTGTAGAAACTAGATTCTCTCGAAGAGAAGATGAATTTGATCGTGAATTTGAGACATCCGCGGTTATCAATTATGAAACTACGAATTAAACGACAAAAGGCGCGATGCGTTTCAGTAGAGTATAAATAATCGCTTTGCAAATAAAATCACGCGGATAGCTCGCTGTATCGATGGATACCAATCTGTCCTTCTCCTTGTAAATCTAAAACAAGAGAAATGTTGCAGCCGTGAGACACAATTAGCGTAACGCGAAAGCACAGCGATAAAACAGAGAGCGACCACCACTTCACAGACTATTACAAGACGAGGACGGTATCAGACGTAGTGTGACTCATTGTTATATTCCGTAGCTTTTCAAGGTACGGTCTACCTTCCTGTTCCAGTGGCAGATTCTAACACCAACGGTGTGCAGCCGATTAATAATAACAACGTTCACGAGAATGGCTTGCAGCCGTCCAACAAAGAGGAGCATCAGCTTAGTACGTCGAATTTTGTTGTCTTGTTCGCTAAGCATCGAATAAAAGTATTACCTCGTTCAAAAATAGAAGAATAGCTATGCGACTGACTTCACTTTCGCAGATGTCTGCCAGGAACTTCTGCTTTCGTTTTCTGTTCGCGCGAACCTGAGGACCATCTGCGACCGTAATGTGGGTGGAGACACCATCAGCACCATACATGGACTCAGAGCGATATCGATGGCTTGGGTGATACTCGGCCATACGTGCATAGTCGTTTTCAAGTATTCCGATAACATGGAGTACCGCAGGGTCGTGGAGAAGAGATTTCTCTTCCAGACCATCACGAACGGTGCGTTCAGCGTCGACACATTCTTCTTCATGGGCGGTTTGCTCGTGAGCTTCCTGTACTTTCGTACCAACGCCAAAGGGGACCTGAAGAGGCTCACACAGGGCACTCGTGGCTTCGCCGCGGGCACCCTCAAGTTCATCGGGCTTCTTTTATACAGATTCAGCAGACTCACCGCACCGTACATGTTCGTATTGGGCGTGGTCGAGATCTCGATGAAATATTTCCATGCAAATTCCGTCTTTGAGCCTCCCACTCCGGATCATTACAATTGTCCCAATTACTGGTGGAGGAATCTGCTCTACATCAACACCTGGTTTCCCGTTGAGCAAATGGTGGGTTTTGTCTTGTCGACTCTAACTGACGAGTCAAAATGTCTCCTTCTATATCATGGACAAAACCGCGATCTCACACATTCACGTCGTTTTACAGTGTATGCTTTGGAGCTGGTACGTAGCGGACGACACGCAGTTCTACATTGTGGGTGGTGTTATACTGGTGCTTGCTACAAATCATTTCAAGATCGCGGCTTTCGCGCTGGTCAGTCTATTGGTGAGCTCGTGGGCAACCACCGGCTACATCGCCTTAGTTAACAATCACATGCCGAGCTCGGACGATCCGTTGGCCCTCTTTGACAAGATCTACGACAAGCCGTGGACAAGGTTGGGCCCCTATCTGATCGGGATGTCCGTCGGTTACTTCCTCTTCAAGATTGACTGCAAAGTGAAAATGTCCAAGGTACGTAACCGAGACCGAGCGACGAAAGTCCTCGTACAGATGTCTTTCGTACATTCACGTTGTCCGGCGGATAATTCTCTTGGGTACGGGTTAGTCCTAAGGAACAGCGATTTTTCATACCGCCATTTCTAGACCACCGTCGTCGTGGGATGGCTCCTGTCTTCTGCATGTCTCCTGAGCTTACTCTACGGTTTGTACGAGGCGGAACTTACACCGGCTACAGCTGCTGCTTACTCCTCGTTAAGTCATAGCGCGTGGGCGTTGGGCTTGGCCTGGATCGTGATAGCATGCAGCACCGGTTATGGAGGTGAGAGAGAAAGAGGGAGATTCTACGCGATGCGCATAAACTAAACAAGTCGCTGATGAACCAACAACCGAGTCGCCCAAATGCTTCTTTCAGGATATGTAAATAAGATATTGTCGGAGCCGCTATTGTATCCATTCAGCAGAGTGACTTATTGCGCTTATTTGGTTCATCCGCTTGTCATACGTCTAACTGCTATGAACCTGGATTCTCCGTTTCACCTGGGGAAGGATTTAATGGTGAGTTGAGTGTGGAAGAGATTTGAGAAACGAGGCAATTATAACATGTAGTAAAGAGAGAAAGAGAGATTGTCGCAAAACGCTTTATTTCTCCTCTTTTTCAGTTGATAACATTCCTGGGACAATTAGTGCTGTCTTACGTATTGTCCTTCGTAATATCAATCTCCTTTGAAGCACCGGTAGTCAGTATGCTGAAGATTCTCTCACCGAAGAAGCGGAAACGTATACAATAGATATTAGATTAAACATTTGACGCACACCGAATGCTCGGTTATTTATACAACTTTATGTTTACATATCATATATATATATATATACACATGTATATATATACATATATATACACACACACACCCACACACACACACACATATATATATGTATATATATATATATATATATATACATACACACACACACATACATATACATACAATATGTAAAATGTAATCTATATATAGATATATGTATAAGTTTTTTGTAAAAATTTACGAACCAATGGTAAAACATCGCAAATATGCTGCAACACTACATATATATGCTGTATCAATACCATGTATCTGTTTGATTTGTCTGAAATCACTTGTGTCAACACGGACATCAAGTTTTTCTCTATGTGTACGGTTAAGATGTGAAATAAATTATTTCTCTTTTGATAGAATTTCCAACATAATTTTAACAGAATTCAAATTGTGTCAATGGGTCTCTTCGCCAGGGGAAGAGTAAATCTTCAAGAGCTTCAGTATGCGCTTATCAATAAATGCGGAAGAATCGTGAGGAAAGCGTGAAAACTTTTTCCACGATGATCAACGTATATCTCTTAATGAGATAAGGAATAAATAATACTAATCCGCCTCTTGCAGCGACTGTAGTTACATTATTATGTTACACGTTATATAATCTTCAATATTATAGCAACATCGAGTAATAATGCGAGAAATTGCTCCTTCCCCTCTTACAAAGCACCTTCAATCGCGATTTCCCTATTAATATCGACAAAGTATGGACCTTCGTTAACAAACTGCTTGAACTTCTGCATAGTGTCCGCGTCGAATACATGTTGCTCCGCCTGAGACAAACGTTTCACGACGTCGTACTTCGCGTCTATGCATTCTTTAAACGTCTCGACGCTTCTATCCAATAGAAACTCTACCAGACCCGGATAAGTCGATATGTACTCTTGCCCCCATACTTGAGAGCTGATTACCGCCAGCACCTCCAAGCCGGCTTGTCTGATATCGGCAAACGGCTGTCTGCATATCGCTACGATCATACCCAACGAATCGTCACACAGGGAATCGAACCACAGTTTCGTCAAGGAGAGAATTCTGTTATCCTGCTCGGCTCTCTTAACGTCGAGTATGAGGGTGAGATTGTTGAGGCCGCGAATCCTCAAGGCTGTGGGCATTTTCTGCACTACCTCGCCGATCGTCTTGAGAGCGCCGACCATTGCGTCTCCTAGTGCTTGCAACGCATACTTACCTTCGACGCTCACGGACACGAATCCCAATGTATCCAATGCAGGACCCAGCAGGGTCTGATCTCCGCCGTCGATCACTTCGAACAATGCAGAGATTATCACTGGATACATGGAGAACAACTCATTCGGCCAATGTCGCGCGACGTTACCAAAGAACTTCATCAGACCGGGGATCAGAAGATTCGACAAGGAACTCTCATTAGCCTGCGCAATCTTCTGAACCAGCTTGCTCAAGACCTCTCGCTGCTCCAGGTAACTGAGACCTTCCTCGAATATGGCTAATTGCGTTAGTATCTCTAAGGCGTTCAATTGAAGCAACACATCCTCGTCGTCCAGTACATCGATCAATCTGTCTAAAAGACCCAATTGAGCAGATATTTCCAAAGCTGCCCTGGATGTCTTGGCTATATCCACAATCACTTCGTAAACACGAAAGTTGATGGTATCTTTTTGCAGCAATTTGGCGAACGTTCGCAAAAGTTCGCCCTTGTAGAGAATATGCAAACCATTTGGATCTGCACCAATTTTCTTCACTATATTCATCGCACATTCAGCGACCGTCAAGTCGTTGTCGCCGATTCTGTTTACAATACAAATCAATACATTGGTGTCCTCCAGTAATTGGAATATCCTTTGCGGATGCACAGCTGTACGTTGAAACTCACGCAGCATGAGTAATCTCACGCTGGCACTTGGATTGGTCAACAATGTGGAGAATTCCACTGAATATCTCTGATAAATCTCTCCGGGTTCCAGTACGCTGAACAAAATGGTTAGAACGTCGCATATCTGTTCTATGACCTCTCTGTAAAAAAAAAAAAAAAATGTTGCTACTAGATGCTGTTTGTTTTCAATAGTAAATTTGGGAAGCGGCACATCACACAGTTCTAATTCTGCAGTTTTACGTAACATAAAACATAAAAGGGATGATATATGTATTGTGTACTCGAAAGTAATTAACCTGGTGCAACGAGAATGATTAACGAGAATCACCGGAAATTCACCTGTCATCGTACCTGTCACTCGAGGTTAGTTGCGAATAGAGCGGTCCGTAGTCCAAGCTCCGGGCTATCTGCTCGGCGTCCCGATTACTCAAACTGCCGAATTTAATCTTGATGTCCGTCAGAACGTCCTTCTTTTCCTCGACATTGTTCAATTCGCACAAACGCGAAATCTTCGTTTGATACCATTCCGTCATGGTCGGCTCATTGACAATTCGCTTTCACAGCAATCTCCGGCTCGTGCTCGTCGAGCTGTCGCGTAAATAGGCGAGTTGATGCGATCCCCTCCCGGTTATGGGAGGCACGTTTGAAAAGGCACGAATCACGCCCAGGGCCAAATCGACGCACAACACCGTACAAATCGACGAGGAATTGATAATAGTGTGCGATGAGGCGGCTTCGTGTGTTTTCGATGTTGTAAATTAAAATTGCAGATCTCCTGCATTACCCTCAGACATCCTGAAGAAAATAGGAGTCATTTTTTACTTTCAACTGTGAATCGAACCCTGTTGGATTTCGTTTATCTTCAGTGGTGACCAAGTGGTCGGTAACGTTGAGCGATTCTTGTTGCTCGATAATTCTCGAGCTTTGTCGGTATCGTTAACAGCGTCGGTCGACAAATATGAATAAATGCGATTCCGTACCACTCTTAACGACAAATATTTAACGATACTTATATATTTACGTTTATTATATAAATTTCTTAACTTTACATTTAGCTATTTTTACTTTTCATTTCTTGCAGACTCAAATTCACCAGATGCACTAAGATTAGAATTAATTCTTTTGAAAAACACAAAATACCAAAAGACTACCAAAAAATGCCAAAAGACTATCCTCTAATAAACAAATTTTTGTCGACACAAACGGTTTGGTAAGAAAATGACTTTTTACTACTTGTTTATTATGCAAATTTATGTTTATTATACATATTTTTTAATTTTGTTTGTCTACTTTTTCTTTATTTAAAATATATTTCTAGATTCTATAAAAGATGTCAAAATGTATTTTGACAATATTTCTCTTCAAATTGACGAGATTAGTAGCAAGCTTCAGCAGACGTTTCAGTAGCTGATCAAATGAAATTGATGACTTTTCTTTTGCCCCATGAAAAGTAGCAATCAGATTACATAATTTACCAGCTTTACCACTAAAATCTGTTACTGACTTCTGGATGTTCGAAAAATATTTAAAGAATCAAGAAAATATGTCTGATGTGGTAAATTGTACTGATTTTATGATTATACAATTATTCAATTGCCACTTATATTTTTGTGTTTCTTATTTTGCATTTTATAATTGTTTGTTTTATAATTTTCCTCCGTATTATTTAGTTGCTTAATATATATAGTGACAATTAATTGCAACTTTGTTATACATTTTTCTTTTACTTTTTGTCATTTGTATTTTTCCTTATTTCTAGACTTTTGCCTTCTTATTTTTACAGATAACATATATCAGTTGTTATGGCAGTGATGTAGATGAAACTAAAGCAACAATGAATATAATGAAAAAATTGCTGTACAACTGCTTAACAAAAAAAATAAATTTTAAAGGTATTGATCGAAATTCTGAAAAAATTCCTTTAGAACAATGTCATATGTGGAATTTGATACAAGGTATATTATTACATATTTTATCTTTGTATATTTCGATCTTTTCATATATCACCTCCTATAATACAATTAAACTTTTATGTTGATGTAACTCTGTACTTATTTTATTTTTAGGTGCTGTCATGTACAACTTTTACCAATATTTTTGCGTATGACTTTTACCAAAATGATAGAAAGAGAGAAAAAGAGCAAGGTTAATTGTTTTTCAGCATGTCACAACAACGCAAGATATAATTCTTCAAATAAGTATATTCTAATGTTTACAGAATTTTATTGAAGTTATATTTAAATAAGTTTATTAAAGTTCTGATTATTTTATAAAGTTCTTATAATATTCTAATATTTTTATAATTAAAAAATTTAAGAATGTTCTAATATATCATACATAATATTCATACATACATATATATATATATATTTATATAATAAATATATCCTAAACTTTATTGAACTTCTCTCTTAAAATAATATTTATATTTTATTTATATTTTATTTATTTTATTTTTTTTTATTTTTTATTTATTTATTTTATTTTTTTTTATTTTTTTTTTATTTTTATTACTTGTATGTACACATGAATCCATAAATGCCTCACAATTCCTTAGCGTAGTAACATTTCAAATATTTGTTCTGCTGCATCATATATTAAATATTTATAAATCATGGCGATTAATTATTCTAAGAACTATTGATTACTCAAATAATTGATGAAAATATGTGATGTACAAATATTTATAACATAATTTATTTAAGAAAATTTCAAGTCAATTTCTAAAGAATAATAAGGCTTTATGGATTCATATATACATATTACATAATAAAATAGAATATACAAATTTAAAGAACATTAGGCGACAGAGGAATGCCTGGATACATGAATTTATGCATAGTACAAATTTTTTGTATTAAAGTATTCCTATTACAGTTACAGACCCCAGTTCCTATTACAGACCGAATATATGATCGGTGGAACTGGGCCTTAAAGCGTATGACACTAAAGGCCCATCTACAATGGCTGCAAGAATAAAGGCCCATCTACAATGGCTGCAAGAATAAAGCGTCGTCTACAATGGCAGTAAGCAGTAAGAAGTAAGCGTAAGCGGTAAGAAATAAACCAATCACAGTCGATTATGACAAAAATAATCAACTGTAGTTGGTCCATTTCTTACTGTTCACGCTTACTTCTTACTGCTTACTGCCATTGTAGACGACGCTTAAGGTTCTAAGCGTAAGAAGTAAGAAATAGACCAACCACAATCGATTATTATAAGAATAATCGATTATGGTTGGTCCATTTCTTACTGCTTACGCTTACGACCTTATTCTTGCAGCCATTGTAGATGGGCCTTAAGGCCTACGGCCTGGTCTACAATATGTGTCGTAAGTTGTAAGCCGTAAGAATTGGCGAATCACAGCCGATTATTACAAAAATAATCAGCTATAATTGGTCAGTTCTCAAGCCTGGTCTACAATACGTGTTGTAAGCTGTAAGCCGTAAGAACTGACCAATTATAGCCGATTATTTTTGTAAAAATCGACTGTGATTCGCCAATTCTTACGGCTTACAACTTACGACACGTATTGTAGACCAGGCCTTACGGCTTACAGCTTACAACATCTATTGCAGACCAGGCCTAATGTAGAACGGGCTTTATAGTGTGAAAGCTATTCCGGGATTGTCCGCCTTCTATTAAGCCAGCGGCACACGGTGCTTGTTTTCGTGCTGGATTGCTTGCTGGATGAAAATACTGCGTTCTGATTGGTACTTTTCCGAAGATGGATGGAAATGCGACCAATCAGAATGCAGTAATTTCATCCAGCAAGCAACCCAGCACGAAAACAAGCACCGTGTGCCGCTGGCTTTATGTACATCGAGTCAATGTGATTAGCACGAGGCATCGGCCATGTGTAAGATTAAAACACATTGGAACACATCGAATGTACCATGTTTATTTGTCGTGTCCGTCAAAAATCATTGAAATCTGATTCAAATCAGACGGAAGAAGAGACGTCTTCAAACAGTTGATAGTGTGTTCTGTACGTTTCATCGTTCACTGTCACGGTGGGGAAAATTGGAAAATGTACAAAGCAATATACAGTACGGTCATGCGAAAGGGTATGAACGTGATGGAACGACCGATGAAAAGCGTGTCGATGCAACGGGGTCTCATGAAGCCTGAGAAAGGGTTGGACAAGCAGACTGGTAGAGTGGCTAATCTAAAAAGATATTGGTTTGGCAGGTACATGGATTACATCAAGAACTATGAGCACACGCTGGAGCAGAAGTTTCCGCGCACGATGCAGGTGTACCGTGTGTTCAGCGTCGGCAGCAGAGACGTATACGCGGACTTGAAAAGGTTCGTCTCCGCGATAAAGAAACAAGGGTCGAATGGCATAGACAGCTTGACGAGGAAGGAGTTGCAGTTGATGCACATGATGCCGAGAGACCTGAGAAAACTGACGCCGTTGTTTCTGCTGTCGGCTATACCGTTTACGAATTACATTATTTTTCCCTTAGTCCTTTACTTCCCGCGCTACCTGCTGACGTCCCATTTCTGGACGCTGCAACAGAAGCTCGAATTCATGTTGCACGATCACAAGAGAAGACTGAGGCACAACAGACCATTGTTCAGGTGCATGCAGGCGGAACTTAAGACTATCGGCGATCAAACACTTAGGATAAAATGGCGAGATGTTATAGCCTGTTTGGGTAGTGGCACGCATCCAACAACCAACGATATCATAGCCTGCTCTGTGCTCTTTTCCGGGCCGCCGTATTCTCTAGATGTTTTGAAGAGGAAACACATGGTGAGCCAACAAGTTGCAGTTTTCATTATCTTCCTATTATCTGAATACATGTGTCTATCTCAAAGACATTATAAAATACTTTTCAGAAAGAATTATTAGCGATATATGGTATGAGTTCTTGGAGACTTTTCAAGAGAAAAAGATTGATGGAGAGAGGTATGCTAATATTGCGGATGGATCGTGCCATAGTACGAGAAGGAGGAGTTAAAGCAATGTCTAATGATGCAATGCGATGGGTATATACTTTTTGTTAAATAATACTATAATAATGTATAAAATACTGTGATTCTTTTTGTAACTCTTAGGTAAATTTTGTCTTATATACAGTACACAAAATATGTATGCGAATGTGTTAAATCATTATTAATATATCTTTCAGGCATTATCCTTTAGAGGTGTAAATCCTACAAATATGTCTACAGAAAGCATGAGAAGTTGGCTTGAGCAATGGTTAACAGTATCAGCATCTGTTGATCAGAAGAATATATCTTTGTTACTACATAGTCCAATTTTATTAGCTTATAATCATTCAACAAATTGGATTCTTATATATAATTGAAGAGAAAGAAAAAAAAACTAATCTTCAGAGTTTTCAATCAATTTTATACGTACCGATATCTTGTGTTTTAAGAAACCAAGTTGGTCAAAGAAGTGGTCTGTACTGAAGATTTAACGGAAAGATTCTCTCTTTTTGCAGGATGTCTGACATTTTATCTAAATAAGTTCTCACAAATACATGGTTTAGTATCTCTAGTCATTTTAACATTTACTTCTTTTACTTCTATCAAATCTCTCTTCAATGTTAACAGTATTATATGATTCTGTATTAATTTATTAAAATATTAATTCATTTTATTTTCAAGCGTATGTAAGCATATTATGTATATGTTACATTACATTACATTACATATATACTTAAATTCTGCAAATAAAAATACCTTGTATTTATTTCTGGTCCAGTGCCTCAATAAATATACTACATACAAAATTCTTTAGTATATAATTATGCATAATTTCAAGCGGAAGAGTGCGTGTGTGTAGAAAAATAAAGATACTTTTATTTATTTAAACATTTATTGAAATATATATACGTCAAGTACAACCGTATCTTATATGTAAATATCACGTGTAAATAACACGTATTATGTATATATAACATTGTATAAAATATAATTTTAGATTTTTGTACATGATACAATGATGTAATACAATATTAAAATTTGTGTGTATGCCAAAGAAGAAAGAATATACATATTTTTTTACATTGAAAAAAATTTGTAAAAATTACACATATCTTGGTAATCAAATCAATTAGACCCTTCAACCAATGTTGTTAGCTTATCCAATGATCAAAACAGACAAACTAAACGATGACTAGCAGATAATGGCTTTTAACAAAATAAAATCCCATAGATGATTAATAAATATATCTTATTTATGTTTTCCAAATCTTGAAAGGGGGAAAAAAGGTAACTTCTAATTTAAATTAATAAAGATCGGAGATGCGACTATACAATATACATATTAATATACATAATACACAAGTATAAAAATTGCTAAAAATATTTTTTAATGATAATATTGAATTCAGATTATATAATTATATTACAAAATATGATACGTTATTATTATTTTGTTCAATATTCTCGTAAATCATTCTAGGTAAAAAATTAAATAAAACAAAAGTTGATGATAATATAATATCATAATTAAATGCTTGTGTAATATGACAGATAATTGGAAGTATTTCAACATAATACATCGTGTAATAATTATCACAGATGACATCCCACTTTCGCCGATAAAAAATTATTTATCAGCATTGTATGGGCCAACAAACTATCTAATTTATGTATACTCATATTTATATTCGTCTTTAACTTTGCCCATTAAAAGTATCAGTATGAAAAATTGTTAGTTATACAAAGTATCGTTGAAGAGTAAAATATTCAGACGTATAATTACACGTATAATTACCGTTAAAATACTACATTAACCTCTTTCCTATTATCTTGAGTTAGTTCAAATCGTATATTCTAAAATTATACGGACATTAATTAATGGGGATATAAGCGGGTAACAAGCCAATGGGTGCCCGTCTTTTACTGGCATTACTCGCAATACTTGTCATCGATTTACTTTCGTCTTCTTTGATCAAGGACTCGTTCGTTTCGTTACTTTGCATCTGATTTGTAGAATCGGCGGTTGGGACGTTATTTAAAGTAGTTTTCATAATTTGCAGTTTTCTTAAAATATTTTCTTTCTTCTTTTCGAGAGAATCGATGGAATTATCAGTTGTTTCGTAATACCTTAATCTACATTCCAGATTCGAAGTCTCGGTATCGACCTTCGCGACGGGTGTAGCTTGATACTTTTTCACATCGTGCATTTTTTTGCTCAAATACTTAATGTTTTCCTCGACATTAGATGTATGTGATTTATGAGGATAAACGCAGTACTCACCTTTGCTACAGATCCCTCTCTTATCGAACTCAGGGCACAGGTATTCGTGACGTCGCTGGCACTATTAGGAAATAAATCATCGATATATCAACACCGATGTTTATTAAAAAGTAATAAAAACATACGAAAATATTACATATAATTATATTAAGAATTTTTGATATTAAAAATACGTAAATATAAATTACATAGAAGGTATATAATCAATGAACGATACGTTTGTAACGTCTGTAAAGGCAACACATAAACAACAAAGGTCACATTAACAAAACATATGATAATCAAGATTTGATAAAGCGTAATTTTACTGACTTCGAATGAAATAAAGCAAACGTGTTACCTCATTTCCCTTGACACAGTATCCCTGTAAAAAGTCTATGCAGATTGAAGTGTTCGAAGACACTTTAACATGAAGATACGGGCAGGCATCTCTTGTACAGCAACCATCGAGGAAGTACTTGCATGTAGGCATTTTTTCAGGACCGACGTCGTGCGATAACGGGCATTTATCTAAGAGACACTTTCCCTGCAAAAATCTACAGATCGACGATATATTAAGTTTCATATTATTAAGTCTCAGTTAAATCTTACGTTATGAAGCAAAAATTTTTGCACAATTTTTATGTTCAGTTGTAGAATAGTTATATATTTCGAAGCCACGTTCACTTAATTACTAATTACAAATATTATATACTCACTTCTTGCAGATTGACACTTGCTTCTTGTCATGTTGTTTTGGGCATGTTCCATTTTTGTAGTTTTGGCAATATCCAAATCGTTGAAAGATCAAACAAGGCTGATTATTCTTGCGCATTTTATTTCGTAGAATTTGTAGACTTCTTTGCTTCACTTTGTTACTGGCAGAAAAACTAATTAGTGTGTTTATGAAATTTATAGAAATTCCAATGATGACCAACTGCGAACAATTATACTATTCGGTCCAAATATCTTATTTACCTGATAGTGTTTTTATAAATAGTTTTGGATGATATATTGGAAGCACGTCGTGTTTTCACACCGAGAGTGTTTGTGTCCAATGTGTAATGTGTTGGAATTTCCTTGTTAGGGCGTAACTTTTTAGTAGAAATGAGTTTATCGTCGTTTCCATTCGTCGACCGTTTTCCTAAATTTATATAGACATGTACATATACAATATGCATATATACGTATTAAAAAGTTATGAATTGAACATTAGATAATACATTTACAACAATATTAAAATTAAGTCTAGAATAGTGTGATGGTATACACACGTTTCAATAAATAGCTTCTCCGGATTAATCTATTTTTGGAAGATTTGTATACAATGCCACCGATGGTAACCAATCCTACTGTGTTGTTTCTTTAACATAAATATTTGTTGATTGTATGTCTTGTAATCCATATAATAATTTCGTTACAAGCCTTACTTACGTAATTTTTCTCCTTTTCAGAGAATTCTGACTTCCCTTAATCTTCGGTGTATTTAATACGGTCCTATCTATCTTATACTTGGTCACTTTAGATTTATTAATGTTTAGTTTTGGTACATTGGTATGCCTCAAGTTTGTACATTGCAACATATTACTCATTACTGATGGAACTTTTACAACTTTTTGCACAATAGTACCGGATCTTTTTTCTGTTAGGTTTGTAGATTCTCGTAACTTACATTGGGATAATGGAAGTGTGGAAGTTCCTAATAAATTATTTGCAGTACCAGTTACTCTAACGAGCTTTCTGCGCGACAGGAGCACAACATCAGAATCAGAAGCAAGTTTCTTTGGAGTAACTTTTTGATCACTCATATTTTTAAGAGGCATTTTTGAGCAAACAGGTTGCTCTCTTCTATGTACTTCATTAGAATTATAATCAGAAGAAGAGGATAAACCTTTCAATAATGTTGGGTTGACATATATAGATCTTTTAATATTTGCTTGCATAATGTTACTACCGATACTTGCTTTTATTGTGCCCAGTGTACTACTTTGTAAGTTTTGATTTGAACTTGCAATATCATGGACCATTTTTGGGTTAACATGTATCGAAGGCTTAGCACGAATCTTTGGATTGATATGCATTGTTGGTTTCTGCAGCTTAAAATTTGGATTTATATAAACATTTGCAGTGAATGATTGAGGTTCTACATGTGTACTTTCAATTGACATTTTAGGAAATATTTTAGAATTCAAAAAAGATCCAGGTACTAGATTTCCGTCAGCTTTGGGCTTGACATACTTGTAACTTCTATTTGGACTATTCATCTTAGTATTTTATAAAGATCAGTATGTCTCTAATTAGTTTTGTCAATCCTACAATCACACAAGACAATTAATTCAATATAACAACTTAATATGTTAAAAAAGAAAATAACTGGAGCAGAAATATCTTGGAATAAAGATGAACTTAAATTCTAGAAAGAAGACTTGTGAATCAAAAAATTTAAAAACTCTATAAGTTTAGAAACTTTTAGTATCTCTCTATGGAATTACAAATTTTCAAAAGTGCTACTTACACCACGTTACACCATGTTAAAAACATAGAGAAACATAGAGAAGTAAGTTAAACTAACCTGTTGGAACCTGTTGGTTACTACAAGAGTATATTCGAACTCTTTCCTGACGTCATCATCAAGTATGGTAACAATGTCGAGGACGCAGGAGTTTCACAACTGATACTGCTTATTATCCTCTATCCTGAGAGAATATAACTTATTGTTTAAATAATAGATATATAATAAGTCAGCTTCGACAATAGTAAGTTAATGTAATTACGACCTTCCCAAAAATTGTTCACTAAACAGCAAATGATCAATAATTTAATATTCCTTCTCATCGAAAAACAGCCAAACTAGCAATTGTTTTCCATTACTAATCGATTACTAACTCGATATTTCAGAATATTTGCAAATTATAAATGGTCGCCCGTTGTCATCTAGTGGTGTTGCACCAATGTAACAATGCAAGATATGAATCTCTGCTAAGCGGTTTGAATCTCAACTAAATTTGTATTATTAAAGCCAGCGGCACACGGTGCTTGTTTTCGTGCTGGATTGCTTGCTGGATGAAAATACTGCGTTCTGATTGGTGCATTTCCGAAGATGGATGGAAATGCACCAATCAGAACGCAGTATTTTCATCCAGCAAGCAATCCAGCACGAAAACAAGCACCGTGTGCTGCTGGCTTTACAGAGAGGAGCTTCTATAATTACAAAAATCTGACGAGTAAGGCCCAGTTCCACAACTTGCTTTAAACGGAGTTTAAAGCTAAACCGATGGTTAAAAGCAATAGTATATGCGCAATAATAATTACTAAAACTGTTATCTCAGTTTTAATACGCGCATAACATTTTCTTTATTATATTCATAAAACTTTATATATTACATATACTAAGTTTTTATTTCTCAGAAAAAAGTTTAAAATGCAATCAAATTTTATTTTAGTTTTAATAAGAACATGATAAATATTTTATTATTTACTAGGTTTAAAGTAATTACATATTTTGTGCATAAATATTCATAAGAAAATATTTAAATATTATCTTAATCACAAATATGAACCTAATTAGTATAAATCTAGTAACTCTGCGTTTATAATATGCAGAGTATGTTATTTTAAGTTTCAAAAGTTTTAGCATACAGATGTTTTAACGTTTTTGATATCTAGAGTATGTCATTTTTAGTTTCAGATGTTTTAACATTTAGATTTTATGTTCAAACTTAGAAAAATGATTATAAGATATTTCCTTATATTATAATTGTTCTACAGTTATCTTATATGTTTGTAGTAGAAATGATAAAATGTCTGTTGAAAAATATTAATATTGTTTATTTATAATTGTTATCTAAATATGTTATGCTGATAAAATACAAAGCTAGTAAAATACAAAGTGGAGAAAAGTTCTACAAAAATATATTTTATTTTACTGTCACTGAATTGCCTGATCTTGTCATAGTACTCTTCCAATGTTATTAAAATATTCACATAAATTTTCTCGCATTTCTATGGCAGCAGAAGCATGACGATTGCCTCCTTGATGTTGTAATCTTAATAAATCTTGTCCTTGTTCATCTCGCCATTCTCCATATTGCAATTGACCTGTCATTTCATCTTCCATATCAATATATCCTGGTGGAGTATACATCATACGGCCTATACTGTGAGATTTCAACATGTTATGAAGACAACAAATCGCCAATACAATGCAACGAGTATCATCTGGGTCGTATCTCATTGGAGATCTGAATATATTAAATTTGCTGACCATGACTCCATGAATGCATTTTTCGCACATCGTCTCGCTCTAGATAATCTGCAACAATAATTAAATGTGGAATATATAAATACTGATATATATAAAAAAAAACACCTATTCCTTTACTTCTACTTACCTGTAATTAAATTCTTCTCTCTTTTTTTCCTGCACATTGCTCCTCGGGATAAGGTATGAGCACATTTGTAGGTAAAGAAAAACCTTCATCTCTTATAATTACATAAGGAAAATCCTGCTCAGTACCTGGTAGGGGACTTGGTGGAGGAATATTAATGTCGTTTTTTTGCAAATGATGTTTTAGAGCACATTTATTCCATATTCCTCTGTCAGATATTCGTCCATTTGTGCCCACATCGACGAATATAAATCGAAGCTGAGCATCCACAACCCCCAAAAGCACGATACTGAACATTTCCTTGTAATTAAAGTATGAGAAACCAGACTGAAGTGGAGGATCTATCCGAACATGTTTCCCATCCATGGCACCCAAGCAATTCGGAAAATTCCATCTTTCCATATAATCATGAACAATTACTTTCCAAGCCAATTCACTGTCAGGAAATTTAAGATGTGTTTCTTGCAAAACAGAAATGAGAGCACGATAAGTATGATCCCAGATTTAGTGCTTTGTCGAAGACGGAAAGTATAAGATAGTGATTTTTTACTTTCTCCTACAACAAATAATATACAAAATTATTACATGATGAAAAATAAGTCACAAAAAAATATATAACTTACTTAAAATAGATATGCTCAACAACCTGTTGCCAAATGACGTAATGTTACAGCAAGTCTTTCTGCAGGAGAGATATTTTGTCGAAGATGAGGATATCCTGTCTTTTAATTAATGGCTCCAATTTCTTCACAAGATCCTCAAACAAATCTGAAGACATACGAAGACATCTGACAAAACAAATACATAATATTAATTATTGAAAGTGATTAGAATTAACAAACTACAGTCAAATTACATTCTTACGTTCTATTGATTATAACTTATACATAAAAAATATATCTACCTACCTGCGATACTTGTCTGGATCTTCTAGTTGTAATTCTAGAAAGAGGTTATGAAAACAACCTTCTTGTGCTCTTTTAGCTATCCAGGATCTAACCCGCATTTTTTTTTTTTTTTAGGAAGAACCTTTTTCTCATATTGTGACTTTAACATCATTAGCATCACAATAGCGCATATTTTTTTCTTCTTTCTATGTTCCATTTTTCTTCACTTCTGTTGCAAAACCTATACATTGACTGCGTTCAGTAGAACAAAATGATCGGTGAGCGCTTAGTGATTATTATCTGTGATTGGAGCATTCTTTTGGATTCTTCATAGATCCAGAAGTATTTACCAATCAGGAGCGAGAATCACTAAGCGCTCACTGATTACTTTGTTATGCTGAACGCAGCCATTGAAACGACGAAACGCAAACGCTTGCTCCCAACGGTCACTAGTGTGATTGACAGACATCTAATCGCAAGCGCAAACGCAAACGCAGATGCAGTTGTCAATCGCTACGGTGTGATACGGGCATAAAATATCCATTAGACAACGGTTGGAATGAGAGAATTCTTCAAGTTTTTCAAGTTCCACGAGTGATCAACAAGTCAGAAGATCTCTTTATATGCAAACAGTGTGAGATATTTAACGGTAAGACAATATTTTATTTTTTAATGTCCCGATTAAACGAATGACGTTGTCAAAAACATCTTTGAAGGATTAATCGAATTTGAAAATGTCGAGAAGATAATCGATCCTTTAGCAAAAAGTAGAACAGACATCGATTTATCGATCGTGTACATACACACACATTTGCATGGTGGCGCCTGTAGCTAATATTGAGAGAGAGAGAGAGAGAGAGAGAGAGAGCGCTCTAGCATAGAATCAGGTGTAACTGGATGCACTCGAGTATACAAAGGATATTCATGTTATATCGTTACATGTTTCGCATCCTCATTTAAGTATGACTTCGGTCGATTCGGGAGTGGAAACCGAAAACGACTCGAATGATAGTTCGATCGTTCAACACGAAAACCAACATGCGACAGTCGTTGCCACCGCTGCTACTAATAGTCAGGTCGCAGTTGAAGATCTTGCATCACTCGCTATTATGGACGCACGTAAGTTGAACATCAGCCGTTTTTATGGACACATGTAAGTCATCGGTCCGATCCAACTACTTCGTAGGTTGCTTCAACCCGCATTGGACAGTGGACACAACATTCTGCTCTGTCATGGAACGTTACAACTTCGACGAGAACAGGCAAGCCTCGTTGGCATCCCAAGATCCTGACCGTAAATGGCTTCACGTAAATCGGGTAAACAATGATTTAATGATATAAATAAGAACGCGTTAAACAGTTATAAGTCTAAAGAGTGAGACAACATTGATATTCTTTCAGATACTGAAAATGAATCTACCAATGTACACATTACACTGTGAAAGACCAATTGGAGATAGAATACTTAAACCTCCAAAGAGCGGCAATCACCATGCGTTTAATTTATTGGCCGATAGTAAGTATGTTTTTCTGGAAATGGAAAGAATGCATATAACATCTTGATGGAAATCTTCGTGCAAAGTACTAGGCTTAGTAAAGCATACTTTCATCAAAGTTGAGTAATATAGCGATCGTATTAATTTAGGAGTTGCTCACCGCAAGTTAAGACAACGTAAATTCAATTGTGGATGGGCGGATTGGCGAACAACAATATCTGAACGAAGGATGCGAGTAGCTGCTGCCACGAATGACATTGATACGGTGAAGGAACTTTTGGAGAATGATGTAACACCCAACAATCACGATGCACAAGGTCGTACTCCTCTCCACCATGCAGTCTGCAGGTAATTTGCACATCCAAATGATTGTGACGAGAGGAGATAGCAAGCTTTTTACCTATTTTAATCATTTCTGTTACATAGAGGTTACACAGAAATTGTTAGTTTATTGTTGGGATATGGTGCGGACCCAAATCAACGGGATCGCATAGGTAATACTCCGCTACATCTAGCTGCGGTTACCAGCAAGATATCGATAGTGACGCTGCTCCTGGCAGCGGGCACCGACGTACTTTCGTCCGATCGGCATGGCTACAACCCACTGCAGCTAGCACAAGCAAAATTGAAGATGCTGCAGAGTTACAAAGAAGAAGGTTTGGTGAGTATCAAGGACGAGATGCGCAATATAGTCAGGATGTTGATGGTATACCTCCACAAGCAGAAGAATATGGGCGAGCAGATTGAAGCATTGAATAATATCTGCTCGCGTCTCTCTTTGTCCGATACTTCGGATCAGGTACAGGACGATGTCAAAGATTTGTTGGCAAACTTGGAAACTCTAGACATAAAGAGTTAATTACCTGTGGATACTACATATGCCACTGTAATATATTACATATATCGTAGATTATTTACATAAAGTATATTTACGTAAAGTTTTTCATGAGAGTTCATGAGAATGTGCAACTGTTTCTGAGAACTGTACATGTGTGTTTATTACATGTATGTATGTGATGTATGTGCTTTTTACACGTTTTATGTATTACGATTTACTCGGGGAATTCAATCAGCCGATCAATTGATTGATCATTTATCACTCTGTAAAAAGTGTTGTATTGCAACAAAAGCTTCATTTTTTGTTAACAGTCGTCCAAATCGTTCAAAGATTTAAATAATCGCATTTAAAGGATACATTTCAAGTTGGAATCTGAGAACGAATTTACATTTAATCATGATACAACATACATATTAGTTGAAAGTATGAAAAAAATTTTAGTACAAAAACGTCAGGTCATTTCTAAAGATTGATATATATCATGTGAACAATTCCCCACTTATTTTTAGTATCTCTACTTTCTGATTATATATAAACATGTAAATAGTATTCGTAATAATTTTATACATGCACTGTATATAAACCATCCTTTGTTAATCCTATCTCAGTGAGAAGATTATTGTACTTTTAAGAAAATGTAAGAGACAAAGCAATGTGTCGCCAATAAAACATCTTATGATGGAATACGTGGAGTATCTTTTCACTTGTGAATCCACCAATTAATTCAGATACTTCAGCTGGGCCCCTCTTGGGATTTATTTTCATAACAAATCAAAAAAGAATAAATCGCGCGGCGATCGGCTCTGGTCTTTCAACGAGCGACCGTGCTGCTGCTGGTGAGCAATGTGCGGAGCTGATTATAGCGTGCATTCAAACTTCAGAAAGGCGAGCTATAAGAGAAGCACGTCGTGGGTGGTCCGGTGCGACTGCGAGGGAACACGAGTCTTGACGCGTGTGTGGTCCGGCTGGTTTTATATGCTGTGAGTGCGACTGTCGCCGGCGACCGTAGAAGATGCGAGAAGCTTCGTTCGGACAAGACGCAGACCTTGTCTCGTGGTTGGCCGAGATTGCCTGCGACAGCAAAGATGACATCAACTCGTGGACGCATGAAAGTACGCGTCTTATTGTTTATATCACTCTCCACGTGGTCTCTTTGTTTTGGAGTAGTTATCACCACAACGTGCGGAACGTATTAACGTGCACTTACGAAAAGAGACGGAATATCTTTCCTCTTTTCCTCTCTTTTTCAAGACAATGTTTGCTCCTTTTGTTTAAATTATTTTTCTCATTTTTTTTATTTTCGCGAATAAGTTTTTCTCCTTTTGTTTGTAGATGATACCGCTACTGGTGCTCTGTTGCTTGTTGCCTCACAGGACGTCTTCAGAATTGGAGCCTAGATTTACAACCAACAATGAAGCCGAGAACAATACGGGAAAGGATATGGATTTGGGATCTCGACACAGAATCAAAGATTCCAGTTATTTGCTGGACAGATATCCCATAGACATGTCATCGGATGATATGAATTGTCGCAGACCTGCAAAGTGCATATCTCTGCACAAAACTACTTGTATGGGTATGAAATTACCATATACTCACACTACATTGGACCTGATACCTGAACATGTAACTCAAAACATCGTAGAGGTGAGCAAGACTATTTTTTATACTCTTGTTTCTTCCATTTTTCTTTTCTTTGATTACATCATCTCTAAAAACATTTACATATTCAAATTGCAAACTTTGCATTTTAAGGAATAAGCCAATGTTTCTTTGTATTCATTTACCTGAATATATGTGTCAAACTTTCTTGAAAATGTAAGAGATAAGGATGACATTCTACGATATTACTGTCGCATCTGGGCAAACCTTTGTCAAACTGTTAACACGCGTTTCTCAACGACGCGTTATTATGTCGCTGCTTATTGCTTGCTACATGAAATTTGTACAATTTGTGCAGCTTGTATAATTGAGACGATTACTCTATGACGATTACTCGTCGGCTTGTTATTTTCAGGAAAGATTATACTTGTTACAAGCCTTGAGACACGTACCAAAGTGTTGGGCGGTTGTTCAGCCATTCTTGTGCTCAATATTCATGCCAAAGTGCGTGAACAACACGGTGGAATTACCGTCACACGAGATGTGCAAGCTGGTGTTGGGACCCTGCAGGTTGCTGCTCAATCACACGATATGGCCGAGTTTTGCGAAATGCGACGATACCGAACTGTTCCGACGTTCGTGCAAGAACGACATCAGGGAACTAAAGTTCAACATATCGGGCAAATGCCTGAAACCCCTCGTGCCCACTGACAATGCCTTGTCGATCTTCGACGGAGTCGAGGGCTGCGGCACGCAGTGTTACGACCCGTTGTTCACACCCGACGAACACAAGCAGATACACTCGTTCATCGCATGGGCCGCGGGTATCTGCTGCGCCTTCAATCTGTTTACCATAGTAAGCATTAGGGGAGGCCACGGTCATTCTGTATGCTGTATTCCTAACAACGGCAAAATCGCATGTGCAATTGTATATATTTCCAGATAACATTTCTGATAGATTGGAGAAGCGCCAACAAGTATCCAGCCTTGGTGATATTTTATATAAACTGTTGTTTCATGGTGTCTTGCATCGGCTGGTTAGCTCAATTTACCTTCGGCAGGGACGTAATTGTATGCCGCAAGGACGGGACGTTGAGAATGAGCGAACCAAGGTACGGTATCACAGTCGCTGCGTTTTACGCCAATCCCGGTATCAACGTGATCTCGCAAAATGTCTATTTTCAGCGGGGAGACTCTCTATTGCATCATAACCTTCATTCTCGTGTATTATTCTCTGATAGCAGCTGTGGTGTGGTTCGTCATATTGACGTACGCCTGGCACATGAGTTTTCAAGCGCTCGGCAAAATAAAAGACCGTATAGACAAAAAGGGCGCGTATTTCCATTTGATCGCTTGGTGCTTGCCGACCGTCTTGACGGTCACAATCATGACCTTAGGCGAGATCGATGGTAACAGCGTGACCGGAATATGCTTCGTGGGTTATGCTAATCATATAGCGAGAGCCTCGTTTGTGCTGGGCCCGGTGCTGATCGGCTTACTAATAGGAGGCTATTTTTTGTCTAGAGGTGGGTATTACTTTCCGTTGTGACATATGATGCATTTGCGTGTATATGTCATACACAGCGCGTGATAACTGCAATTATTAATTAATATTAAATTTTCATTTTCTTCAACGCTTTCCGTACGTATGTGAGTACGAATCGTGAGTATTGATTCATTATTATTATTCATTATACCGGAGAGAAAGAGAAAGAGAGATGCAAATGATCGAACACTTTAAAAAATGTATCAACTTTGTTATACGGTACAGCTTCGATTTACAATGTTGAAAGTACTTGGTTGTTTGCATATCTGCGTTCTGTGTAGCGTGTCGAAAGTGTGACTTTCAATCTATTGCTTTATCCTGTGCGTTTCAGGGCTTTTTACGCTTATTAGTTTAAAAATAAGCAGTCGAGAGGTCATGTCCGAAAGAGCGAGTGCAAAGATACGAGAAACCATCATTAGGATGGGGCTGTTCTTCATATTTACTCTGGCGGCGGTCGGCGTGACGTTTTATTGTCACATATATGAGTTTCTGCATTCTTGGCAGTGGCGACAGAGCTTCAGAAATTATATGATGTAAGGAACTTGGAATTATAATAACCAGATACACGTAGTACGAGATGTACTTGTTGAATGGTGCAACTACATCGCGACTACAATTCGCGTATAAATATCTTAGTCAGTAGTTTGTCACGCAATTTTGATCGCGACTTGTACGAAGTGTTTCATTGTTTTCATTTCAAAGATGCGCGATAACAACGAAGTATTTGGACGAGTCCGAGTGTAAAATGAGCATAAGGCCGAGCGCAGGCAAGATGCAGCTGCATCTGCTTGCACCATTTTTCGCCGGCATACTTATGTCCTCGTGGGTTTGGACCAGTTCGACGGTTGACACGTGGTCCAGATTTCTGAAGAGGTAAATCTCAGCAAACGTTAGACAGTTCTCTCATTCAACGTCAATTCGCGCGTCCTCTTCATCAACGAGACTCTGAATAGAACGCGTCTCCTTTGTGTTTGCAGAACTTTCAATTGCGAGACTGAAGAACCGATAAGACTGAAGAAGCACAAAGTGATCGCGCAAGTCTTCGCGAAACGTAAGACGTTCAACAACGCCGGACGGTTGTCCATAAGCTTTCACAACACTCACGAGGATCCAGTCGGGCTGAATTTCGAGCTCAATTCAGTGGCTTCGCAAGACTTCAGCTCCACTTGGGCAGCCGCTCTGCCTAAGCTGGTGACGCGAAGAGGCGCGTTAGTCGGCAGCACTACCGGATCCGTGTCTAGCAATAGACGAAATTCGGTGGACTCTGAGATCAGTTACAGCTTCAAATGCGTCTCCATGGAATCTAGACGAGATTCCTTGGACTCGCAGATATCCGTGCAGATTGCGCAGGTGAAGACCACGCGAAAGGTTGCCGGTCGGCCGAACGGCCGTCGTGGAAAGAACAGAAGAGACTTTGGGAAATCTGGGAAATCCAGGTCGGACAAGAAAGTTGATCCACATTCCAGGAGAGACAGTACCACCTCCCAGGATAGCCAATTGGTGACAACCGGTGCCGGGCATGTGCCGATTCAGATGCCTAATATGGGCAGGAGATTGGGAAACGCTGGACTGGACGATCGAGCTTTGATTGTCGAGGATTACCGTGGCTCGAAGATCATCGACACGAAGAATGCGGGTATGCTGCTACCCTTCTTGTTCCCGAGAAGCTGCAGCGACGAGAATTTAAGCAGCGATGAGAAGAGGCTCGACGACCCAGTGGTTGTCGACATAGAAGCCGAGAATGCGGAAAAGGACGAGCAGGACAGCGACGGCGAGGACAGTCAACCGGATGAAGAGGTGAAGATGTTGAGTCCGGAGGATACGCACGAACGTGGCAAGGCTAAGAGCAGCAATAAGAACTGCAAGACCTACAGTCACGAGAGCGACCGGAGAAACCGGGAGAGTCACAGGAACAAGTACGTTCTGAAGGATGAGACGATCTTGAAACACTTACTCCAGGAGAGCAGCGATATTAAGATAAAGAACGACTCCGAGAAGAAAGAGACGTACAGGAAGGTAGCGGCGGGCGACTTGGCGTCTAGTCTCACCTCGTGTTGTCCGGAGCTCACCAGATTGATGCAAGACGGGCAGACGGGCAATGCCAGAGAAATGGCGACGCAGACCTCGCTGCCGCTCGACATACTGGAGATGGAAGAATTGAAACAGAGCATCGATGAGATAATCAACAGCAGACATTGCAGTTCTAAAGGAACTCAAATCTCACCTCAATTAAAGAAGAGCAAGAACATTGTGACGTAAAGACTGATGACTGTTCTTCTCTCTTTTTCTCAAATGTATATTGGGAAATGTGCATATAGTGAGGTAGATGTTAGATAGCATAATTGTTTATTGAAGTAGTAACGATTGCGTCGCGCGCGGGCTAGACACATAGACGAACTATACTTTTTCACTTCTTCGTCCGAGCGAAAGAGTGAAATCGTGTGGCGATGACAATTTTATGCTGGCTATCATTCAAATCGTATACATAGAGTACAGTAATGAAAACTCGGATATCGAAGAGTTCTAGTTATCATAATGCATGTCGATATTTTTGTACTTTTTTTTTTTTTTTTATTATCGCTGGTCAAATCTCAAAGTACGGTATCCGACGGTTAATCGACAATTCGCATTGTGTGCTAAATAATGCGATGCCTCTACGGTAATTCTAATCGTATCATGTTTTGCAAATATTACTATTACCTTTTACCACTGAATTGGAAGCATACGGTATTCCATACTCTCGCATACATATCAGTGAATGTTCGTAAGAATATATCGAACGCTCTATGTTTCAGTAAGATACTTTGTATACATATATTATTTTAACAGCCGAATAAAATTTGTCTTATAATTCTTGTGTTATATATATTATTAATTTAGTACTCTAATAAACTGAGATGGCCAATCCGAAGGCGGAAATCTACTCAGCTATCGCAATATGACGAGATAATCATGTTTTTGCAGGATGCAAAATATCGAACGATTCTCGTTAGTAACAAACTCGACGTTATTCGTCGCACACGATCGCTTTTACGGCGGTGATGTTTCACAATTGCGAGAAAAGTTTAGAAATTGCATTCTGCTGGATATATTTGTGACAAGTGTCCACATTAAAAGGTACTAATCGTGAGAATACGTTTTCCTTATACTTCTTGTACTTGTATACTTCGTAATTGCTATCAGTATATATACCTATATGAAACACCATCTTGTACGTATCTCATGTTTCGTTCTACCGCTCTCTCTCTCTCTCTCTCGCTCTCTCTCTCTCTCTCTCTCTCGCTCTCTCTCTCTCTCTCTCTCTCTCTCTCTCTCTCTCTCTCTCGCTCTCTCTCTCTCTCTCGCTCTCTCTCTCTCGCTCTCTCTCTCTCTCTCTCTCTCTCTCTCTCGATACTTTAAGTTTGTATACATAAAATTTTGCTACGTATTGATATGTAATACCGAAATGCACGTGTTCTGCACTTTCTTCAAATGTATTTGAAACTAATTGCCGAATTATAGAAGAAAGTTCAGGAGGAAAGTCAAAACCTGTCGATATTTACACTTTAATCGTACGTGTATCCGTGTCAGAAATGTACACGCCGGGCATATAAATAATGCACATCCTCAATTATTGCTGATGAAGTATGTTCCGATTTAAAGAATTCTTTGGCACAAAAGAATATCGGGGAGAGATTTGTCCACTGAACTTATTTCGGTAAAACCCATAGGAATATCGGTGATAATTAACGTTAACCCCCTATAGGCCTTTTACATATCACTGAATGGCTATGACCCTATTCAACCGTAGCAACATTCGGTAGCGTGCGGATCATACGCGTATTAAACGGGGAAGTAACATTAAAGTGTCCTTCAGTGAAACGGCTCGATAAAACTGCTACTGTCTGTGAACGCGTTTATGCGTGAACGCGCGTCGGAGTTATAATCCACCTTCCGTAAACGTGCACTACAGGTGACGCCAAAGCACTTCTCACCAGTAGCAAGAAGATGTCTTCGGCGATGTCATCTTCAGACGAGCGATCCGAATTAGAGATACTTAAGATTTCCCCATCTGTGTCCCCATCGGCGGCTGGTTCTACGTTTTCAAATCTGGATCCACGCTCTCCGTTACCGCTACACATTTTTTTCCTACACTCGATACAAATATATCTGGACTTTAGTTCGGTTATGCGTTCGAGCATACGCCACGTTACACGCGTCTCGTACATTGCATATGCATTACATACATCTTCTCTCCGTACACCACATTAACTTTATTGGTAATAAAAACAACAATATAATAAATTGCTCGCGCTACGAAAGTATAAAAATAAGTGTTATCGTGTGGCGAGAGAAGAGAGGCAGGGACAGGGGATGATTGTTGCGATGAGTGCGTGTTGTTCTTTCTTTCTTATTCGATCGGGGCGCTCCAGTCACACAATACACCATTGATGAAATTAGTCTCCCTTGGGCCGCGAGGCCGCACAGAGGCATCGCACTTGCATGCTCCTGTTGCTCGACTCGTGTTATGTTCCCATCAGCAGGCCGGGTTAACGAACAGGCGTGATCTTCACCCTAAACGCGCTTGCATGCACATACACAACGCTCTACTAATGTCCTAAATGACTGGTTTACTTTGAAGGATGATATATACACGTGCATGCTGCAACGCGAAGTCACGTAGAAAAAGACTCGTTTATTCATTCACCACCACCGCAGGCGCGCGGCAGGCAGGACGCGACGCGGCTTATCATCCGTTAGTGGCGCTTGGACGAGGCTACTTGGATTTGGTGTGAGACGTTTGATGCTTAGTGTTGTATTTTTTACCCCAGAGATAGTTGTCCAGCGCCTCGCCGACAAAGTACAGGACCATGCAAACGACCAGCAGCATCGCGATGAACACTATCCGCAGCGGCAGCGTCAGCACTTCCATCACTGGGTATACCCAGATGCCGCTCTTGAAGTAGATCACGTGTATCCTGAAATATTCGTCGAAGGATATCGTTACAAGTTACAAGTTACACCGGGGCAGATAGTGGTTTCGATCTTTCCGTCGACTTTCTTCTTCGGTACGATTCGATACTTGTGAAAAATTGCTGGCTGACAACATTCGCTCTATGTGCGTGTTCCGTGTCTCGAGACACGTTGTCTCGAGAAATTAGAAATTATTAGCGTACTCGTCTGTAACGTACGCGTCATTACACTCCTTTTCGTTTCTTTACCTCTCGCAGAAAGACCGGATACACGCAGATCCGATTCACTTACCAAACTAAATACATGAGCATGAAGCCCGTGAGTATCCCGAGATTACGGGACCGCTTGGGATATTGTCGTGGTGCGACGATCATTTCCAATACGGTCGTTACTATAATCATTGTGTGCATTAGATGGTTCAACCACCGTGGAAAGTACGGATCCAATACCTTCGGTAATACCAGTTCACGGTCGATAAACATCAATCCCCAGAAGATCACGCCGACGAACTGTAACGAGACATTGATATTATGTTTAATGTATTATTTTTCATATCTAGTTTTTACGAGACACGGCGAGATGTCTATTTGCGCAAACATTTAGATAAGTGATAGTTACACAATCAGTGATAGTTACATAATATTTGTCAAATCAACTGTACTCACCATAGCGATAGGAAACCCGAGGCTCACGTGGAAGTAATCCTTCAGCTTTCGTATGAAGGGTGGCTTCTTGGGGTTGACGGCGTTTGTGCCGAAGCAGTCGTTTAGGACGCATATCAGAAAGAACACCGCTTGTAGAATCTACAACACACAATTGGCATTTCGAATTTCCAATTAATCGATTAATCGAATTTTCGCGGTGACTTGGTGCGACGTGCGGTCGAACGCACATGTGAACGTTGTTCAAAGTTATGAATAAAACTTAATTAATGTTATCGATGCGACCACAAGTCGTCGTGTATTTTCATCGTCATTAAAACCGCTTTGCGTATATATATATATATATATATATATTAATTAAATAGTCGGCCAGATGACTAAACTAAATGAAAGTCCAAAGGATAATTTTACAGACATGAGACATTTGTTCGTTTTTGCTACCTGAAGCGGGAGCAGTCGTTGAGTCAAGTCAGTGCATATAAATCATTTATCGGTAAATAAGCAATGATAATAAGATACTTGTTATCATTGTGCACTCGTATTTATATACAAGCTGCTCAGTTAATATTCATTCGATAACATTTGGTTTTCGTACAATAATTCTCCAATTGAATCTCATTGTATATGTATGCGGCTTCTTTTGTGTTGCACGTCAGTCTTTTGTTCCATTATCGGCTCATTCGAAAACTTACTCGATACGTCTGTTTCAATTGATGAGGAATATGCAACACGCATATCGCATGCAGTCATGGGTGACACTTTGACGAGACGATAGGAAGCAACCTGATTATTCGCTTCGCTCTCAATATCAATTAGACTGGTCGTCTTAATTGGTATTTCGCAAAATCGCGGTTCTTCTAGAGCGCGAAGGTGAAAATACTACTTACTAATTGCACAACGGTCGAAATAAGATCATGTTCATTGAGAAACGGATAAGAGGTGCATAAAATCGGTAGGTTTTACACTCCGTTACCGGCACAAATGCAATCTTGTTTTCTTCGATTTGTCATGCAAAAAAATTCAATGAGCAGCCATTCTAGCATAATTATCGATCGATTGACGTTGCGCATAAGCAATTTTGCGTGACACGTGTCTCTGTTTGCGGATAATATAAAGTGGTGCTTGAACAATTGAATTTTGCTCTTTACGAGCTGCTTGATAGCGGCAATTTAAGCGTGAAATGGTCGAGAGAGCATGTCATCGCGCGACGATAAGTGACAGTCTCAGCGAATTTAGAGTCACGGCTCTTTTGATTCGACGAAAAAGGTTTGAATCAAGCGGAGCGTAAACTGCGCTCATTTTCGAGGAGCGCGTTTCATTCTTTTTTTCTTTTAAAGAGGAAGCGCTCGCGAAAATAGATGTCAGTCGAAAAATATATCAAATATAATCTCAACTCGCGTTCAACGTTCTTCTTTTCTTCTCTAATTTCGATGGTTTTCGAAAAGACGACAAGTTTTTTTTGACAAATAAAATTGCGTTTAGTCGTCTTAAAAATATAGGCAAGCCATATTCGCGCATAAATTTACAAGATAATAGGGCTGAAATTGAAAGAAGAACCCCTCCATAAAATTGCTAATTTTACTGTTAATCGTTATTGATGAATATATCCCGTTTTCTACGTTCAAAGCTGTCAGCTCAAAAGATATTATATCACCATCATTTGCAACTTTTGCGATTGCCTAGGCGCACTATATAGAACTGTCGGTTTTCACCATTATGTAACAAGGCAATAAGGATACAGCACATGGCTATTAGACGTACGTTCGCGCAAAATGGTTTTTACGGAAAATAGTCGAATTTCTTGCCGCTTCACAGAATGTATGGACCATAATCTCTATTAAAGAACAAAGAATGAAAAGAAAAGAAAAGAAAAATGTACAACGTTGAGGAAGCATTAAATAGAAGCGGTTTGTCTAATGATTACTATGACTGGAAACTATACGTAATACCTTTCTAATATTCGGAATTACTACTCTACTACTACTACACACACACACACACACACATCATTTACTACAGGTATTTCCCATAAAGCTAATCGACGGATGCGTATAATCTTAGGAAGAACGACGACTCAACAACCAAGATTGAACGACATAGTTTACAAAATAAGATTACAATACAGACTTTATCGGATCTTCAAATTTACTACAACGTGAAATCTCGTTGCATCGAAATGCTTCACATCTCGATATGAATTTTCTCGCCAGATTTCGTCGCGATAAGAAAACAGAATCTCATGAAAATTTCATCGCAATAAAAATTTTACGATAACGATCAAAGAGAGAGAGAGAGAGCGAGAGAGAGAGAGAGAGAGAGAGAGAGAGAGAGAGAGAGAAAGAAGGAAAGAAAGAGAGAGTTTCGTTCCGTCGATAATCGAGTTACACTAATTGCAGTGACGAAGCAATCGATACGAAAAATGTATCAACGGCGTTCGGTGCTGTTGCATTCAATGGACACGTTTAAAGAGACTTTCTATACTCTTAAATAATGAATGACTGCATCACCTCATGAAAGAACGAAATGATCAATGAATCGCATGTTATAAAATCTCCTGCGTGTGAATGCGGCCGTACCGAACGCTATTAATGCACAGTATTAGACATTTTACGTTTACATACATAAGACTGACTTGCGCGCAAAGGAGCCTACGGTAACTCTTTTAATTAGACAGCTCGCTTCAAGTTTGTCTATCGATACTAACCGCGTCCCAGAACGTCAGAAACTTGAATTTTCCACCGAAGGCGCCGTGCACCTTCGTGACATTTTGCGGCACTATCGTGAACGTGTAATCATAATAAACCGCGAAAGCGTACTGCAGGAAAGTAATCACGTGGAATCCGATCACTAGGCCTTGTTGCATCTCACGGCTGTTCGCAGATAATCTGAAACGTGCAATTGCATATTCTTCTTCTTTTCTCCTTTTCTTTCCTTCCTTTTTTCTTGGGGACTATACATACGCGTCGCGGTCGGTCGTACGAACGACGAAGAAACTAGTGCGCTTGGTCACTCGTTCATTCTTGCAAAACGATACGAATGAACTCTATAAATAGGAGCAAATTCGTCGTCAAAAATCGTTCAAATTCCAAATCAATTAATGTCGTAACCATTTCTTTTAAACATTTTTGTGGCGGTGTGGCCGCACGGATGTGTTTGCGTCTAACAAGAAAATTGATATATACGTTCGCTGGTAAGAATGTTAAATGAAATATAATAAAATTTTTAAACGTAATCGAAGAGACACTTTTTCTCCAGTAAATATATTCCTCACGATCAGTCGCGTTTTTCGCAAAATTATAGTGCGTGCAATCGATTGGGGAGCATCATCTTTTAATGACAGAAATTTTGATATTAATATTTTGATATTTCTGAAAACAGGAAATTACTGTTTCCTTCTCTTGTTTCCGCGAGCGACGTATCGGTATCGAAATGTCGATGGACGATCTTTTGTGTATATCTATTTGAATATCTGAGAATATCTGAGAATTTTTGAAATATCCATGATACGTATGCATACAAAAGGCAATGTAGAAATGGAAAGTTGATAACCTCTCAACTTCCCAATGTATACGTTATGCAAGTAGATATACACCTACGTTACATAATTTATACGTAACTAAGTAAATCCTATCTGGCGAGCTTAGACGATCTTATAAAATTTAATTCTGCCCTGCCTTCGCAGTTTCCACCAAAAAGAAAGTCGCATCTGTTATTAATTTATTTCAATAAATGAGCGAGAATAAATCACAGTGTGATTTAGTTCTAGTAACAAAAATACAAAAAAATGTTGACGAATGATCGCTGTGTTTTTCTGATGAAAAAACAAGTTGAAAGTAATTTGCATTTCGACATACATAAAGAAGCGAGAGCGAGACATTATGTCATGGAGAAACTGGAAAGGATGTTAAAACAATACCTGGACGGGAACCAAGACCGCGTTTTATCTTTCACTCAAGTGCCGCCGTTAATCGCATTGTGCAGTATAAAAGCACTTTGAGCAGGCAAAATATATCGCAAGACTCGGCTTTAACCTTATAATTCGCCAACGCTTTCCTACGAACCCTCTTTATCAGAATTGCATGGAAAAAAGAGTGTTTACAATCATGATTAATGACGACGCTACTGCAAGTAAAATACAGCTGAAAACAGTGTAACAGACTTAAAAGCAACGCGGGCGAATTATTCACCGAATTACTGGCAAAAAGAAGGACGATTTTAAATCTCGGAAAACGACTCTTTGAAGCTACATTTTAGCGCGAATAACTGAAATAGAAACAAAGTTATAACGCGTATGAAAAGCTCTTGATAAATTTAATTTATATTTAATGCCGCTTTTTATATACTTTTCTACTAGGTCATCGGAGGTTTTACACTATCTATTTGCAGATTCTTTTTAGCCATGCCACGTCGAAGCGTGGAATTAATAAGTCATTTGCCCTTCATAGATTTAACATGGACTGTGGAGCGCTCAGAGAAATATTAGATGACCCGTTGCTAGTTATTAAGTTACGTAACTCGCTTTGCGCGGATAATGACTTTTTTCAGACAGCGATTCGCGAATCCGGAGCACAATTATCTTTCCGATGATGACATTTACTTTGCAGTGAACGATATGCCGGTTGGCCGATAAATTTGTTTTTCTCCTCTGTTATGTAGCCCAGCAAATACGCGTGCTGTCGGTCACAAATTGTCAAGTTGCGGTGTTATCCGTCAGCACGGGGAATATGCCGCATGTCGGTTAAAGAGCACGTTGAAAATAATTACGAGTACAAATAGACTGTAAAGCGAAAGTGCGAAATGTGAAAAATTACGAAAAGAATAAATCATAGAAACGTAAAGCTTGTAAAGCAATAGCTGCGCGCGTCACAATGATACAACGCGCTACAATAATGCTGCAACCTTTACATTGTGCAGATGAGATCGTTCGAAATCGGAGGAATCATTAGTTTGTTCTTTCTCGCAGCTCTCCCTCCGCTACCTTCTCGTTTACTCTTTTTTTTTTTTATCAGATCTCAATCGTATAACTGTATCTTTAAATTCCGAAAGTGCGCATTGTTTTTTTTTTTTTTTTTTTCGAAAAGAAACAAGCTACATGAGATTGCGGTACTCGTTATCACGCAACGTAAAGTATCCGATAGAAAGCAGGTGAGGATAGAATGTAATTTGGACATTTTCAGATGTCCTTGACACGTGTACGATAGTGGACGACAAAAAATTCATCGCTCCAGGGAAAAAAATTTCTCTCAGATTCGTCCAGTTCACGCGTTATTTTTTTCGCGCGGAGAGACCGGAGCATCTCACGTGTGTATTACGTCTCTCGAGCAATCCCGGCGGTCCTCGCCCACACGATCTACCCGCTGTTCGATAAGTGGCGACTCCGCGGCGTCACGTCCCGAACGTCACGCAACGCGAAATCGGCGTCGGCCAAGTGGCGAATTCGTACACCACTTGACCCAACGCGTCGCAAATAACCTAACCTCTTTCTTCACGGAGGTGGCAGAGGTGGTGGTGAAGGTGGTGGTGCCGGCAACGGCGGCGGTGGTTGCTGTCGCGACGCCGCCGCCGACCGGCGACCGGAAAAGGGCGCGATCCCAACGAGGTTCAATCTCCGATGCCAAAGGTACGGAAAAATGCACCTTACGGTACCGAGTTGCCAGTAAAAACTTAGACATCTCATTTTCGCACGTTTCAGACATCGAATACTGAACTCATCGAGGGTGCATGGCGTTTTCGGTGTCTACTTAGCGAACGCGAACAAGGGGGAAGTCAAATCCTACTTTTGTTCATCGTCCATCGACATGACCGCGTCTTCAGATAGATAGATAGATAGATAGATAGATAGATAGATAGAGAGAGAGAGAGAGAGAGAGAGAGAGAGAGAGAGAGAGAGAGAGAGAGAGAGAGAGAGAGAGAGAGAGAGAGAGAGAGAGAGAGAGAGACTTATTTTTAATTGGTCCACGGCCGTCTCCTCGACCTCGGAGCCGATCGATCTACCCTTACTTGGTGCGGAAAACGCGCGCTTCGTCGCGACGATTCTTAAAGCGAGCGTACGTGCACAGTGTCTGTGTTTCTTTGCTGCAGCGCGAGATCCTGTTACGTTTCACAAAATTACACGCAAACTTCTCGAAGCATTCGTGTCGACGGTCCGCGACTTACTGACGGATTATGGAGTAAAACGGAAGGAGGGAAAGGGAAAAAGACCGCAGCATGCGTGCGTTTGGCACCGGTTCACGCGGTCGCGTTCAGGATGGTAGGGAGGGCCAGTGGCGCATTTAGATAGCTCGGTCGCCCTACGCCGAACTTCTTTCATGACCTGGCAAATCTTCGAGCGAGTAGAGAAATATAGGCCCTACTGAAACCGAGACCAAGATAATCTCCAACGAGGAGACTTGTCAACACCTGCAACGATAATTCAAAGTCAAGATGCAGATCGCGGTTGTATTCAATTCAATCACAATATTGATCTCGCTTATTCTTATTGTTATTTACGGGCTACAAGTGAATATCTTTTGTTTGTGCGGGCGTAAAGTAAGCCTTCTTCAGCTTACTGTTTCTTTGACTGTTAGTCGTCCAGAACACCTTTCAATAAGTACACTGATTGTCAGCAAGAAGAAGAACGCGTCATTGACTACCCAAACGAAAAGTATTCTCTCGTTCTATTAGCGGTAGTACGATGGATTTTATGAACATGTTTGTAGAGAAGTGCGAATCAAGAATTTTCATGTCGAATCGAATCAAATCGTATCTCATTTTTTAAATTCGAATTCGAATCGAATCTATGAAATTTCACTCGAATTCGAATCGAGTCATCAAAAAATTTAACATGACTATTAAACATGGAAATAATGATGGAAGACTTTAATATGAAAGGGAATATTGATATTGTAATATCATCTTAAAGCAAAATATATATTTAAATATTTAAAGTAATTTATAATTAAGTTATTAATTATAAGTTAAGTTAATTACAAATTGAGGGTTTAAACATGCAGGCCCGTTTTGTAGCTGATGCGCGCAAACGCTAATGTATTTCATTCATATTCGAGTCTTCGCGATTCGAAATTTTCGAATTATTCGGATTCAAATCGAATCGAATTACATTAGATTCAATTCGATTCGTTTCGTTTCGAATTCGAATAGTTCGCACATCTCTACATGTTTGCCAATGCTGCGAGAAGTTTTACTTCGCAGTAATTTCTTCATGTTTGTTATCGTTTTTATGTATATTATATATATATATATATATATATATATATATATATGACATAATTTAGAAATTTAAATAAGATCGTTTATATATATATATATATATATATATATATATATATTGTATATAGACAGAGTCAAAGTTACGTATATCACATGCGTCAAATTACGCTGATTGTTTCGTAAAGAAGAAAACAAATGCAATCGATTGTAAAAATTGATAAGAGAGCTCATGCAAACTCGTTCCATAACTCAATTTAAATTTCAAACTTCGGCCGGGCGTGCGAGGCATTTGAAGTTCCACTGGACAGTTCCGCTAGAAACAGTCGGCAATCGTACATAACGGAAGAAAACAAGACGTATACAGAGCGTTAAATCAGTGCGCTACGTTCATCGCGGTAACATATATCAAGAGAGCGAAGAGACGACAGTAACTTTCCAATTTTTGAAGTCGGCTTTCGCGGGAATAAAGTCTTGTGCAAGAGGATTTTTTACAATCTTCTTTTCTGACATCATTCACGCGTAATACTACGAAATATCATGTATGTGTCACCATTAAAAAGGAGTATGCGACTTACCAAATTCCATATCGTTAAGTACTTGAGTTGTCCGGGATCAAAACTTTGGAACTTTTTTTCTAGGTGTGGGATGCGTAACATGAAGAAGGCGTAGTATAGCGTGAAGCCGTACATCATCACATTTATCAAATGGGCGAAAGTATTGAGAACGTGTGCCATCTCGTTGAGATTCTGTCGAGTCACAATGCAAATGCATCAGCGCAACTTATTAACCAAAAGATCAACGCTAAGAAAATGAAATACCTTTTTATTATATTTCCTCATTTTCCAGAGTAAAAGTTATACAATTATATATACCAAAGTCTTAACAATTGAAGAGATCGTTTGGATAAAATCTTGAGACATGATTACAAATAACTGTAATCATGTAATTAAATTTGACATAACGATAGCCTGACAAAATTCTATCAGAAATGATAATTAAATAGACATAGTTGAATCAACAAACTTTTGATGATATGTACCTTGTTTCTTTCACGTCAATTTCGGTAAACACGAGATAAGAGCTTTTTAAAGAGGATCTCATCGCAAGTTCTCGACTCGACGATATCTCTCCCGCGGTTTTCAATGACAACGCAACAACGCGTATATCGCTCTAATCGTGCAGCCACGGAATGTACATGCTGATACACATCTAAGGCTTCGACTACACGGCTGGAGGAATATCTGGTGTAAAAGAAACCGGTTGTAGAGAGAGAACTACAGAATCTCTTTGCACTGTCACGGGCGACTACAAAGCGACGAAGCGACACAATTTCCGCTCGTAAACTTTGATATCTCCGTATTTTGACAATGAATACACGTGAATTTTAATCACTTGGTGGTTTCACTGGCCGTTATACAAATGATGAGACCTTGACACAGAGCAAGTAACCATTAATTTTAATAATGCCTCATATGATAATGAGACTATAATAGGCTCGCTCGTGTTTCTGATTGTCGCACTTGATCGGTAGAATTATTTTTCCCAACGGATGCTCGTGTTTGCTCAAGAAAAGAGAATATTTCATCAACATCTTTCAAATCAAATTCGCTAAAGATCTTTGCCGGATCTCTTAGACTCTTCGGCGGCTTTTCAGTACGATATTGTTATAACGTGAAACATTTGTTGAAGAAAAGAAGAAAACAAAGCAGAAGAAAAAACGATAACTCTTGCCCGAACGGCTTCTCGTTTTCTCTCTCTCTCTCTCTCTCTCTCTCTCTCTCTCGATACTATTTTTACCTTTATAAATTGCCCGAATCGCGAATTGAATGAAAAAGAGAAAGAATACACTCGATTTTTCGCGTGATTGCCTGCAGCTAACCAACGTAATAAAAGTATCTGACTTTTTGTGCGCGACGATTTGATTGGCCCGGAATAATATTCAGCTTGATTTACCTCGTCGTCACACTGTCGTTGACAATGACCGTGGTTGTGTGTTAGATCGTGATGCCACTGGTCATCCAAGTGAATCGAGTACACGGATCGACAGATCCACGTCGACTATCGGGAACGGGTCGTACGAACACGCGAGCTGGCGTACTGGCGCACACTATTAAGAATTCTATCGCAAATCGTCGATGTGTATGTAACAATAACAGTTATCAGCATGCCGTTTACGTTGATATAGTTGCTTATAATTAAACGAGTGGGCGCAGATAGGTCACGATACGATGACTTGGCCAGAATGCTCCATGATAACCGCAAGTTTATCAAGGCGCGATAATGCACGTTCTCGATCGACGATTCACGAGTGCAGCATATAAACGTAGTAGATGTGGCGACGATGACGCGCCGTTACGACATTGACGGACGCACATCGAGAACAACAAGGATGGATGAATTCTCCTTTGCTCGCACGAATCGTTAGTGGAGCTCAGCGAGTGGAGCGCCATTGCACCAATGAAATGATCTGGAGGAAAAATGCTTTAAAAGTTTTGTATAATATGGGAGAAGGAGAGGGATCGTGATCTTGAGACGCGGGAATAAAACATACAGAACCACTCGAAGTATGAAAAACTTGAAACGACTGCGCGCTTGTAATAGTTACGTAAGTAAAATAATTGGGACAGTTTAGCGCCGTGTGTATAGTCTGCATGATATCGCGTCAATGAAAATCCAATACCCAATTCAATTGCCTATAGAGACACTCTCGTCAAATTTTATCTTCCAGATCCGGTCCGCTCGTATCAACATTAAGGCGAGCGAGAGACGATGATGAAACATATACGAGCGAAATTGTTGCGATGTATACGAGCGACATATCACAAGTCAGCACTATGATTGTGTGTAATATATTCGAGCATTCACTGCCGGATGTAAATGATACATTTTCTGCAAGAATAAAACAAGAACGCGATAATATATTGCAATATACGTGAAATGAATAAATATAGCATTACCATGATAATTCTCTGGCTTGCGCAGTTTATCATCGTATGTATATACCGATACGAAGCAGGAATAATGGAATCATTTTTGCAGCCTGACCGAGAAATCGATTGCGTTTAGAAAAGCAGAAGCTTCTCAAAAGTGCTAGAAATTTTTATAGAAAACAAGAAGAAATTGAGTGTAATACTTTTGCGTTTTTCGAATATCTTGTAGCCTGATACGATATATATTGCAAATATAATCAATATCGTATGTAATAATTTGCAATATATGTGATACACATTATGTTGTTGAAATATATTGCTGATGAGATTGTCAGAGATATATACACGTATCACGTGATCACACATGTTGTGTGATTTCATATGATACAAAATTTACATTTATTATCTTCTTCTGGAATATTTATCACATTTCTATTATCTATTTTCTTTGATGGTGGTATCGAGATATTTATGATGTATCGTATCAGTTTGAAAATTCAACGATGTTACGCGTATTTTTTGTCATTAAAGATAATTATAATTGATTTAAAAACTCTTAATCTATTTTATCTCTAATTTTTCATGGCGTGTGTTATGGAGAAGGTAGTGCGTGTTTCTGCAAATTAAAGTTGGATTTTAATTTACGTACAGAATATACGGGTGCAGGTAAGGCTTATGAAACATCAACTTTTTAATCACGTAGAATGTATTAGTAATAAAGGGAAGACACGAATAATAAAATAAGCACCCGCGATAATTTTCGGAATAATTTACATGCATAACTGACAATCTATATTTACTAACTGCAATAAATATGATCAAGATACAAGAGCCTGCAGCACTGTACTATATTGGATTTTACTATTTTTTATACGTATCAATGATATGAATGTTACAGAGAGGTAAAATGAGAAAAACAATGACCCGTGCCACTTTCAGAACACTTGAGAAGAAGTCTGCGTGGTTACAATGTACGCTTTGTATGCTTGCGCTTGCGATTATTTGCTCACATTATATAACACCTGACCGAAAGCTGAATGTCCAAAAGTTACCGCAAAAATGCTGCCGATCACTTTCGCAACATCATCGTCATCGCCGTCGTAATTGTGCAACACACACACACACACACCAGATCCAATAGCGCTGACCGAGACGGTTGATCGAACCGGTTCAAATGGCGTCAAGGACAGGAAGTTAAGAATTTTTTCACAGAGGGCGTCATCAGACAGATTTAACTTTTGCAGTCGACAATATAGAAAACGTAAGTGCAGGATTTCACGTTATTGACAATAGGAAAAGAGACATCTGTATTATTGCATAAGCTGATTACCGTTTTACTTCTAACGCTACCTTCTTATGCAGTTCAATATGTGTGTACCGTTAATAAGAGTTTATTATTTTTACAGACCTTTCCGACAAGATACCGAGGATGTCTAAAATATGTCACAATAGGACAGGTATTCTTGAGTTTGTCAAACTTACAAGGCAAGTTCTATCGTGAAATTTATTTTTCTAAAGTGAAATTTATTTTTCAAAATTCAAGCGGATCGTCGCGCGCGTTCCACGCATACGATCGAAATAGAATCTTATAACCTTTTAATCTCTCGACTTTTGATTTACTTAACGCGGCATTAACGGTAAAAGATACGAGAACGGCACTATCTCAAAACATACAGAATGATATGCAATGTACATTTAATGATATGCAAGGTAAATTTAACGATTACTTTTAGGCTTATTCTCAGGCGTATCAATGCGACATAAAACATAGATTAGGCGAAACCATGAACGCTCGTCTGATCTATTGAGTTGGCAACTAAGCGATTGCGGATTTTGTCGACAGATGGATTTTACACTTTCTTTTGTTTCGTTAACGTGTTCAACCTTGTACCTAACCTATATTTTTTTCTTATTGTTTGGACTTCTACCTTTCATTTAGTACAAAAATTAAAATATCGATTAGTTCTTTAGTTTTGTTTTTATCCCAATTTAAAAATGGAAGAGCAAGACGTGCACTTCAGACATATTTTATTATTATATATTATTTCCGAAAAGGCAAGAACGCATCGCAAGCACACAAGAAGTTATGTACCGTATATGGGAATGGACACTGCCTTGAAAGAAAGGCAGTGTCAGAATTGGTTTGCCAGATTTCGTTCTGGTGATTTTTCATTGAAAAATGCTCAACGATCTGGCCGTCCAGTTGAAGTCGATGAGACCCATATCAAGGCCATTATCGATTCAGATCGTCATAGCGCAACACGTGATATTGCAGAGAAGCTCAATGTATCGCGTACATGCATTGAAAAAAATTTAAAAAAGCAAATTTAAAATTTTGAATTTTCATTCTTACTTAAAATCCGCAATCACTTAGTTGCCAACCCAATATATCGAATACATCGACGTCAAGAAATATTCAAACATGAGAGTCTTCTTTCTCCCTATCGATTCTCTGCATTGCCAGATGGTCATTTTTACCTGCTCGCCAAGCGAGCTTGCTGCCTCGTCGTAGTCACGGCCCTGAAGAACGGTCATTTCATCGTTATTCATCGAGCGGCGCCTCTACTCACGGTCGAACCGGCGGTGTCACGTTCTCCGCGAACTCGCGGTGTGCTCGCCATTTCGAATCGTCAGTTTCGCGCCGGACGTTTCGCGCGTCGTTTCTTCTTCGCGAAATCAGCGATTGATCGGACTCGCTCGCAGATTTCGCGAACGAGATATGACGCGAAATCCAATCGACGCTGTCGCGCTCGATAACCGTTAATCGAATCGTCCCGCGATCGTGAGAGCGCGTCCCCTGTTTTTTCTCATTTTGTGCGCTTCCTTTTGTGCTCGAGAAACCTGCCAGCTGCGACGTGGCGACGACGAGTAAGGACAACCTACCAAGACAATTCGGATCTGTGCGGTACTTGTTTAGTTTTCTATAATCACATTTTACATGTGATGTGCGCGTGATTTTTTTTTTTTTTCATACTTTTAGCAGCCGCTTATCGCCTGCAACACTGCGCCTGCTCGAGCTATGAATAAATTAAACAAAATAACGCTGCTTATTCACGAGTCCTTGTGATAGATAGTAGACGATGTATGCGACAATATTTCTTGGTGTTTATATTCTCAAAGACATGTCGATCTTCGTTTATTGTCGCTCATCCGGACGGGATGTTAGCGAGAGAATTTTTGAAATTTGCGTATGTGCATGGAATTTAGAATGAGATTTTCGTGTACGCGACAGAGGGGAAACGCGACTCTGCTGTCCACGAACTGCTGTCCACGAACTGCTGACTGAGCGCGTTGTAAACCGACACGAAAATCGATCGATCGGCCTGTATTGCTGGCTGGTTACGTGAGTAATTTCGCGAGTTTTATCGCGGTGCTAATTTAACGAAGGCCGCGGACTATTTGTAGTTGTTGTTGTGATATGATAAACTGGCTCGCGCGCAATAAGTTGAGGCACATAACGAATTGTACAATTGTACGAATTGTAATATCAAAAAGTCACTGCTGTTTTCGTTTTTTACCGCTTTTCAAGTAGCACTCAGCCTCAGTCCGAAGAGGTTCCGGAAGAACCAGTGTTTCAAGCACTTTCCGACTCGTGCGGTATCACCTGGTCGATAGGACAGGTGAATCAGACGCGATAGATGGTACACGATTATCGTCATTTTTCTTGGAAGAAGAATTTGTATGAGAAGACGAGACATCTCCGTGCGAAGTTTCTGTCAAAATATGTCACTTTTATATACATGTACACGTTCTTGAATTTTTTGAGGAAACAACAAAGTTTTGTTCGGATTGTTCGGCCGCTTTTTCTTTTTTGCGTCTACTTCTTCGTCCTTGTATCCTTGTAGAATTTTGTATTTGCGAAAAATTGTGTTTGTACACGACTGGTCGTCGTCGACTGTGCACAGATCTCGTTGCCTTGTACTAATTATCAGTTTTTTACGCTCGAATATCGGACTCTCATTGCACGAGTATCGCATCGAAGGAACTGGTAATTTCTGTCGCTGCCATACTGCGTGCGTTTCTACCGTTACCGTTGCGCAACATCTTCCTCGGACGAGTTATGTACAGTATCGCAAACGGCGCGTGTATGAAAGTGCGTCTCAAACAAAGCGGAACTTTTATGCACGCGAGGGAAAGGAAGATGTTTGCGTATTCGCACATTCGCATAGAATTATGTCAGTCAAACCGGGAATCGTAACCGACGCCGAGTCGTTTTCACGAGTTTCGAGTTGTAGAGAGAGAGAGAGAGAGAGAGAGAGAGAGAGAGAGAGAGAGAGAGAGAGAGAGAGAGAGAGAGAGAGAGAGAGAGAGAGAGAGAGAGAGAGAGAAAGAAAGAGAGAGAGAGAGAGAGGGAGAGAGAGAGAGAGAGGGAGAGAAAAAGAAAAACATGACCCACTTGCATCACGACTTACGGACTGTCAGATTGAACGATAAGAGCGATCGCGGTGACTGGAGGATACGTTTATTTTTGCGTCGGTACATTCTGAGACATCGTGCGGGATAATTATACACGAATAACATTAATCTCATTCCTAATAACGAGATAGTCCAGCGACATTGAGAGGAACGCAAAAATTTGCAACTAATGGCACGTGTGAACTTACACGCGGTTGAGTCATAACATAAGTGCATACATCGCGTGTCCGAGTTAAGTAACAACAACGGAGTTATATCTCCGTAAACGTCGTGAATCTGTTTATTAGAATAATATAACTATTCAAAATTGTGTACGCGTATCGTATCTTTGCGTCGCAGATTATTACTCGGCAAGAGCAAATTCCGCTTGCTCCCTGATGAATTCGCGGTCTTTGACTATTTTTAAACGAAGTAGGATAAGCTGAGATCGGACGTTTCTGATTCGACTGTCTTGAGTTCCTCTTGAGTTATGCGAATAAATAAAGATACTCGCAGATGTCATAATGGGGTCGCAAAACACGAAAGGTCAAGGTACGCGCGATACAGAGAAAACGAAAGAGAGCGCAATACGTATTAATCAAGCAGGCATAGATTCGTCTTACGTAGGCTCTTTATCGTTGTTCATTTCGCGGTCGCTTCTTGTCCGTATTGTTTCGCTTATGACGACATGCGCGAAGGAATGCGAGCATCGTGCACTCGCGAAAAGAAACGGCGACAAAGGTTTTTTGCGTCTGCAGAGAGAGAGAGAGAGAGAGAAAGAGAGAGAGAGAGAGAGAGAGAGAGAGAGAGAGAAAGAGAGAGAGAGAGAGAGACGCGATGCTGCCGCGCGTGTTGCCATTGTTCAAGGAGGGAGCGAAAAAGCCGGATGGTAGACGTCTGACAATTTGCTACGTGCTCGCAGGCCTGTCAGATGCTGATACTAATTAATAAGTCCTCTAATATCGCGCCTCAAGGTTTTCTTCCATCGACTGACCCCTGCTCGATCGATTTGCGTATTGCGCTTCCGGGAGATCCTCCGGGAGATTCCAGTCCTCACCGTGTCCATCCGTATCTAAAAACATTCTACCAAACAGACAAGTGTGAATGAATTATTCATATTGTTGTGCGAGTAATATTATCCGGATTATTACCGTCATCGAACATTACTCAACTGCCGTCCAGTGGTGATATCGTGTAACTCGAGCGAGGACTTGTCGCAAACTTGTCAGCGTCTTCAAATAACTAATACTAAACAGATACAGTACACATTCAACGCGGGATTAGCGAGGCGACACTGAAACGAAATTGCTCAAACTTGTTCCTACATAATCTCTCTTGTTTTTACGAAGCACTCTCGACGATATCTACAAAGTATCTCTGCGGGTACAGCGAGAGGCTTTGCTTTCGAGTTCGACACAGACCCGCGTTATGATCGCATCTTGGTGAGGCCACAGCCTTGCCGAGAGTTGAATTTTTCGGTTGGCGGAAATCGAATAATACGCACGCTCGCTTTTTGGACAGGCAGGATCACAATAGCGGGTGCAGGGGGAACACGAAGCGCGGTGAGTCAGCCGAGTCCGGTAACCGGCTTCGCCCTCTCTTCTCTCCTCTCCTCTCCTCTCCTCTCCGCTCTTTCACTCATTCGCTGTCTCTCCCTCTCTTGTCTGGCCGTTCGACCAGAGTTCGTTCTCGCGAACTCTGTCAGTCCCGTTTCTTTTTTTCTCTCGTGCCGTAATCCCGGTATATACGATATATATATATATATATATATATATACCTGGCGAGCGGCGTCCCTCGCTCCGCGTCCTCTCTTCTTTCGGTCTCTTGTTTCCCAACACTCTGACACTTTCGAACGGATCGCGGCGCGGCGCGGCGCGGCGCGTCCAGTCCGGGTGACTTCATTGCGCGCGGTTCGCTCGGACGCGCAGGTGCATCTTGGCCGATTTCCTCCTCTTCCTCGTGTTTCTCCGCTCTTGCAGCTTCCCGAGCGATCCGGAAAGATCTTGAAGGATCGCCTGCGAGGACCCGCGAGAAGAGGCGCCCGCCGTAAGTATGATATACGGCGTACGTATGGTGTATCGCGCGCCACACTCTGCACCACATCCGCCTCGGGAGAAATCGAATCTCGTACAGTTTTAATATTCTTCAATTTTTCGGAGAAGCCTCCGTTCTCTCTCTCTCTCTCTCTCTCTCTCTCTCTCTCTGCCGGTCTACAATTTTCATCTCTTCTGCGATTTTAGGCCCAACTTCTCGTCACCTACAACTCGCGCGTCTTGCACACCTCTCTCAATTATACCTGCCCGTTGACGCAACGGCAATCAGCTTCGTAGAAACTCTGACTTGACAGAAAGAAATAAACGTGACAGAATTGGGCACATGGACCGAACTTGATCAGGGATAATGTATATGATGACATATCTATGAGATGTGGTCTGCACCGTATGAGGGAAAGACGAGAGCTGTAGACGAGAGTTTCCGATATTTGTTCGGTCGTTATACTCGATGGCGCGACTCGCTGTTTCTCCGAAATAATCGGCTCGGTTGCGTCGATGACTTACATGCTTGGAAAGCGTAAGATCGCAAGTCGATCGCTTGCTCGAAGGTCGTAAGTAACTTTCGCGAAATAATTGCCCGAACCGGTTGAAAGAACTCTCACATGACGCGCCTCGCTGTTAACACACAAGGACGGTTACCTATGAATCATTCTTAGGGCAATGCGCTGAGAGAGAGAGAGAGAGAGAGAGAGAGAGAGAGAGAGAGAGAGAGAGAGAGAGAGAGAGAGAGAGAGAGAGAGAGAGAGAGAGAGAGCATCAACATCTCCTCGGGTTCGTGCGAAAGTAACGAATCGCATGCAAACGACTCGATATGTATCTCTACTTTCAGTTGACCAGCACGTTTCGCATGTTGCAGCAGTTCGTTTTTACGCAATCACGATATTATTTGCTCGACTCCCTCCCAAACGTCGAAACTTATCGTAAACGTTTCTCACAATAAGCCTCGGTTACGCGAGTGTCTCTTTTCTTTTCTGCTGCTTTCGCAAATCGCTGTTATCGAACGTTACGAAAATGCACTTTGCACTTTTGCATAACGCTTAAAAGCGACGCGTTGCATAACACAAAACGGCGCTTACCGTTGCGACGCGCTCAACGTCGTACCGCGCGCGTCGCAACGATTAGCGTTACTTATTCGTAACTTATTCGCGCGTGTACGTTTTCAGATCGTTGGCGCACACCTGCGGAACCTTCAGCGGAACTGAAGAGAGAGAGAGAGAGAGAAAATAATGGCCGAGTACTGCGAGTACATGTGGGACCCCACGCGAGGTCACAATAGCGCTGCACTAGCGCGCAGCATTTACGAGGAGGAGGCGGCCAGATTCGATAAGCGCGACAAGAAACTGGCGATTAAAACCGTCAGAGCTATACTCCGAGAAATGCCGGATGTGGGTAAGACAAACGTGTGTGTGTGTGTGTGTACGTAAAGCGTAGCTAAAGTCAATTTATCGGGCGTCCACGGGCGTCCCATAAAGCCGCCGACGATATCTAGAGCAAAGTGTTTATACTGCGGTTTAGCGTGAAATTCGCGCGATTTAGCGGTGAGAAAAAAAGCTCGTTCAATGTGACGTACAGCCTGTCTTCTTCCCGCTCAAATGTTTCAATTCAATAAAACAACAATTTGTCACGCGACTCAACGCGATTTCAATGGAACGTGAAGGAAACTGCTCTGCACTGTCGGACTAACGGCAGGGATAACGCAACGGACAAAAGAAGCGGAAAGCGACGAGGTGGCTGGCCGGCAATTGATCAGTCGCGAGAGAAAAACTAAGAGTATATCTACCGAGTGCTTCCGGACGTTCGGAGTTATTACCAACGAGTTAACAAGTTAACGGTTCTGCGCTCGATCGTAAAAGCGAGCTTGAAGAGGAGAAAAAAAAGCGCCATCAATCGGGGGGGGGGGGGGGACGTGCGGAAGGATATTAAAATGTTCCGCGCCTTCCCGCGAATATCCGCGAATTCGAATTGCTTCCTGTTCTCTCGCGCTTCACAATGACCGGGCGCCTCCGCCCTGCTGTTGTTCTGTTCCTAGATCTGAAGCACTGCACGGACGAGTATATTACGCGTTTCTTACTCGCCCGGAAATATCGCACCGAACAGGCGGCCGCTCTGATAGTCGCTTATCAAGCGCAAATTACACATCGCCAGGATATCTTCGGCAACCTCACTGCCCGCGACCCAGCCTTGCAACGCGCGCTTCGCGCGGGCATACCGGGTGTCTTGCCCGCGCGCGACAGGTACGCACGCGACACGCTTTAATTCGTTTTCTTCTTTTACAATAAGAAAGCATTACTCGCGTCAGGGAGCAACGTACCGTAGCTTATTAACGCACTTATTCTTATCCTTCCCGCCCCGTTATCGCCACGTGGGGGCGTGGGGACGGGGGGCGCGGAAAGCGTCGTGATTAGCGCAAAGCCAAACACGAGATTGGTACGTAGAATTCTTTTAGCACGTGGGATTTTAGCACATAACCGCGCACCGCCACGCGGGCCAACACAGTCTCGCTCATGTCACTCGACGAATCGCTCGACGTAACAGAGCGCGACGGACGCGCTTACACTTATGACAGCTATTGTATAAATTTTACTTTACAATATCGATCTTCATTTTGTATTACGAATGAATGCAGGAAAGGCAGATGCGTGCTGGTTATTTTAGCGTCGCAATGGGACCCCATAGCCGTGCCCGCATTATCCGTTCAGCGAGCTATCTTCTTAGTTCTGGAAATACTTATTCAGGATCCTAGGAATCAGGTGCAACATTCATATCTAATAACCGTTATCGGACCGTTACTTTGGTCACTTCTTACGCCATTTGCGTAAATATAATATAATAATACAACGATGCGCGTGCGAACATGTTGTTCGTTTCATGCTGTGCCGTCATGCTGTGCGAGCGTGAAATCTAAAAAGAAAGAGAGAAAAATAGTTAAATATTTAGCATATATTTACTTTACCAATATGGAAGAGTCAAATTTCTCTCGAATTTCTCGAAAAGTAAAAGCACAACGCGGGGGGGGGGAGTGACAGAGATCAATATCCATCCAATCCGTGCTCAATATTTCATTCAGTTAAATCCGCGCGCACGGTCTAGACATCGCGTCTACTCTCAAGCCAGGACTATTACAAGCCGCCTTTAACGCTTAACGGACGACTTAGACTCTTTTCTGTTTTTTTTTTTCCAGCAATCCGGTTTCATCGCTGTGGTGGACTGGAGCGGATTCTCGTTACGGCAGGGTGGTGCACTGGGCGCAGCGGCTGTGCGAAATCTAATAGCTGCTCTACGTGGGCGATTTCCTGCTCGATTCAAAGCGATACACTTCCTTTCTGCGCCGTTGTACGTGCAGGCGACTTTGGCCCTGGTAAAGCCGTTTCTGGATGAGAAAACACGAAACAAGGTGAGACATTTATGAGGCACTTGTGAATACGCGCGAGGCGCGGCAATAATCTTAACTCCTCAATCCGTGGAAAACAAACAAAACGAAAGAATGTCAAAATAAAACGAAAGTCTCTATAAATTCATATCTCGCCGGGTGTACGCGGCTTATGAATTATCATCGTTGCTGTGGCGCTGGTTAGATAAGTGGCGAGCGCGCGAAAGGGTGTCGTTATCACGGCTCGTTTTGTAGATTTACCTTCATGGCAATAATCTCAGCACGCTCCACGAGCATCTGCCCACGGACATCCTGCCGGCGGAGCTCGGCGGAACGGGACCAGCCTTTAACCCAGGATTATGGGCCGAGCCGGTCATCCATTCCGCGATGAAAGAAGCCGAGCTCGCTGCCGCCGCCGCCGCCGCTGCCGCTGCCGCCGCCACCAAAAAGGGAAAAGAACATGTCGACGCGAACACGCGCGCACAAGAACCGGCGGACCTTCGGAACGACGGGTCGGAAACCGCAAACGGAAATCGTGAGAAGAACGACGGATCGAACGTCTCGACGAAGTCGCGAGACGACGCAAACGATGCAAAAACAGCCTTCAACAAGTCCAGCAGTCCCGTCGCGAGGCATTCCACCGGGAGGACAGGCGCGCAAGCGGACGTGGAACTGAACGTGATAAACAGGCGGACGAGCAATTACAGAGAGACGAGCGAGTCCGCGATGAAGAACGACGAGGACGACGGCGTCAGGGATCGATTAGTGCGCGTCGAGCGGATTAGTGACGGAAACGTGAACGAGACTCGGACGGGTCGAGACGAGTCGACGTTTCTCAACACGGAGACCGAGATCAACTCGAACGAGTTCGAGATAATATCCTCCAACCGACCAGCCAGCGAGAATAGCTCGTTGGACAATAGATCAGTCTTGATTGTCACCGGCAACACCGAAACGCCGTCGGAAGAAACGAATCTCATAACATAACGCTGACCTCCGTAAATCTAGATATTTGTAATATCTTATTACATTACCGGATGGTCATGCCTTTTCTCATGCTGAAGACACGTCTCTTTACTACATGCCAGAAACGGCCAGAATAATATCTCGGGATACCGCAATTTAATCGGCAACAGTAACAGCTTTTCTCACAGACCATTCTCTCTAGGCTGTAATCTAACGCGATGCTCGTTGATCGCAATTTTCACTTATATAGTCTTAGGTATACAATTTATTTATCAAACTATTTCGGTAATATTAAGTATGGCATCTGAGTTGACAAAAATAGAGAAGAAATGAAATTCCATGAAATTAATATTATGACAAATTTAGCTTCAAATGTGCGCCATAATTCTCTCGCTATACACATTTGGTTGACAAAATAGTTACAACCATTTCTGAAACTACGATACCTGCTTTCCTATTTATGCCAGGCAGCTCGTATTAATTGGCATCATAGGCGCTATACATAGACATGGACATTATGTCTATGTTATATAGATGTATACAGGCGAGGATCTCTATCTTGATTAAGAATTACTTCTATATATTTTGATATCAGAGATACACCTTGAAAATTGATTTTTTAAATTGCGATTTAAAAAATGGCCAAACAATGAGAGATCCTCTGAACTGCAAACATGTCACATACACACCACTTATAAGTGTGATTTTGAAATTGTGCCTCGTACTTAGCGGCGAAATAAATATTTTTAATGTATCGTTATCTATAGCTTTCCAAGTGACTTACATAAATGCTTTAGAAATAGCATATTTACCGATTGAAGTATGTAATTTTCTTGTATTGATTGAAGTATGTAATTTTATAGACAGGAGTGTTATATCTCAGACAAATATTGGAACTTATTCTTGCAATGATACAGCGCTTCGATTTCTTTTTATATATTTGCACGTATACTATATATAGTATATGATATTGAGAAATTTTTTTCGATTCGATTCGACTTTGCTTATCTCAGTCAGTATTTCGGTTTGCGAAGATATTCATGAATGAAATAATTTACGCCGTTCAACATGGTAATACTGAAAAAGTGAACGATGATTATGAAAAGGAAATACAATCATGTGACAAAATAATTTAATAAAAATTTATTTCGGTACATAAAATATATGTGTGTGTGTGTGTGTGTGTATATATATATAAATTCTCAACATCAATACATGTTTTAAATAACATCGGATGTTTTATCACATTACCAAAAGCACTCTGCTACCATCGGTGTGATTTCACATATATGTTACGTATGAAAGTAGAAAACTCTACATAGATGTCCAAGATATATACATACACGCACACACACACACACACATACATACATATATATATATATATATGTATGTATGTATATATGTATGTATGTATGTATGTATAAATATTGTGGCTCAACATAAATGGAGAAAGAGTATATTTATATACAAATATTCTTTCACATTTAGTGAACTCTTGTTGAGAACAACTTTCAGCATTCTTTCTTTTCCATATAAGAATACAAGTGCATGCTAAAATTAGCATTTTATATCGAATTTTTGTTTTTCAATACGAGTACAAATCAATCGCATCTCAACAGTGTAATAATACTTGTTGACACACTGTTCGCGATTTCAAATATTTCTATTAAACAAGTATAGTTACACGATTATGAAAAAAAGACAACTTATTCTACATTATTTCCTCCGATCTTCGTAAATGCAATAGTAACGTATCTTATTACAGTTACGGAATATATCAAGTATTGTAAGAAATTATATTTCGTATTAAATGCATGTTATATATGCGTGTTTACATGTATATATGCATAAGAGTTTGTACTTTACCTCGGTTCAACATCCGCGTCTGTCTGAAAAATCTTCGATACAAACGATATAATATTTTATATGAGAAAGCTGGCAGGGTTCAGTAAGGTGAGGCTTGATGCGAACGTCATTCAGTGAATTATTGTCTATGATGGTACTGTCGTTAAGCTACTATTGCTGGTGGTACCCAACCACCGAAACCTCGTTCCAATTCTTCCGCAATGGCGAGAGTCAGACGATCTTGGTAAAGTCCTCCTACGACCTGCGCAAAACGCGTCGTTAAAAGCACAAACTCCATCGTTAATTCTATTATAGAAATATATAACGAAAATTGTGCGTGTATATGTGCGCGCACCTGGATTCCAATGGGAAGCCCTTGCTTGTTCAATCCTAACGGACAAGCCGTAGCTGGTAGGCCCAATACATTAATGATCGCAGTATAGGAGAAGTTAAACGGCTTGATCAACGGTTCGTGATGCATCGGAGCTGCGGTTGGATGAGTCGGGTATAAGAACACGCCATCTTCTCCCAGAATATCCTAAAGAGATGCGAAAAATAAGGTAAAAAAGAATAATAACGTAGTGAAGTACAACGTTGAAACAACAATACGATACTCAAGTTAGTTTGACTATTATTACTTTGAACTCCTGAAACAGGTCCTTGCTCTCTTGCATGAGCTTAACGTGTTTCTCACTTCCGTATTTCATGCCACATTTCTCGAACATTGCAGTGAAAAGAGCGACTAAAGTGTGATCGCTCATAAAGAACGTCCATTTGACAAATTCCAACCAGATGTTAATGTGACCTCGCCTATTGGTTAACTCGTACGAAAAGTCTTTGTCGTCCTTGCACGTCATGTTCGCCAGCCACAAAGCCAAGCCCTTTCTGAACTTTTTAACATTTATTTTCGTGGCTTTAATATTGTGCGCTTTCTCAAAATAGTTCAACACTTGTCTCATGGTGGTTTTTATTTCAGGGTCCACGGGTGAGACTAGCCGCTGACCGCCGTCGTCCTCCATATAATAGATCTAAATTAAAAACAACAAAATTATTAATTTTACTCATCACTCGTGCGAAAGTGCGAATTTGCGCGCAATGTAATGCAGGTTTGAACGATCGTTGAAGAAATTAATCAGAGATTTATGTTACTTCGACTTGCCTTGATTCGTGAAACGTCCACTTTTTGATCCAGATTTAGCAAGTCGTTTTTCTTATCTACAAGAACTTTCAAAGTCAACGTCATGTCATGCGCGAATCTACACATTGGTCCAATGGCGAGTAATTGGTCTTGGTCATCACTGTGTGCACTAGGATATTGACCATCATTGGAGACCACTCCTACAATAAAAATACATTTCCGCAACGCGTAAGTAATAAGGAATATATGCGCGAGCCAAATTTTCAATCTTTCTTACCACTCACCCTTAGATGGCTTGTGGCCAAATATGCCGTTGAAGAACGCTGGCATACGGATGGAACCGCCGATATCCGAGCCAATTCCAAGAGGCGATCCAGCTGCTGCTTGTATACAACCTTCACCACCCGAGGAACCACCCACAATACATCTTGGGGGAAAAAAAAAAAAAAAAAAGTCGGATTATGTTGAAGTAAAAGATAAGAGCGACAACATTATTGTCCGAGACTGAAATCTTGGATTCATCAATTTGGATAACATCTATTTGATTCGACAGCGTGGTTTTTCGATAACTGAGAAATCTCCATACATAACACATTTTTGTTTGAAGCGTCGTGATATACATACATCGTACTACGTGATACGATGATGTAACATGCTATATACCTGGTGTTGTAGGGATTCTTAGTAGTGCCGAACAGGCAGTTGCTGCTCTCCCACCACATCGCCAATTCTGAAACATTTGTCAGTGCCAGAGGTATAGCTCCAGCTGACCTCATTAACTCTATCGCTTTTGCATCTCTATCGACGGCGACGTTCTTGCGTGCGACGAGACCAGCCGTTTGACACATGCTCGCAACGGCGATGCAGTCCTATAATACCATTATTAAATTTTCTTTGCAGTTCTATCTTCGTAATAGCTCGAGAAGCAATTATAATCATGTTATTTCGTTAACACAAGACAAGAAGATACGAGAGGTGGTTATGTAATTTATCATCAATGGTGAAATCAAATGAAGTTGAAAGTTAACAAGAATAAAATGTTACCTTGGTCGTGAAAGGCACGCCAAACAATGGTTTCTCTTTCTCTAAGAATTCTACGGACGGAGCGTCTTGAGATTTCAATAGTTCGTCGCACTTTCTCGCGTCTTTGAGAGCTTCTTCGAAACGGTCTGCAACTATGCAGTTGAGTATCGGCTGGATCTCCTTTATTCTTTCTATATATGAAGATACCATATCTTCTGAAGTTAACTGTAAACAATAACAAGTATACAATAACAATAACAACATATATATATATATATATATATGTATATATGTAATAATGTGATAAAGTTCGTCTTTTACACCAAGACGTTTCCATTAATTTACAAAGATTTATTTTTCGCAATTATTTAGATTGGTTCATCGTTATATCTCTCAAACTAATGTAACTGATTAAAAAGAAGAAAGGTGAAAAACGTAATTTTCGCAGAACTCGATTTGTTATCTCTTAGATAATAATACAATACCGTTGTGCCAAGCATGCCAATCTGAATGATCGTGCAAAACAGAATAAAATCTCGTTGTACTTATCAGATTTAATGGGAAGAGATCATAATATCGATGAGTGGATAAATTGAAACTTCGTATTAAGTCCCGAGGATTTCGCTGTAATTTGCTAAACATTGAAAAATAAACAAAGGGACTCACTTGTCTGGTTCGTATTTTCAACGCCAAAGTTGATGCGCTGTGCAATAGAGTCAAGTCTTTAATCGGCGGTTGGATTTTCGCCGGTCCTTTCACGTAAGCGACAAACAAGAATACTCCTCTTGCGATTAGCTCGAACAGGCGGTGAAACACGCCCAAGAGTTGCCTGATTCGCATCTTGTTGTTCTGCGTTTTCTTCTCCGTCGACATATACCTGTCGAAGAAAAATATCCATCTGCTTATATATACAAAACATTTGCATTGAGCAAAACATTGCAAGAGAGTGAATATTTTTATACAAAAATATGTTCGGTGAATATTCATTTAAATTTAAATTAATTAAAGTGTGTTGTAAATACTCTTGCTTCGTTACATATATCTGTTTGAATATTAATTCGAGCGTCGTTATATAAATCATCTTCCCACATTTAAATGAGAAAATAATCTGCCCATGAATATGCTAAAGTTTGAGTTTACTCGCGATATATCGCATAAGAAGTATTTTTTATATTTGCCTTTTTTATATATGCCTTCGCGCAGAAACTGTAAATTTGCACATACTTGAACATGGGAATAATTTAGCAAAACTATGTGCGTACATTTCCATAGCATCGACTCTATTATAAAATTGATGTTGCACGGTATAAAAGTGATGTTGCACTATTCGCAGTCTAGTATTGTTTCATATTAACTATAGAGATTATCTCACACACACACACACACACACACACACACATATATATATATATATATATGCGAGCATGTTCGATAACATATCGTAGTATGATGTAAAACCCATTGCATTATGGCTTCCTCGTAAGTAAATGGTATATATGTAGTTTGTCACGTTTGTATTATGAGATCACTCAGCAAACACATTACGGAACGTGTCATGTTCGAGCGTAGCAACAAATTTATCTTCACAACACGTATCGTATTGAGAGATGAATGAAGTTGAGATCGCGACAAGAATCGTAACTACGCAATAGGACGAAACGAAATTTTTTACTTCCTCGTACGTGGTTACAAAATTAAAGAGAAGATAAATAAAAAACGAAACGATTAAAAAAAGCAATAAATAAATATTGAAGTTGGGAAAATCTTCTTTCTTCGAACCTATACTTGAGCTATTAGAGTTTACAGGGAAGGAATAAAATTTTGAGTCGAAACAAAATTGAAAGTTTGGGTGAAATTTCGTTGAATGCACACATCAGAAACATGAACCCGTGAGAAACGACGTAATATATTGTAATTGTGTGTTCGCGTTATGTGCGGTCGCATCTCTGCGACGATAATTAAACCGATACGTTGGAAATAAATAAAAAGCGCGTAATAGATAAGTGATGAAACGCGAATCTCATTACATAGCAATCGCATTGTTATACGCCGGTGTGTGTGTGTGTGTGTGTGTGTATGTGTGTGTGCGTGTTGCGTGCGCGTGCGTGTGTGCAGGGCGAGAATTCCAGAATGGTACACGCTTACGCACTTATCGTGACAGCAGACAGCCATTAATGATGTAATCATGGAATTACGTGTCAAGGCTGACGGAGAACAATATAAGCTCGCGAAGCTTATTTTAAACAGCTTTATGAATAATACAACCAACAGAGCAAGCGTGTGCATTTGCGTCACGGTATTAGTATAAAAATAGAAAACGGTTCAACGGAAAAGATTCTCAGAGTACACATCGAATTGTGTTCGAAATTTTGTTTCACAGATCTCATTATGTACTAACGAGAGACCCGAGATTTATCGAGCAGTCTAATAAACTCTTGCTTAATTTCCTTCATCATCTACTAGTTTTTGCTATCGTTTCTGAACAGATAAATTAACGCTTCGTTTCAATAGCCAGTTATACGTCAGTATCAAAGTGCAGTTTCTTTTCTACATCGGAAAAAACTAAACAAAAAGTCGGACTTACTGATCTGTACTGACTGTAAAGAATACTTGTTGATCGTGTGCGTTCCGTATCACGCGCTTGGTCGCACGAGGTGATTTACATTCACATTTTGAATGTCAAAGTGCTTGACATGACAAGTGTTATTCGACGAATGCAAGGTTACTCGATGCAATCGCTCAAGATAGACGGTTATTGCCACGCAGAAGTGTACTGTTACACGCGAGAACGATGATAATACGATTGAAATCCAGCAATGAGACAAGCGGGATCTAACGCGTCGTGTCTTATCCAACATAACCAACATAACAGGATACGAATTCGAGATATATCCTATTCCTGCCGGCGAGTATACCGCGAGTATTACGCAGCGCAGTCTCCTGATAACAAGAACACGAGTACAGCGATAAGGATAATCATCAAATAGCTATGAGCTATGAGGACGGATGCATTGTTTGCCATTACGATGTGAATTCTTCATTAATCACGACTGTCATGACGGTCGATAAATTTGGAATGTAAATGCAACGTCCGACATTTGCAAGTCGGATTGCGAATTGCGCAATAAAAGCTTCGTCCACGCAACCTGAAAATAAACCAAATTCGTAATTGATATATTTCAATTTCGCGGCCGTCTCATCGTAAAGAGATATATTGACCAACAGATTTGACGTACGTTCGGGGGAAAAGTTATTAGCGCTATTTAACGCTACAAGCTGTTTGCGAAGCTGAATGGTAACGATAACAAGTAGTAATCCTTCCAAGGAGGTGTATTGGTAGTGTTGGCGTTTGCAAACGCCGTGAATATAAAAATGCTGTGATTTGCACATCTGTCATTGTACACAATTAACGGGCTACATCGTGTTTATTATTTCATTATTATTCGTGTATGTAGTAAACAATTGCGTTTGAATAAAATGTATATTCGGGACGGGCTAAAACTAAGAAGTTGTTTAAATTACAGAAACTACATTATAACGCAGCGACACTAATATGTTACGCTATTATTACTATTCGTGGAATTCTCCGTTACGTCGATTACACACTACAGCTTCACGAGCAATTTCACCAACGTTTACACTGATAACGTTAACAGCACCCACCCGAACGCATTCACGTTCGCGTAGCATAGCAGCCGCTATTTTTTTCGACAAGAGGATTAAAAACACCGAGGGACATTTGTGAAAAATGAAGCGCATCGATGCGGCCGCGATCGTTAAGGACCACTCGACTAATTTTTTTCGTTTCGCTCGTTGCATTTACGAAATCGCGGCATACACGAAGGGCATACATCGAATCAATAATTAGACAAAGTTAATTAAACGACGCTAGGTGCTCGTAATGGCCCGATGACATCGCCGACGATGAGAACACCGACAAAAACAACGCGTAATGCGAGGAATCGTGAAAAAACGGCTTGTACAAAATAGCACGTCGTTAGTGACGTAACTCCTTTCTCTCTCTCTCTCTCTCTCTCTCTCTCTCTCTCTCTCTCTCTCTCTCTCTCTCTCTCTCTCTCTCTCTCTCTCTCCCTCTCTCTCTCTCTCTCTCTCTCTCTCTCTCTCTCTCTCTCTCCTCTCTTCAGTTTGTCAATTCTCGGGAATATGTCGAGGCTAGCGAGCGGTCCGATTATCGTCCATGGAAATGACGCCGGTTAGAAGGATAGCCAACACACCTAACCAAGCTCGCAGGTAATTCGGAACCATCGGAATCATCGTAGAAACGAGTTCTCCCAATTGCCTGAGATAATTAATTCATTTATTCGTATTCGTCAGTCGTCGGTACATAACACGGTAATTATCTCGCGCGCTTATCGAAAAAACTCCGGCGAGACCGGCACAGCTAGGTACTTCCGTTTCCCAAAAGTTATTATTTTCAAAAACCGTTTTTTTCGCATGATCAATTCCCTCGTAATTTCTCAGAAGACGCTCGCTCGCGTTCCGAGAGCGAGATATCAACGTGCGATATAAGTCGCACGCACCTGTGCGCATCGATTGTCCAAAAGATATCTCAGGCGTGTTCACGCCTGAATCGAGTCACGCCTGAAAGGCCGGGCGGCGATCGAAAAAAAAAAAAAAAAAAAGGAAGAGTAACGTTGCACGTTCGTGAGGTAACCTACGAAACATACTCACAGAGACGAGAATACGCCAAAGTCGCAGACTTTGCGATGATTTCACTCTCCGTGGATCCCGTGAGATGAATCAGAGGGAGCAAACAGTTCACCGGTGAGCGAGCGATTGAAACCGGCGATCACTCGACGGGTCTATCTATATTGTGCGATTCTTTATCTCTCCCTCTCCTGCACACTCCGCCGCGCCGTTCTCTCGGTGCGTGTCGTTCGGCGAAAAGACGCGTGTCCACTGTTGAAATTTCCGACTTCCGAGCAGTCGAGCACCGCCGTCAGCCGTCTCGCGATGATCACGGCCCGCTTTTCGCAAGAGCGACGCGCAATTCGCCGAAAGACGGTTGAGAGTCCACCCACTCCTACCGGCGGCACATTTCACTCTGCTTTGCTTCGGCTCTTTCCGTGTAGCTCCGAATTGTCGCGAGTCCGGCATTGATAGACCTGCGTACAACTGACGTGTTACCTCGTCGGTGTAGCCTGCATACTACGTACGAACGTACCGCCATGTTCACGACTCACCACGCGACACAAAGCGAGGGCCGAGGCGAGGCGACTCCAGGAGCGGCCTTGGACGCACCGAGCCCACCGCACAGGTTTTGTTTCTCATCGTCGCGCGCGAAATATCTCGACGCCTACACACGGGGTATCTTTCAAGCAGTGTCTCTTGAATTCTAAAACTGTTCCTTCTCTCTGACCTCAACGACACAGCGAGGGGAGCAAGAATCTGTTATAGCGTCGTAACGTACATTAGTCAGTGTTCAGAGCGATGATCGTGCATTTATCTGTGTTTTTATTCAATGCATTTAATCGGAGCTTGTAAATACTCTTTGGACTTTTGACACGGGGGAATCTTAATCATCTTAATGAGGATAGATAATTACTCTAGTATTATCGACAGTATCTCGATAATTACATTTTTTTCATGATAAATATGGATAGGTTGATCCTCGTGACATATTTGTAGGCACCGATATTGTGCTCGGAGCAATTAAAAGATAAACAGAATCCTTCGAGACAATAAAAAATGGAGACGCATTCATAATGCGCGGGTGAAGTTAAGTTCTTGTCGCGCGTCGCTGCATGTTGCGTGAAGTTGGTTGCGAGGCGGTGTAGTCGATAAAGCATTCGACCTAACCTAACCTGTGCTCTGCTGCGAAACGTGGGCGAAACATCGTATCGTTGGTCTTTGGTGTTTTCGAGCATTTTGAAACCGTTTAACCCTTTCTGGTAAGACGTACACCTATGTTTATTGTTTATACAATATTGCATTCAGTACGTATTTTTGCAATCTAAAAACGTGGTCTACAATGACAGTAAGCAGTAAGAAGTAAGCGTAAGCGGTAAGAAATAAACCAATCGCAGTCGATTATGACAAAAATAATCAACTGTAGTTGGTCCATTTCTTACTGTTCACGCTTATTTCTTTTACTGCTTACGGCCATTGTAGACCACGCTTAAGCATAATAATTTTCTACTGAAGGTTGACATCCTCCCTCTCTCTCTCTCTCTCTCTCTCTATATATATATATATCGTCAGACGGCTAGACAAACATCCTAACTTAACCTAACCTAATCTAATCTTGTCATTTGGAAAAACACTCTAAGGGCAAGAGCACAGGCTTTTGCATAACACACAATACATAACGCGTGAGAGAATAAACCAATTATTGTAGTTTTCTTCATTTCCCTCCTCAAGACAGAAATGAAAAACTCTGATTGGTTGATTCTCTTATGCGTTGTGTATTATGCGTTATGCAGAAGTCTGTGCTCTGGCTCTAAGCGTGAACAGCAGTTTGCACAACGTACGTGGCATAAGCCAAGTAGGAGTGAAAACGCGCAAGTTAAACGAATGACATGTCTATTTTCAGATATGTTAAATTTGTAAAAGTTATCTCCAAGTTTTCTCGTAACAATGAAAAAGCTAAAACTAATTTTGCGTCGGATATTTATATGCAATTGCAATACAAAAAATTGGAATGTCACCTTTGCGATATAAACATATTTGTGTTAAAAATTATAAAGATTATAAAAGATAACATTGATTTCCGGCAATATACGGCGGCATATTATATTATATTCTCATCGACAGCTAGCGATAAGATTTCAGAGTTTTTATCGAGGAGGTCCAATGTTCATCTGTGCGAATACGAATATAAATCGCGAGATATTTTTGTGAGGGGATAATTGCTATTAATTAATATAAAATTTATATTGTGCGATAAATACAAAAAAAATTTTTAGATTTAGATGCATTTTGTTTATGTAGATAAGAGGCAATGGAATGTGTTTATTTTGTGAGAAAAATTTTATATTCACTTATATGCTGAGATTGCGCTTATTTGTTGAGATCATTGACTATATGCATTTGTGGGTAGATATGTTAAAAGTATTCTAATCGTTTTATGATCACAGATACTACCTTTATAACTGACTTTATCTCGAAAGAGCAATTCCCCCCTCCCCCCCTCGCCTCTCGTCCCTGAAATGAACTCTCTTCCATTGCTCGCTTCTGACAAGCATAAACAGTTATTATCTGATTAAGCAAAAAAAAGTGTACATCATTCATATTTGATATCCAAGAATAACTAGGAGGGGCAAAATCGATATTATCGACAATGAGTCAATGTTCTTTTATTTTCTTCTTTCTTTCATCTATGGTATAGAATGTCTGCTTTCTTTTCCTTTTTTTTTCTTTTTTTCCTTTTTAATTAAAATGCGATGCAGCGCATTAAAACGAATGAAACGTAAGATATCTCGTATAATATTTCAACTTACGTTGAAGCGTGTCAAAGTCAAACACCTGTGAGAAGAACATGCAGTCGAGTGTTTTTTCCGATGAACTTGTGCGCGGCACAAGTCCTGAATGTCGCGTCGCAGTCACTTGCCTCCTGATCACTCGACAAAAAGTGTTTAACAGTGGCTGTAATTTTGCCATTACTCTTCTCTTGTGCCGGCAAGGATGTCGCCTGCGAGCTCTTTTATATTACATGCACGAAAGCAGGGTCGAGATGTGGTCTTTCGGCGCCCTTAGCCGACTTTGCCGCACGCTTTTAATTTATACTTTAAAGGAAGTACCATTTCACGACGCACGAAAAATACATATATCAGGACATTTTTCATCTTTAATTTCTCTCTAAGAATGACGAAGAAATCTTTATATTCGTTTGTTTCGCTGAAAAAGATCGCTGAATATTTCTTGTTAAAAGATAACGTGGAACAAACATGTTTGAAACATTAGTAGTTTTGAATTAACATTAGGACCCCTTTGCAATTTCTTCTATGGTCGCGCCGGCTAAATCCGCGATATGCACATCGATATACATGGTTGAATCTAAAATATGTTACGTCGCAGTTGCTGAAGAACATCATAAAACACTGCTCACGGGGGGGAACTTTGTAGAGAAAGTAATTGAGAGAGCAAAGTAGCAAAGTAGTGAAATGCGTGCCGGCGGGTCTCGCTTTCTAAATTTGCGAACTGTGTAATGCGCGTTTGTCAGAGTGATTTCATCGTAATCGCGCGTGAAACAATGATACGCGAATTATTATGACGCTTATCTTGAAGAGTTTTTAATTTTAGAAAACATGACGCGTCATGTTTTCGTTTAAAAAAATTTAAGAGATTTCAGCGAATTTGACTCTCTTGTGTCATATTTTATACCCCGAATGTGTTCTTTATTCAAATATGTTATCTTTGTGCTTATAGCTACGATTAAAATAATTATCTTTATGAATTGTCTCCTCCGACACAGAGCGTCTGCATCATGAGGTCTTTAACGAGATGCATCTGACGAAGCGTAACACTTTTACCATTTCGAATCTTTCATATTCGAAACAACACTGATGGAATCGACGAAGAAAGGTCATCCTTCGGAAACTCCGTCGGGAGACCAGAATGAGGGAGAAGAGAAGCGTCAGAAGGATCCTTACGATACCGGCGATATACAAGAAAAGATGAAGAAGGTGGATGTAAAAACATTCTCGCCTACTAGCTTGTTGGCCAAAAACAGCCTAATGTTACCTACCGGACTCATCGGATCAAGCAAGGAAGAAGCGAAAGAAACGAAGAGTAAAACAGTGTCGTCCGCATCTGCTACCGGTAAGAATGTGATTTTGTTTCCCTGTTATTATTATTATTATTATTTCCCAAGATCAATCTCACAGCTGCCACTAACCTGTGTATGCTATATCATATATAAATTATATACCTTGAACATGAAGCGACAGTCTATTTTAGGATTTTATTGTATATTATTAATAGCTATAAAGAGAGAGAGTGTTTTAGTAAAAGATTTTGTAAAAGATATGTGATCTATAAAGTTTCACATGTGACGCGAAATGATTGAGTGTCCGACAATTGGTACATGTGTGTGTGATACGCGAGAATTTACATTTTTACGTTAGTTCTTTTCCGCCACCATATGTTTGGCCTTTAACGACCCGAGCGCGCGCGCGCGCGAGTCTTATTACTTCCTTCGAACAACACGCTCCGATGCATCCTACCGGATGATCAATAGCTCTTTCGTGTAACTTTTCTCCCGCCGATCTTTGTACAGCGCGGAGAACCGCGCTCTGACTGGAAAGATCCTGCGTGTTGAGCTGAGCGTCGTCCATCGCTACTATATTGATCTACCTGTCTCAGGGTTATATTCGGCCGCGTGTTTCAGCGCAGTACCCTCCGGTCCTTCACCACGAGATCACTCCCGCCTACCGGGATCTCTCCCGCTTTCGTTCGGGCTCACGCGAATAATCGTGTTGTCGCATCGCAATCTCGGTTCGTTGTTCATCAGTTGAACAAATATCGCTGTTATCTGTTCGGATAACGCGAGACCACGAGTCATTTCTTTTTTGGGTGCTCACTCGCTTGGGTGTCAAGTGAACGTTGTCAGGTTAATCACGCTGACTCATGGCGCGTCGTTTCGTACATAATTAACAATTCTCCTCGTATCGGGACGACGAGTCCCGATTGTGACTCAAACCATAGATAGTATGCATTGAGTCGTAACTGTCCAACTCGAGCAGCGTCGTTAAGACAGTGGAGCGAGTTCATTTTACACAACTGTGTGTTTCCTTATTAATTTCCTTATTAATTGACCAATCGAGTTTAACAAGATACAATAACAACGCCCTCGGCGCTATAATCGCGTAAAGTTTCACGGTAACCAAGTTGAGATTAAAATTCCGTTAACATATTGATTTGGTCAAAATTCACTAAAAAAAATCGACAAAACTCAGACAAATACTCAGACACCGGATATCTCTCGTTGGAGTCAGAGACAGAGATATCAAAAAGATTGTGCGTGTAATAAATGTCAGATATTCAGGATGCAAATTTTGATTTTTGAACGATGACGAGTGATTGCAGGAAATTGATTAAAGTCAGATTTGCATCAAGTCGTAAATTGGCCGATTGCTGTAGTCGTGCGTGTATTTCATTCGGTGGTAATTGATCTTAATTGCTACATAATGGTCATTGATGTACTTTGTCCAGTATGCACATACAATATCGTTTATATCGAATGTACGCAGGTACGAGAGACCCTGTATTACCTGTATCATTATTATACCTTGGACGTTCCATAATTAGAGATTGAGATATTGCGTCTCTCAAATTATGAGCTTTAAAGCAGAGACTTTTTCGCTTACTGTTTTTTGCCTCTTCATCTCGTTTCGTATTTTGGATCTGTTTGGAAAAATTGAATGCTAATGGATCAGGATAGATCAGGAAGAACTTGTTACGAGTTTGATAATATTTTGAAAACTCTTATCGATTTCGTCTTTTACGGAGCAGCTGCGAGAATGATCGTGTCTCTGCAAATTTCGTCGTTTCGATGAGAAAATGCCGCGATGCTGCGGCGCTCCTTTAATTTCCGCCGCGGATGGCAACGGGTCTCCGCAGAGTCTTGGTTTGCAGATCCAGGACGGTTAGTAATTAATGTAATTGCCAATTAATCCATTTTTACGATCGCGTTTACGTGCACGCACACGTGCTCGTTCTTTTGCTCTCAATTTGTACAGTGATGCGTAGATAATTAGAAACGAATGGTGGATTAGAGGTGAACTGTATTTTTCTGGTATTAGCATGGCAGATAAAAGTTACGTTAATCTACTTATAAAATGTTTGTTAAAATTAAAAATACAATTAAAAATATGAAAATATAAGTGTTGTAAAATTGTAATCATAGCGACTAAAAGCTTGAATTGAAATCAAATTTGAATTTGAAAAGACATTTGCCATGATAATTTGATAAATTTGAGGAATGTCGGTTTACGAATTATATAAACATAGTACAAACAAACCTTTTTTCTTCGCATTTTGTGAGATAATAGTGACAAATATTCACGTTTGTTTTGTAGGAAACCCGCGAAACAAGACAGCGTTAGCACCGGGGCATAGTTTGATGGACTGGATCCGTCTTGGTAATTCGGGAGTCGATTTGACCGGAGTTGGTGGTGTATCACGAGTTGTAACATTATCCGAGCTTGCTAATCACAACAAGCAAACTGATGCTTGGATTGCGATCCGAGGTTCGTTTGCTTCCGCGTTTTATGCGCTGTCCGGCTGAGATTCTGTAGCGTTAATCGTCATTAACAAGTCGGAACGTTAAAGTGCGTGTAATTGCTATTTCACATTCGGCTTCGATTGCAGGAATCGTATTCAACGTAACGCGTTACATGGATTTTCATCCGGGTGGAGTCGACGAGTTGATGAGGGGTGTTGGGAAGGACGCCACGAAATTATTCGAAAACGTAAAATCTTGCGCTCCGAGTAACGCACTTTTAGTTTTCGCAACGGCATTCGGTTAAACGGTGATTATTTTTATGTACTTGTAGATCGTTAATTGCAGGTGCACGCTTGGGTGAATTATCAGAGCATTTTGCAAAAATGCATCGTAGGCAAGTTAAGTCGAGGCTCCTCGTCCGTCGCGTCGAGTGCTGCTGCTTCCTTGACGGAAAAGTCAGCCACAAACGCGAACAACTGTTCGTCCGTGACGTTGGGTTTTAGCAAAAGTTCCGCCGGTGAGTACCCGTTGTAACTGCTGCGCCGTATTGTGTTCTAGGTCATCTATATTTAGACAAGCATCGTTGAACTAACGAACGATGGATACTATTGGGTTATTACGGTAGTCCGTGTACGGATCTGCGTGCACAAGTGCGTTCGGTGTGCATAACCGAGCCGATTAACTTTTATCGTGTCGCACGACGATGATCGTCGTGCAAACTTTATTTACTTTCCTTTAAATATGCATGCAATATTCATACGCAACGATATTTAGCTGAAAGCTCTTTCGTTGTTTCAGCACCAAAAGCGGCCGAAGAAAACTTGTCGGACTTACCGAATATAAATATGAATTGGCGACAGACTTCCAATTCTATCACGCTTTTTTATCAAACCATGCACAACTATCCGGGAATGTATTATCAGCTGCAACGGTTGAGCGACTCGAAACTCATTTTTAGACTTATTTTAGAAAAACATATAATCACTCACGAACTCGAATTGATCGCAGACGTGGAATGGCCTCCAACTTGTAAGAGCAATTTCGAAACGATGCAGGTAAAATGCAGGTTGAATGAGCGAAAAAAGAAAATTATCAACATATTTATTACTGTTCCGTTGCTTTTGAGAAAGATTCTGTTCTCAATATACTCAAATGTGTGTTGCAGGTAGACTTTACGTTTACAAAGAGGATCAGAGAAGTTTGGAAATCTCAGGGAAAGTTACGGGAGGATACTTTGTCGAGAGGATCAGTGAACAAACGCACGTACAAAGAGTACGAAGTACTCAGTAATACATCCATTTGCAAATTAGTTAATTTATTGGTCTTACGTGCGAAAGACTCTTTAGAACTAATTCCTATTGGCAGACATATAGAAGTTAAAATGAATATCATGGGTAAATGTTAATATAGACATTTGTTTAATTTTATTAAGTGTCTACGTTGAGAAAAAAAGATTAAAATTTAAATGACATTAGTCATAAAGCTAATGCTACGACATGAAAGCTTGATTCACCAAAAGCAGATTTACACCGGAAATATCTTGCAAAGACAACTAACGTATTTGTCGTAGGAATGGAAGTGTCGAGATCATATACGCCTGTCCCACCGTGCCTTCATCCCGAAGATATGGCGCCAAATTACAAGCCGGATTGTATTTGCTTGATGATAAAGCGATATCCGAATGGTGCTCTTAGTCCGTCCATCACCACGTTACGACCTGGCCAAACCCTTACTATGAGCAATGGTTTAGGTGCCTTTGTAATCGAATCGTTCGATCGGTATCCTGTCATCCACATGTTGGCAGGTGGAACAGGTTTAACCGCGATGTTAGGGATAATTCAGCGAGCATTAGCGAGACGTAACGTGTGAGTGCAAGCATTTCAACGTTTTAATTTTTCGTACCAGGAATCGTAACGCAACCCTTCCTACTCCAGTTAGTTGATTATCATTGATCTGATTGACTTTTTTTTCTTCCTCTAGGAAACTAATCAATCTTTTAAACTTCAATAAGGACGAGGACAATATGTTTTACGTGTCGCAACTTGACAAGGTGTCTATGGAAAAGAAGTAAGTTTGCATGCACAGTGGAAATTAACGTGACGCATCCTAACGTGCTTTTCCTAAAGAAGAAGGGAAAACATGATTAAACTAGAGGAAAGCCAAAGCTAATATTTTAAACATTTGCTAGGTTTAAAGTTGCACATATCCTTTCGCAAGCGGGTGATAAATGGAAGGGTAAGCGCGGCGTCGTGTCCGATGAATTGTTGAAAGAATTGATTGGCGAGTATTCGTTAGATGGATGCATATTTACATGTGGACCAAAAGGATTCATGCTGTCTGCGAAAAAGTATGTAATACCTTAGTTTGTTAACAATTTATTTCACCGTACAGCATCTCTATATTTGAGTCTTTGGTAATCAGCCTCATGTCATTCTGTTGTAGGTGTATTCAGAAACTTGGTTGGGCATCTTACCAAATATACGAGTTCGACTCTTAGTCGCCTGCATTGAAAGTACGCGTGCCCAATATGTGTTACCTCCTTTTCAATAGAGCGCCTAACGAGAGACCAGAATTTGTACCTGTCGAACTACACCAATTTCAGTTAAGCGTTATTACAAAAGCCGTGATAACCTAGTGGACCGATTATCATTAACGTGTCACTAATCGATGTGTATTTTTCTGAAATTATGAAGATTTGTAAGCATACTTTTACCCCCATGTCCGCCCATAACGGCACTTTTTAGCTGCGATAAATTGTAATATTGTCCGTAAAGTAGATTTACATGATTTTACAGTTGTACGGCAGTGAGGAAATAGGAACAAACTATTACGCAATTTATAGATAGACAAAATGAGATATATCTCACTGTGAACTGGAAGACTGAGTTCTATCGGAAACATTGTATCGTAATTGTTAGAAGGAAATGTTTGATTATAAAGTTGATTATAAATTATGAAGTTTGATTATAAAGTAAAAACTCGACGTTGGATTTGAAATTTGGAAGTGGGGAGATTCGAGTGGTAACCACACTATTTTCTTAAATTTTACCAATTTTGCAATTGGCTGATTGAAAATATCCCTACTGTGCGTCACTACGATATAATAACAGTTGTCATCTATGTGTTTGATATCATGATATCACTTGGTGTCTTTCGGTGACAAATTAGACTGCGGTAAAAAGAAATAATTTGAATTTCATGTAGCGCATTAGAGTTGCACTCTTAGTGCGTCGGATGAGATGCATACTTTTCTTTAGGAAATTTCAAGCGTGTTTATACAGTAGAGCACACAATTGGCACAATTAAGCGGGCGCAGCATAGCGCGTAATATTCTGTCGATATTGTTTCCTCGATTATGACGTAGAATATATAATTTATTTTTGATAAGATGAGTGATCTCAAGCAAATAGGTATATATTATTTGTGTAAATATAATTACGATCGAGTGTATAGTTACTCTCTTCCCGAGAACAAATGTGCATTTATACATGTGTGTATATAGGTATGTATGCCAGTGTTAATTGAGAATAAATGAATATTGAATGGCTGAAACACCTGTGCATGTATTTCGATTGCATCTTCGAAGAAGCGAGAGATTAACTTTATCTTCCCGCAACCGTTAATTTGGATTTATTGGAGATTCACAATGTTGGTAATCGAAGTCTCTAAAGGTCTAAATAAATCAACATTTAACGTAATTTGATCGAATAATAGTTTTAACATCAATATTGTTTTGATTTTCATTCCGTCCGTTGGAGATAGGCGAGCTTTAAGAAGGATGCGCTCCCGCTTCGCGCTAAATTTCTTAAGTTGAAAAACTACCTCGGAGGATCTCGAGTGCATCGTAGACGGTGAGGATGTAAATTTTCACCTTCAATCTCTCTCTCTCTCTCTCTCTCTCTCTCTCTCTCTCTCTCTCTCTCTCTCCGAGAAGCTCTCGGCCTCGCCGACCCCCCCTCCCTTAATAATGTACATTGGAATATTTATCTAGGCAAGTCAGAAGAGAGAAGAAGACGAGAGAGCGTAATAACGTCTCGCTCGTCCTTCAACGAGCAGTTTTCACAAAAGGGCCTCGTCCGTTCGGCCGATAAGAGGAACTTTCCATAATGCAAAACTTTGAGGCCGGCTTAATTTTCCGGCGCCGTATACAGGAGTGCCTATTGATCGTGGTAAGTTCTTCCCCGCAATATGACGTAACGACATCACACAAACGGCAGCAAGATGAATGTCTTTTGGTCTCAGCGTCGTTGTCGTCGTCGCCGTCGGTTACGAAGAAAATTATGTCACGGGCTGCATACCGTCGTTGAGTCTCGATCGCTCGATTGTGTGACCCGGTACTTTCCGGTATCCTTCCCGTGTCTCCTTCTCGAGTAGATAGTTGCAAATTGCGCAAAAAGCCCGGGAACGTTTTAGCGACCGGCATAATCGCGGTTAGTTTGAAACTTGCCGACCTAAATAAGTACGTGACACGAGCGAGTTCCGTCGTTCGTGCTATTTCGTGTCGAAAGTGAAATCGCTAATTCGTGAGCGTTCAATGCTAACTCACGATTTGTAATCAGGCATTCTTGGATAAAGTAGGACGCGCCGCGTTATATATTTACAACGTGTTTATAAATCTGCGGGAAGAAAGGACCCGAGAGACGAGATAAATATCGTTTCGTAAGAACGTCTCACTTACACACCGCGCAATAAAACCTCGGTGCGCGAGCGAACGTGCTGAACGTGCTGAACGTGTATCTGAAAAATGCGTGCTGTATTGAAAATTAAAATTCCATACACTCGTGGTGGGAACGACTTTATCCCATATATCTCGTGCCCGCTGTGCGGCCATCAACATAGTTTGTCGAAATATTGTCGCGGCGAAGCACGCGAATGTAGAGTGCGAAGCACGCGCGGCCGGAGAAAGTGTGTGACCGGAAATATTCAGGCTTTTGTCGCTCTCGGAAAAATCTCCGACTCGGGGAGCTTTTTATCAGGAGCTTTATCAAAACAGCAGAACATCGAGTGATCGTCGTCGAGTCATCGTGTCGCCAGATATCTCGACCGATTGTTCTTTGAGATTTAGATCGAGAAATTATTTCTCACCTGGAAAATATGATGGTCTGCGATAATCGAACAACAATGCACCGCGGTGCAAGAAAACGGGGCGGCATTATTCGCAGTTTGCGGAATTGATCGCGCGTCCGTTCCTTTCGGCACGATCGGGGCCAAACGCAAGTGCAAGGGTAGTAGTACGAAGGTACTGCTTCGGCGAAAAAGTTCTTTTGTTTTACGAGCACGGGTACGTAAATACTTTGCTGACGGAACGGGGTTAGTCACGTAGCGAGTACGAGAAGTTTGCAGGTGATAGCGGCCAGAATGTCAGGAGGTGCAACAGTTTGTTATCGGCACATCGGTAAGCGCCGGTCGGGAAGCCTTTAGAAAGAGATAAATAAGTAGATAGACAAGCACGTTCACAGGTGCGTCCACTTGTCGATTTTAATTATTCAATTTGTCGCAATTATTTAATTTGCGACGAACTAAACGAGAGAGAAAAAGTCGTAGAGGGCGGGGAGGGGGGGGGGGAAGTTCTGTCCGCATACGGAGAATATACGTACGTATGTTTGACACACTCGAAGTATCTCTTCTACCTTCGCAGGACCTTTACCTCTAACTGGATAACGTCGATGCCTTAGCGCGATATCGCTAGCTGTGAATTGATATTTGCAGATAGATCCGTGAGAGGAGAACATGAATTTATCGCAACGCGGAATAGAAATCAGCACTCGGTTTGACATCCCGAAATACCTGCAAGAAAGTGCACTCGCATTTCTCTGGCTTTTCGCGAGTAGGAAGAAAATAGATCAGTGGGGGAAAAAAGGAAACATCGTCCCACAAACCACTCTTGCGTACTTGTACTTCTACGGAAACATTTATTAAGCCAGTTTTGCGATGAACTTCTGCTTCGTAATCGTAAGAGAAAGAAATGCTTGAATTTTCCATCTGGGGAAAAATTCCGCTCGCCAAGTCCATTTTCGAATTTCATTCTAGAGCGAAAGTAGTTTTGCGTAAATCGGCAAAGTAATCCAATAATTAGATAGAGACTGATGGTATGTGCGCATGGGTGAGTGCGATCGCTCGATAGATTAAAAAGTCGCGCTGGCTTCCTCACTGGTTTCACCTTGCTCGTCCAAGGTCCGTTTCCGAGGACTAACCTCGTAGGCGAACCTAATCCAATTTTACTTCTCCGCCATGTCATAAGTAGCGTCATAGATTAGAATGGAATGGCGGATTGTTAAGCTAGATCTAACTAATTCCTACTGTTGGAACAATCTGGTCTAACTCTCGTCTACGCCAGGGAGCAGTCAGTGTTACATCTAATCGCTCTGCTTGCTCCGAGACACGAGTTTTCCAACAAGCTCCGATTTATCCGCAAGTTCAATTTCCCTCTTTCTCACATGATTATGTTTGCGCCAGAATTTATTAGGTAGTGATATACGCAACATTTGCAACGTTGTATCTCTCTTGCTAACAATTATCGCAGTTATTTTACCCGTTAATAAATGTGTCAATTATCTCAAAATTTTGGACCTTAAGAAATTATCGTGTCACAGCAATAGTGCCGACGCCTGGTAAAGACGACGTTGCGTCACATTATGTCGCAATAATAGCTCGAGGTAATCAAGGGGAGGGTGAGGATTTCCGCGGTCAATAAAATTGATATAAATAATAAACGCGCGTTATATTACGAGACGATACGGCGTTCTAAAATATCAGTCTCAAAAGATTACTTCGCTTGGTGCGTAATTTTAGCGTATCTTCTGCTCGATATCGGCTCCCGGATATTGAACAGTGCCGGTAATAATCATAATCGAAATACTGAATATTTCGAGAACGACCTTTCCATACAATCGGAATATTTTAAAATTCCGTATAATCGGAAATACAGCCAATCTACTAAAATACAGGACACAATAACACGCGCGAGAGAAGGAGCGAGGAGATGACAGAGGGTTGAGAGAAAGAGAGAGAGAGAGAGAGAGAGAGACACGATAGAGACAGGAGAGGGAAGTAGTAGAGGAAGGGGCGGGGGGTAAGAGGAGGCGGAAGCGCGGAGGGTGAGTATAGAGGAAGGGGCTGAAAGAGTCTCGCGTGGGGGAACGACAGAGGGTGCGGATGTACCGTGCGGGCGGGCGGGATGGGGATGCTGCGAGAGAGCAGAGAGGTGTTTCAGTCGCGCGACGGCTCTCGCCCAGGCCGGTAGATTGAGAGGTGTTAAATGTTATCAGGGAATATCGTCGTTTCGAGCGCGCACTTTCGTCGCGCAATTTTTCCCGCGGCTTTCGTCGCAACGCGCACACGGTTGCCTCTTCTTTCCCTCATTCCCTCTCTCTCTCCCTCTCTTCCTTCACCCCTTTCTTTGTTCGCGTTAATATCCGCTTCTTTCTCGCGAGAGAGCAGGTACCCGCGAACAACCACCTGTGTCGTTGTCATCGTCGTCGCGAAGAGAGCGAACAACAGCCGTGAGAGGTAGCTCGCTTCGCGACAACTCGCCGCTCACTTCAGTTCCATTCGCGCCGTAGAACGCGACCATTTCGCGTGGAAAACGCCACTGCGTAAAATCGTTCTCGCGCGACCACCGTGACGATTAATCTCGGATTCAAGGTCTCTCGCCCGGAGAGGACTTTTTCTGCCTCCTGCTTCACCGGTCGACTCCGCCGCTCTCCAGGGGATGTAAATCCGACGAGCCCGGTCGCCAAGCAGAGAGCAGGGGATCATCGAGATCGCAGATACTGGGGGGGGGAGATCTTCTCAATGGCGGTAAGCAGTCTTGCGTATGTATGTTAATTTCGCGTCTTCCTGTTCGCTCTCGGAACGCTCCCGGGAGCGTGGTGTCGATTCGCGCGTACGGCAGATGGATTGATCTTGAACAAGGTCGAGAGGCAGAAAGTGAATGAGTGAGAAAGAGAAAGAAAGAGAGAAAGATGATTCGCACGGCGTTTTGACCTAACGGTACGACGCGTTTTTGCTCAAGCGCCGCGCGGCGCCAAATTTCGCCGCCGATATCGCGTGGATTCAAAAGAAGAAAAGGACTCGCCGTAGCTTACGTTGTACACATCGTACAACGTAAGCTACAGGTTAGTTTATACGGCTTGAATTTGGCTGCATTTGACTATAACAATAACGAGATTCGCTCGTAAGACGAGTGATTTCAGATTGATTGTTACCTTTGCGCGATATTTTTAATCGCAGTCAAGCTTCATGAACAAGGTTATTATTAATCGATCGTCTAGGTCGCGCGCGATAATATTAACCCGACGCGTATTTCTCGCGGTTTTTCACATCTTGCATAATATTGCGAAGCGGGAGAACTCTGGTAAAATAAATGACATGAAAATGTAACAGTAGCGTTGAAACTGTACATCACACACGCGTGACATATATCGTATAGAGCTTAATTAATTTCTTCTTTCATCAGGTTGCTCGGTAATATCTCTCTCTTCGATCGCGTTATTGAGAGAGAGAGAGAGAGAGAGAGAGAGAGAGAGAGAGAGAGAGAGAGAGAGAGAGAGAGAGAGAGAAAATAAACCAATTCTTTTCGCTCAATCCTCGCTTGTACAAGAGGTTAGGGTTGCGTTAATTTTGCCTAATAATTGTAGCATATTCGGCTACTCGATCCTAACCTTGATTCATCGCGCATTTGTAACGATTGAAACATTTCACGGGAGTTGCCGTGCGAAACATATTTCTCTCTCTCTCTCTCTCTCTCTCTCTCTCTCTCCTCTCTCTCTCTCTCTATATATATATATATATATATATATATATATATCTCCTTCCTCTCTCGAATATATTTAAAAATGAATCGAGTACAGTTGTTTATTTTAATGGCGTACGATATTTGCGCTTCATCGAGGCAAGTTACGCCATTGACGAAATATGGCAGTATAAGGGTTTAATCGATTTCGGTAAATTTCAATTGGTATGCGTACTATCTTGTTTACGATTGCGAAGAGTTTTTCTTGCAAAGAGCAAGCTAATTGCTCCGGTGTAAAATATCGTCGGTCAACAATGCGTGCGCTTTGTTGAACGATCTTTACACGGCGATAAAAGTATCTGGGAGCACAGTTTATATTTCAATATTAATACAGTTATTTCAGTAATGACGCACATTTATTTTCTCTCGGTTTTCGTTGAACAATTCTCGAATTAAAAGAGCAAGCGAAAAGAGCGTGGAAAAAAGTTGTGATTCTAATGATCCGCGGCGGTCTGTCTAAGCTATCACAACTATACATGTTGGAATGAGATTGATTGCGAAGTTCCTCTTTCATTATTTGTCAACGATTTATAGCAGCATCGGCTTGACTTGTCGAAAACGCACGACATGTACAACAAAGAAATTCGTTAGTTTCCCGAAGGTCATTGCGACTTCCGATGTGTACGTTGTTCGTGATTACTTGCCACGTTCGAGTTTTTACATCGACAAGCGTTGTTGATGAACGGGCTCTTACTTCGCGCTTCGCAAAAACGCCCAACTAGAGCGCAACTGTAATGTATCGGAGACGAGAGATTCGCGCGTTTTGTTAACTCGCGCGCACGCGCGCGCGAATGCGCTGCTCCTGCACAGAGCGCGATTGTGCGCGATTTGTGTACGTAATCAATTTGCGCGTACACCTGAATTGACGAATTGACGAAAGCTCGATAAAGCGCAACGACGTTTGATCGAGGCGCCGCGTAGGAGGAAGGAACCTGCTGCGGCAGGAATGCGCACGTAAAATCTCAACTAAGCGTGCATGCACGCGTAGAAAAGCACGTAGCGCGCGCTTATGTCGCGTTTATCCTCGTCGCGCATACGTGTGCGCATACGGGGCCGAAATGCTCAAAGCTGCCGCGTTATGCGTGCGTGTGCATGTGTTTGCTGCGTGGAGATGTGTACGCAAACAGACAAATCCATTTTCGTGGAATGCAAAATATGGCCGACGTTACTGCCGCATGAATTAGTGAACACCGTCTCCATCTCCATACGCGTATTTCACTGGACTGATAACGGATTCCTTCCTCGTAGCCTGACAACCGTAATTCATAGTTCACGGTTAAGCGTAACGGTAACCTTAACCCTTTCATCCCTTCCGCTCAGCGGAATGACAGCGCAGTATTGAAATGTTCCAGCGTGTTGCGTACGTTTCACCCGCCGTTACGTACGTTACACTGCCATTTAAGTCTAATTAAATCCGACTTTGCTCATTTGCGCCTTATAACGTGAGAGTAGAATAGAAAGAAATCTACATCTGCCCATCTGGGTAATTTTTAATGAATAATTACTTGTTGCGTTTCTCCGTATATTCTTCACGATTTGTCCGACGTATACTTTCAATGATTTTTCATGATTTTGATGTCAATTAATTTTCTATTACATACTCGTCTGTATAATAATTTTTACGAAGAAAGATCTGTTTCGGCGAGAAACAACTTTTTTGATTGCGAACCTGAAAGTTTTTTCGATTTGTTTCGAAAGAAAACTTGAACCGAACGTAACGCCGGTCGGTCTCGCGTGAAATGAATTCGTTTACAAAGCGAATCTAAATATAAGTTTCCTTTTGCAAAGACAAATTTTGATATCGCAACGGAAAACTCGGGTCTTCCGTACTTTTCTTTCAAGAGAACGTCGCTGGCCATTATATTTATTTATCAGACTGTGTGACAGGGTCGTTTTTCGTCGTGAATGTCTCGCGGATGTGATTTCTATGTAGCGATTCCCCTCGCGCGCGTGTGTATTCTATTACAGACACGATAATACATGCTTCGACCGATAAAATAAATTTATCGTGGCGCACACGAAGCTGCGATTATCAGGTTTATTCGTTTTGCACCCACATACGTTAGACGCTCGGAACTTCGATTTTACCTCTTTTCCATCCTGAAAATGGAGCTGATATTTTCGAGCGTACATACGATCCACGAAGCCGGAAGCGTGGAGTGTATTTTTAACAAACAATAATGCGTCCAATTATTCGTTGTTTGCGCGAATTAAAGGATATGGTAGATTTTTATATCCCGATATAAGTACTGATATGTGACAGCGAAGAAATGGGCTGCAACCCCTTTAATTTGCAAAAGCTGTCCAATCCGTTTTATATTGTAATATTTATAAAGGTGCAATATATTTTTGCTCTCAAGATTAACGAAGCTTTAGGTACGGGCGCGTGTTTAATAACAATATTCTACCTATAATCGGAGCAGTTGATAAAAATATCAAAAAGTAATATCGTAATTGCGATAAATTTATAACTGTTATTACGCAGACAAAATGTTTAACGTTTCGTGTGGAATATTAATATAACCTAAAATGGCATAGATGATCACTCGCTATCGTGTTTCGAGACCGTAATGAAAACGATAATAGCCTCGTTATTAATTTCTCAAATCGTAACGGGAAGGGACGGGGATGGAAAAGAGAAAAAGATATCTCCTGAAATTACGGAATTTACTAGCCGCAGCTAATTAGCGTGTCAAACGAATGAAATGTGATAAAACCTCGCAAGTATTTATTCGCCTGTAATTACCGGGTACCAGTTTTTTCTCCTTCTTTTTTAACACTCCACGAAAATAAACAGAAGCGACAATCTTTTTTTAGAAGAGAAAGGCACGCGTGTGTGTTACGAATCGCCGGTATTAATTACTGGTTTCATTGCGTTACACGTTTCGCCGATAGTCACGCGCATCGCCTGCAAAAATTTTGCGGCGGCGCTTTACGGTTCGTATGTTTTATCACCCTTAATTTCCCTTTTTGCTTTTTCTCTTTTTTTCCTTCTTTTTTTGTGTGTCGCACGACTGTTAAACGGTTGACCGAGTTTTACGTTCTACGGGCGACAGACTCCGCGAACATAATCAAAGACAAAATAACGAATACGCGGGTCTCGGAGAGTCAACTGGGGTGGAAATCTGTTATCTGCAGTTGTCGCTGTAAGACGCCGACGTCTTTCTTACCTTGGCATAACGGCCACTTATTGAAACTAATTGCATCTTCGATCGTCAACACGACTCGTTTCTTCTCGTCGAGGTGCTCGGAGACGTATCACGCTAATTACAAAGATGTCTCGTCTTATTCTCGTACGTGGAGAAGAGACGTCGCGCGTCCGAGTGTATCGACGATCAGCGCGATACCATTTCGTTACTGTATTCTTTGGAACATTCCTTTGTACGATGATTTCGGTGACAATCGATTTTGACGCGGTCTTCGGTCGCGGTCCGACAAATAGCGTTAACCCGACGGCCGGGCTTGCATGCGACGGTCTACCGGGTCGATTCATTAAACGTGTGTTTTAGTGTGTAAGGGACGATCGGAGCAACGTCGGACAGGCTGTGCTTAATCGACTGTGCTTAAACAATGCATCGTCTCCTCTGCGCGTACTTTGCCGTCCCACTATAAATAGACCGGCGCTTTTTGGCCGAAATTTTGCGCTTGAATCCGTCATAGCGTGTCACCACTTTCACGCGGAACGGCGTATTTAGGCCGAGAAAACACACATCGCCTCTCTGTCTCCCCCCCCCCCTCTCTCTCTCTCTCTCTCCCTCCCTCTCTCTCTCTCTCTCTCTTTCTCTCTCTCTCTCTCTCGCACGCGCGTCCCTCGTCGCACATTTAGCGTCAAATATGGCTGCTCGATTCCGAGCTTTCATTTACATTCTGTAGAACCGCAACCAGCCGTTGTTCGGTGTTAAATCCGCGATGGGAATACGAGCCGAAGACCTCGCGTATGCCGCGTGTGTGCAGCGTACTGCTTCCTACAAACAGGCGGCATTGTACGAATGTAATACGCAACTTC